CACCTGCTCCCCCCACCGACCAAACTGTGCAGCTCTGCAACTGCATCCTGGCCCATCCTCACCCTTCTGCCCCCAACCCTTACCTCCTTGTACCCTCAATATGTTTTTCCCAATAAAAAAAACACTATAAAAAGAAAAAGAAGCCTGGCCCAGCTATCTGCGGCTCATTCCCAGCACCCCTGCTAACTCCTTGGATGTCCTTGGACAGATGTCTCCTCATACCACCTGCAGACCCCACGGTTCCCTTCCTACACTGAAGGAGCTCTCAGGGGTCCTGCTGGCTGACTCAGAGTCTAAACCACTTAGTTCATGAGTTGATCGCCAGCTAGTCAAGTTGGCACTTTCATTTTTGCTAGAGAGGGCTGTTCCCCTCGACATGGTACACCAGGCACTGGCCCTGTTGCAGCTTTAGAGACAAGGCTGTCATGTAAACAGTCAGATCAGCAGCATGTCACTGGGCAGAGGGCTCTAAAGCTATGGAGTTTTATTTTTCCTGTCACCAGATAATGGGAAGCATCTCTCCCTAGAGTTAAACAAAAAATCATATTGACGCATGGCACGAGCTCATGACCTCTGAAGCTTCCTGGCCTGGGAGTTGTAAAGCCTCATGGCCCAGTGTCTGTGATCTCGTGCAGAGATGGGTGAGTTCGTGGGCCCAGAAAGGAGCCTGTGATGGATCTCCTGTGGCCTGGGAGGTAGGCCAAAAGCGCCTTCTGTGCTATCCCTTCTTGAAGTGTCCGGAGCTAAAGTGACCACTGTGTGATCTGACATCACCTTCCTACTTCAAGTTTGCCCTCTCAGTGTAACAGTACAAGCGTCCCCCATGTTTCATGTCACCCTTGAATTGCCTCTAGATTTTAATGGCAGAGAGACCTTTTGCCAAGCCAAGAACCCCGCTGGCAAATAACAGTTTCCCAACCACATCATGTTGTTTTGGATAATGCCATCAGACAAGGAGAGCCCAAAAGAGTGCCACCGAGTGGATGTGGAAAAGTGAATGACCGTGTTTTTTGTTTGGTTATTTTTTAATGTGTGAAGTATAGTACCAGTTTTAATATCAGCCATGAGGAGGTCAATTCCTATGAGAACCACGATCATGAAATCATATGACATACTGCAATGGGAAAATCTACTGCAAAGGAACTCTTCAAAGTGTTATAGAGCAATGATGTCACTTTTAGGACTAAGGTATGCCTCACTCAAGCCATATTTTTTTTTCATTAGTATTAATTTTAATGAAAATTTACAGACTTTGGATTTCCACTCACTCTTTGTTGCACTTTTCTCCCTGCACCCACCCCCTCAGTACACTCTTCTCTTTGAAAAGTGAAAGAAAAATTCTTTCAGGTCCACCCCACTGTGGAGCCTTCATTCTGGACTCCTGGAATGACGGCGTTTTAATGGTCCATCAGTGAATGCCTGTGAGAGTGAGACAGACAGTTAGAATTATATGATACATAATTTTCTTCCTGTGGTGCAGAACTTTGAGCATGGCTTTGGAATCCTCTGGGTACCTCAGGGGAGGGTGGGAGGCAGGGTCCAGAGGTATGTGAGCCCGGGATGGGGGTGCGGCAGGGCAGGGGCAGGGAACCTATGGGCTCATGTCCTTGAGCTGACATGCTGGGGCTGGTCAGGGCGAAGACTTTGCCAAACCCCATGAGATGTACTGAGTGCTGGTGAGCCGGGCTGCAGGTGCTGAGCACCCTTGGCAGGATTCACACCCAGCACCCTTGTAGAGATCATTCCTTTCTCTCAGTGGCAGGAGAAGAGGGTTTGCTACTACAGGAAGGGTCCCAGGCTGCTACTGTCCGATTTATGGGCAGTTCCCATAGCTGGAATCAGCCCCTACTCAGAGCAGATTCTTCATCACAGCCTCCTTCGCTTGGTGCACATGCAGTTTTAAAATCACTGAAAAGGCTATACGCCTTTTCTTTCTAAACTAAGGTTCCTTAGAACCAGGGAGCTGGTGGCATAGTCCCCAGGAAATTGTGCTGCTAACCCAGACGTAGTTCAAATCCACCAGCCGCTCCTTAGGCGTTCTCAGGTACTCCTGGAGGGTCAGCTGTGAGACACTGTGAGTCAGTGGCCGTGAGTTTGTGCTGCTTTTTAGTTGTTGGTTTTGGTTTTGGTTTTTTGGGGTTTTTTTTTTTAAGCTAAAGACTGTATACCCATGTTCTGACTTACACAGATTCCACTCAAGACTCACTTGGGAGCAGACCTTGTTCGTAACCCTGGGCCTGCTCACCCCCTGTGCTGGGGAGACTGTGGGGATGTGAGCACTCACCTGGTATGGGTGGGCATGTCAGTTGGTTCAGCCTCCAGGAGAGCAGTGTGGCACATAAGTCGCACAAAACTTGCGACACAGCAAGTCTGTCTCTAGGACTCTGCCCTACAGAGACAGGCTCTTGGATGGACATCCAGCTCCTGGGCGTTCACGAACACTGGGAAGCGGTCCTGGGGACTTGGACTGACTTGGTGGTAGAAATAGGGAGAAGGGCTCATCCAGAGGCTCTTTAATTACAGAATTGAAGGGAAGATTGACAGCTCTGGGGGCTGGGGGGGGGGAATTGTCTCAGAGAAAGGGATGCTGCCATCCTTTGAACAGAAGTGGGCAAGTTGAACAGGCCTGGGGAGAAAGAATGACTGAGGGGACAGCAAATGGGGCCACAGTGTAGTGGATCACCACTGGGCCAGGGGAACACTGATGAGTCCATGGTGTAGAAGCCTTGAGAGGAGAACTCACCAGTGTCCCCCAGCCCTGGCCCAGTGGTGATGCTTGAAAGTAAATTCCAGCCGTCTGAGACTTTTTCATGCATGTGCTAAGAACAGGGATTTGTTCTGATACCTTTATTTTATGTTGATGAGGACAGAAGAACAAATGAGCCTGTAGTTGGCACTGTCCTTGAGCAGAGACTTTGCCAGAATCGGGGTCATTTTGTCTGGTCCAGTGCCCTCCCCTTCATTTTCCTGAGCCCCTGGTCCCCCGGTTAGATAGTCCTGTTCATGGGAAGAAGATGGCTTGCTTTGAGGACGACCATTTTAATAGATAGAGCTTTAATTCTGAGTCTTTGCTTTATTGAGGATTTGGAACTGTAATATGCCAGTAAGATGAGAGATTGCCTTACAATTCCTTTGTTTTTAGTCACTCTTGGAATGTTTCTCTAAACACCAGACTCGTTCTTTCATTTTTATGCACAGGCAGCGCTTGCTTTGCAGAGTGCAGGCTGCCTGTATTCCTTGAAGCACGGTTTGCTGATTTGGGCACAGTCTTCTCCTCCTGCACCCTTATTGGCATCCAGAGATGCTGCCAGAAGTTCGGTCTTGCCTGCTACCGATGGCAGCAAGGCTTCCTCAGGATTGTGTTGCTGTGCTGTTCCCTCAGCACTTTCCTGTGGGAGCAGCTCACACATGCAGCACTTTGCGGGTTTGTTTTAGTAGATAGAATCCTTGTCGAAATAGTTGCCTGGGTTTCAACAAAGCTTTTAAACTTTTTGTTTTGTTTTCTTCTATTCCTCCCCCCCCCATTGGAGTGCCTGCGTCTACAGATCTGAGCCGGATGTGTGAATCTGGTATGTCTCTTGCCAGTGGAAGTTGATCAGGTTACTGAATGAATGCTCTGCTCCTGGCACCTGTCACATGGCTGGAAGTACCACTCTTTACCACTGTGACCACAGATAGTGTCCTCTCCACCCCAGGAATCAGTCCATCTCCTACACCAGTAACAGAGCCACGTCTCAAAAACACAAATCCAACTGTGACTTTGACCGTGCTTAGACCTCTTCCATGGCTTTTCCTTCCTAAGAAATTCATGACAGTTCTCTTCACCAAGACCCTTCCTCATTTGACCCCTGCCCAGTTTGTCTTATCACGTGTCGTTTCCCTATGTCCAATCCTGCATTAAAGCCGCTCCAAACTATGCCAGACACATCCTGCAGTGTGATGCCCCTGCACCTGTGTTCGGAGCGTTTGCTCTGCCCAGAATCCTCTCTCCCCTCTATGGCCCACTTGCTGTGCTCTTGCTCAGACTTAAGGAGCTACCGTGTCCATCTCCCATCACTGTAGCCTCTCCTGCCCACTGTCCTTCCACTAGTAGGTGGAGTAGGTCACCGTGCCCGGTGCCTCCATTCTACCTGAGACTCGTTGCTCCGCACACACTCAGCACCCTGTGTCTGCTCCTGCTGGACAAGGACCACACCTTGTGTCCATGGTACCTGCTTGGACCAACAGTAGATGCGATGCCTCGGTGACTGGGTGGGCAGATGAGTGAAAAGATGGATTTTCACTTGGATAGAGCGTACCCCGAGGTTAGAAGTAACTATACTTTGTGCTTTTCAGTGCTTCTGTGTGGGAACTTTGTTGTGAGGTAGGAGAAACCACAATTTCTGGCACATTATGTGGAATCATGCTTCATAAGGAGCTAGTTCAGAAGCGTCAGCAGCAGGACAGAGTTCCTGTGAGCTTCACTTGGCTAATTATAGAGTGTCTCATGTTAAAAGAGAAAAGACCTCAACTCCTTAATATAAACACTCTGCATGGACTGATACGCTTGTGATGTGCACGTGGCTTCATGTTTCTGCTTTGGGAAGAGACTGAGTGTTCTTTATTTCCTTTCAGTCAAACGCTTCCGAGAACCAAAGCATGAAAGACGTCCCTGGAGAATATGGTATGTATTTAAGTGTTAATGCATTCCTAGTGTGCTTTTGACTGTTTGAGGGTTGCGGGAGCAGTTGGATAGAATGTGATCAATTACACCCAACATGAAGTGTTTGGAATCCCTTGGTCGGGTTAGCCATTGGAAGCTGTGCATCTTGTGAACGCATGTCCATGTCCCCGAACGCATGTCCATGTCCCTGAACTCATGTCCACATCCCCGAATGGCTCCTGAGCCCTGCCTTGGTATCCCTTTGCTACCCCATTTGAGAAGATGACACCAACCCAATATGTTGTGTTTAGATGCCTGCCTGTATTCTCTGGTCCATACATTTAAACAAAAATGAATCCAAATTTGGAAATTAGGCATGCCATGTAAATGCTCCTCTTCTCCAAACCAGCCTCTTGGGTCCCAGGATAAACCTGTGCACGGCCTCAGAGTAGTGGTGAATCTTTAGGATCAGGACCCAATGATAAAATGCAAAGATAAGCTATTTGTAAGGACTTAGTCTGTTCTTAGGGAAAGCGTTGTATCACAAGAAGGTTCCTCTTGGGGAGGTTCCTCTAAGTAATGACTTAACACCTACCCTAATAAAACACCCACTCTCTCTTACAAATAAATCAGTGACTTACTATGAAATCATTATTATAAAGGCCCCTTTATAATATTTCAAGCATGTAACTGATTGATCCTGAGTGCACTACAGCTAACAACTCATAATTTGTATTTTCCCCCTAGTGCGGTGCGTGACAGGAGGGCTGACTTTTAATAGATCGCAGCAAGGTAGCTGCTCTGCTACGTACGAAACCCCGACCCAGAAGCAGGTCGTCTACGAATGGTTTAGATTTTCCCCCTAGTGATTTCTCACTCATATCTAGTTATTTACCATGAGAATGTGTTACTCCCACATCAGGGCCACAGAGGTGCCCAGTGCAGCCTCAGATTTGGGGCTTTCTGGTTTTGGGTTTTTTGGAGGTTTTGTTTTCTTTTTGCAGTTGTTTCAGCAGAAACTTAACTGCTTTTGTAAAAATGTTTCTGTAGCTAGTTATAACAGCTACAATAAAAATTAGGAGTTCAGCTTACACGTATCGGTATAACTACATGATTAAGACCCTGTGCTAATTTACCTTTTTATTAAAAAAAAAAAAAAAAAAGAACACCTCATTTTTTTTATCCCATTTTCATAGCCTGCTTTTAGTCTGTGTTTTGAAGAGTAAATCACAAGGGGCTCTCTGTTTTATGCACATTGTCCTTTATGGGGAGTCCACAGGTTAACATTGTCAGCTGCTAGCCAGAAGGTTGGAGATACGAGCTTTCCCAAAAGCCCCTTAGTGTCCCCCTCAAAATCAGCCATTGAACACCCTGACACATAAGGAGGTGCCGTGTGTTGGAGGTGGCACCACAGCAGCCAGTCTCTGGTCCTTTTAGCCACTTCTTCCCAGTCCTGAGACATCATGCCTGACATCACACAGGCGCCACTCGAGTGGCCTGGCCCCACCTCAGTGCTCAGCCTAGAAGGCAGAGAACAGAGGGTCCCACAAATGTAAGTTCACGTGCCTTCTCCAGGGTTCGTGGCAGAGGAGATGGTGAAGAGACACCTCATCCTTACCCACCCTGTCCCCCTCTCCAGCCACATGCACACAGGGTGACAGATGCCTTCAAGAGTAAAAGCCTTGGTGATTTTGTCTTTGACACTCTTGTCATCCAGCCCAGGGGTTGGCCAGAGTGAATCTGGCCTGCTGTCCATTCTGATGAATAAAGTGGTGTTAGAATGGTTGTTGTGCCCATGGCTGCTGTAACATGACAGTGGCAGAACTGAGTAGTTGTGACAGAGACCACGTGGTCCACCAAACCCAAAATAGTTCCTGGCTCTTTACAGGAAAAAAACCCAACAAAATACCAACCAATAATAACTGTCACCCCCTGATCCACCCCACAGTTAAACCCTTTCTCGTTTCAAATGCAGTGCTGGATTTGTGCGAGCCTCGCACCTGATTTTCTCTGTTATGAGTGATTCTGAATGGGAGTTATCACACAGCGGTGGTCAAGTACTTGGACCTAAAAGAAAAGGGAACATCAAATATACTGAAACTTCATAACTTAGTGGCCTTCCAGGGATCCCCAATAAGGTGTTACTGAGATGTAGCTGGGATACCAATTTTTATATATTCCCTGAGAGACTGGGGAATGGGTTCTCATGATTGGAAATTCAGGGCTTTTTCCGACTTCAGCTCTGTCGTGTCCTCCCAGATTGAATGCCTCTCTGATGTCACAGTGACAAGTGATGGTTCTTTTCCTTCCAGGTTTTTAGACACTTCCAAACAAGCCATAGGAATGCTGTTTATCCACTTTGCGAATGTGTACTTAGCAGATCTCACCGAAGAGGACCCTTGTTCTCTGTAAGTATCCCGTTTGAGTGCCAGCATCCACCAAGCCCTCACCGAGAGGTGAGCGCTTTGGGAATAGGGGCTGGCCTAACTTTGTGCCGCTGGCCCTGCTCACTTCTGCTCCTCTGAGAGGTCACCTGTGTGTGCCACCCGTAATAAACCCCACTGCACAGCTGTCGGTTGCCTGTGAGCATCTTACACGTGGCATTTGCCTTGTGTGTTAGCTTCCTGCTGGCCAGCGTCAGTGCTCTCCTTTGGTTTTCCAGTCCACCTGTCCACTTGGCCCCTGGCTGGATGGGCTCACACCCCAGAGGTGGTCTCTGCTGAGCAGGACACCTGGAACTCCTCGGTGGTATCAGCCACTCAGAGACAGAAGAACCCTTGTTGATCTTCTGTGATCTGAAGACCATGTGTGGTCCTGCCTGGTCCATGCAGTATGCCTTCCACCACCCCTAGAACAAGCCCTCTCCAGCCTACGGTGGACCATGATGTGCTGTCCTCCTTTCTGAGAGCACTTCGGTGGGGCCTGTCTCAGCAGACAGAATGGCAGAGGGAGCCTGCCTGCCTTGTTCCAGCTGTACCTCCCAGCCTGTCTCTCAAGCCCCACTAGATGGCCCCTGAGGGCCCGCAGCTCACAGCGAGCCTCCTCCCATCTGTCCTGGCCCTGCAGTGTGTCAGTGTGAATTCTGTCATTCAAGCTGGAAGATACTTTTAAATGTCTTTTCTTTTGGAGTGACAATTTGCAGTTTGAAAGTTTAGTTCACATCTGGATTTCAAAGATAAATTAGTGAAATCTCCTTCCCCTGTGCTGTTCCTTAAAGAGCTAAACTGTTCATACGTGTTTAGCTGGTTAGAGTATAGCTAAACCAAGAGACTAGAAGAGTGATCTCCCACAAGAGCGATGCTTAGCAAAGGGTCCTGTCCCTCAGGCCCGAGTCCTGCCGCAGACTCATGACATCCTCTGGTGAATCAAATGCTGACGGCCAAGGCAGGCTGGGAGCCAGCTGCACACCCAGCAGGCGCTGGGGTGAGAGGACCTCACTTCCTGCTATTGCTTCCCCTCACAGCTCCTCCACTTCCCCTCTGCAAAAGGAGGATGACAGGGCTTTAAAGGGAACTTTGTCAACCTGGATCATAACAGCGCTAGATGATGGACTAGAAAATGCATCACTCGGGGCTGGTGGCAGCTCTCAGGAGCATCGGCTCTGTGCTGATGGAGTGAGTGATGGAGTATAGGGCATTCAACTGAGGCCAGACTGTGGAAGGACTGCTGACTCCTGGGTCTCAGTTTCCTCGTCTGTCCCGTGCTCCCTGCCAGTGCAGTGGAGTCACTGTGAAAGCGTCAAGAGATGATGAATATAAGCACTTGTTAGGCTACAACTCAATGGGACTTAACAACAGTCCACCACAGGTGCGCTTATCAGTGAAGACCATAATAGTCATGGTTGTGGTTGTTGACTTAATGCAGGCACGAGAGCACCCACAGTCACAGAGCTGCTGGTGGGAAAACCAGAGGTGGAGTGGGCACTGCTTCAGAGTCCAGAGTGAAAGGCCAGGTGGGCGAGTCCGTGCTGGGCCAGGATTGCTTGGAGATTCTTCCTCATAGTGGTTGAAAAGGGCTTGGGTGGGACCTGGGGACCTGGAAGGGGAATAACATTCGTTTGAGAAGATAAACTTAAAAGGAAAGCAGTGAGCTAGCTATTCCCAAGGTTGAGCGGCGCCCTGTGCTGGCAGCTGCTCTGGAGGGACTGGGATCAAGCTTTTGTGACTTCCTGATTCTGTGGCTGGTGAGGGGCCGTGACTCTGGCATAGGAGCCCTCAAGGTGCATGATTAAAGCACTTTGTCACTGGTTCAGACCTACAAGGTGCTCCTCTAAAGATATGTCAGTCTGCTTCTGTAAAAGGATTTAGTGCCTTGGAGCCCCTGTGAGCAGTTCCACTCCGTCCTGTGGGGCTGCTGTGGGTCGGAATCAACTTGACAGCAGGGAGTTTGGCCTTTTGGTTTCCAGTGTAACAACCTTTTGTGTAGTGTCTTCTAAATGCCAGTTACTGCTCTAAAAAGTTCACACCTCTTGTTTCAGTCCTCACAGCAGGGAGCTCTGGTCATAATCAGTAATGAATAACCAGTATCAATAAGCATAATCAATAATGAGTTGCACAGCTTACCCAAAGGTCCTGTGGGTCTGATGGTCCAAATCCACCAGCGGCTCTGAGGAGGGAAGATGGGCAGCGTCCTCCCGTTGCAACTTACAGCCTCAGAAACCCAGTAGTGTCACTGTGAGGTGGGAACCACTAGGCGGCGTTGTGTGACAGTCATCCTCTCACCAGCCCACAATGGAGACACTTCGATTATACCCATTTTACAGCTAGGGTAACTGAGGCACCGAGCAATCCTGAAACTTGCTTGAGCTCTTACAGCTGAGAAGTTAGGGACCAGCCTGCATGGAGCTCAGCCAGCTGCCTGCATAACCATGCTGTCCTGTGACTTGAGGGCAGGTAGAACTTTTTCTTCCTTCCCGGCGCAGGGGCTACACCGGAAATGCCTGATGTTTGAGTGAGTGACCCAGTGTGTCCATCAGATAGATGCCCTTGCTAATTTCAGGGTGAGTTCATATGTGAGGACTCGGGTGTAAGAGCCACTTCAAACCAGTTAAATCCAAGTTTCTGATAGCAGTGTGGCCCATTCTGTAATTCAGCAATGAACTTGGACATTGGTCTTGGAGGCCCTTGCTCTTCCTCCATTTGTGATCTGAGAGTGACCTCTTGTGGTTTTAATGAAGAAGGGCAGGTGGGAGAAACCGATCTCCATTCTCGCTTCCCTTTCTCCCTGTGCACCGGAGGGAGCTCCGTGCTGTAGTCCACAGGGAATGTGCTGCTGACCCGAAGGCCGAGCCACTCCAGCGGTTCAAGGCCACCACAGCTCCTTGGGAGAAAGATGGGCAATAGCCTCCCATTCAAGGATGTTTACAGCCGCAGAAAAGTGATAGACGGTCAGCTATGAGTTGGTTCCACAAGGGGAGAGTTCTTTGCATTGTTGGCAGAACCCACGCACCCTCCTTTCATCAGGGCCCTGAGCTGTGCAGTGAGTGCTCCCTCAGGGACCAGCGCCCTGGGCACATCACCAAGGCCTGGGGCTGTGGGGAAACTGGGAGTCTGCATAAAATGCCTGAGGCCTTGGCAGCTCAAATGGTCGTCCCTGGCCTTGTGTCCCCGAGCTTATCTGGAGGGATTTCATGTGGCGTCATTCTTCACACTCATGGAGCCAGATTCATCCTTCAGGAACAAGAGAGCCAGGGCATTGGGTCTTCTAGAACATTCTTCTTCCTCATACTTTCTGGATGAGCTCGCAACAACTTCTGGTATCTGGCAGGTTTCTGGGAGAGGGGGATAAGGTCAGGAAAGGATGTTTTAGTCAGAATGGAGACCACCTCTGTAAGACGCATAGTCCTTGTGGACATTCTGTCCTGACCCTTCTTTATTCTAGAGCTTTCTCCCCTTTTCCAGTGGAGAGCGAACTGTCTTTAAATTGTAACATTTATGTGCACTTGACCCTGTCGCAGGCTCTGATGCTCCTGAGTGCATGAGGTCTCTGGCCCTGCCCTCTTCAGCCTGAGGAACCCAAGGCCATTTCTCGCTGCAGCACCATCCAGAGAGTACACGGAACAAACAGTCAGACTTTTTATCTTCAATGCTCTTCTGTTCCTTACTTCTTTCTTTTGCTGTTCCTGGTTCTGCCTCCTTTGCATCACTTGGTGGGAACAGTTCCAATTCTTTGTGTTTTGTCCCTCCTCCTGTCCTTCAAGTCACTATACCCCTGATGACACATTGCTAGGGAGGTTTGAGAGAGAGCTGCAGCCCCTCACAGAGGTGCGCTGAAGGCCACCCATCCTGCTGAGGAAGGTCACACTCTGCTGTCCACCCGCAGAGCAAGGCCCCTCACACACACTGTGCCGGTGAGCTGTTGTCCCAAAGAGCAAGGCTGTCCACTGCCCGTGTCAGCTTCTCCTCAGCCTGCACCTGCATCAGCCCTGACCACTGCCCTGACAGGCCCCACACGGAGGCCTCAGCTCAGTGACTCTTGCTCCCAAGGTGTCCCTTCCTGACCGTGTCCACGTGACCTTTCTTCTCAGGTACCTCATCAACTTCCTTCTGGATGCCACCGTGGGCATGCTACTCATCTACGTGGGCGTGCGGGCCGTCAGTGTCCTGGTGGAGTGGCAGCAGTGGGAGTCCCTGCGCTTTGGTGAATATGGTAATGACCATTCTGTGGAGCCAGGATCGGGGGGGGGGGCGCATGGAGGGGGCTGTACTTCCTGCTGCTTGTTGAGTATTCACACCCCAGGGATGGGTTAGAGCTGGGGGCTGGCTGTGTCCTCCAGGTTGAAAGGAACCAGTTTCTGGGCCACCTTCTCAGCAGGGTGGAAGTGCCACATCTCACTTCCAAGGCCCACCTCACTCCAGGGGACAGCAGCCCCCTAATGTCACAGAGGTGGTCAGAGCCAGGAATCCCCTTTGATGCCAGGAGGATTCACACGCCAGCCCTGCTACACCAGAGGACAGTGGTGGTCTCACCCGAAAGGGCACAATGCTTTCCCGTTCTGCCCTCACGTCTGCATCACATTGGTGAGATCAGGCAGCCCTCGGTCAGGGAAGTACAGGATAGGGTGCTGGCAGACTTTTCCCTCTTTCTGCTTATGCCTATGCCTTTTGTCACTGGGTTACCCCACTGGATGGTCCCCTCCCAGGCAAGGCTGCTGTGCGCTGTCTCCTAAGTGCAGCTTGGCCCCATCCAGCAGGTGCGTGTCCCAGGCACCAGGGACTCCAAATCCATGTGCACTCACAGAGACACAGCCTCCAGCAGGGTCCCTCTCCCGTGGGATACAAGCCTGGGCAGCACTGTCCAGCTGTGCATGCAGAGGCCCTTTTCCTTTGAGACTCCATGGGGACGCTGGCTATGGCCTTGACAGGGCCCAGCTGTTGAGAGGTGCCTTCCTGAGATCCTTGCTGCCGTCTGGGTCCGTCTGACTCGGAACTCTAAGTCAGGGTATGATGTCAGCTCCTTCCCCACCTTCAGAACAGGCCCCTGCTGTCCGCCAATGGAAGATGGGAGCTTCTCTTGGTTGGAACTGTATTGTTGGAGAATTTTCCATGAAGGGAGCTCCACAGGGCAAGTGGAGCTTGGGGGTGGAATCCTGGATGCCCCTCTCTTCCTGGTCACCACCCAGAGAGCTCCTGGCTCTGAGCCCCAAGGGCCACTCACTTCTGATGTCTAAAGATGTCACAGGGGGCTGACATTTTATGAACAGTTCAGAGAGTCACTGTGAGTGTTCTGAGTATTTCTAGAAATCTTGAGTACAGTAATTGTTTTTCTCCAGCAAGGAGAGATGAGCTCAGTGAAGGGCATTTCTAAGCGCCGTTACCTGATGCCTGATGAATCACTGACTTAAGATAGTGCCCGACACACAGCGTGTTACTTGAGGAAAGCGCCTGAGTAGCCCCAAGTCCTTGACTCCTTAGCTTAGAGGACTGGAGGGGACCACAGCACACCTGAGCCAGTGGACCTGCTGTGAATGTCCACATTCATTAAATAAGCACCCAGAGGAGTCACAGGAAGCTCACTCGGGGTCTGCGTGCCTTCTCCACTGGGCCACTGACCCAAGAGTGTTACTTAAAGGTTCTGTTTTGCTATGAAGAGCCTTCTAACCACACGGTGTCCAACTGTCACCACCGGGTGTTCTGATCAAGGTGCAGTGGATGGATCTTGATAGAAAGAGAGTAAAATGTGGAGCAGAATTTCAAATTCTTCAAGAATCCAGTCTTAGGAGATCTACTTGGATGAAAGAGCGCCTGAGACTGTGGCCCTTAAACTCTGAATCAGCATTGTGCTGTGAAATTGCCCTTAAACTAAGTAAGTCTAGCTCAAAATGTAACAATAGTCATCCTTGAGTCTGTTTTTTTGTTGGTTTTTTTTTTCTTCTATAAGATCAGTTGGTCAATAGCTGTTTTATAGTGTGGATGAGAAACAACTAGAACAGAAATACTGAGAAGTTGATGCATGAAGAATATAAACACTGTCCCTGGCCATTATGTCTAAAAAGTAGAATGAGAACGGGGTTTGCTTGCTCATATTTTCAGCCACTATAACATATTTAAAACAGCTTTCTGGAAGGCAGGACTCAGACTGGACGACCGCTGAACTGCGTGAAGACCAATCCACCCACAGCTGATTCCATGCCAGTTCATGCCAGGGAGGGGAGATCAGGTGTAATGCTGACGCAGCTGGCTCAGGCCACCACCTGTTCCCAGTGTGTTTGTCAGCAGCGTCGAGACTAGATTGGAAGGGAGTAGGCAGTGGTCCATTCACCCTCTTGCCCTCATCCCAGCTTCTTTTCCGGTTTGGCTTCCCTTACGCTCTACTCAACTCATTCCTCCACCACCTTTGGGAGCCAGTATCTTCAAGTCGGGGTGTATTCAGGTAAATCTTCCCTTCCTGGGACCTTCCAAGTGTTGCCCAGTCACCTGCTGGATAAATTTTGTTTTGCTTCTGCAACAAATTACCACAAACTTAGTGGCTAAAGCAATATAAACGTCTCTCTCTCTCTTTTTCTTCTTTATATTAATGTATTTTTTTCTATTTTTAAATGTGTGTTATGAGTGAAAGTCTGCGAAGTAATGTAATCTTACTGTGCAGAATTTTGACCTGAGTCTCACTGAGCTAAAATCAAGGTATTGGCAGGCTGGTTCTACTTTGAAGGTCCCAGGAAAGAATCCTGCTCCGGCCTCATGGTCTCTGATGTGCTTGAACCATTGTTAGAGTCCCTATCGCTACATCTCGTTCAAGGTCTTCCCTCTCTTGCTGACCTTTCACCTTTGCCCACATGATGTCTTTTTCCAAGTACTGGCGCCTCCTGACAACAGACCCGAAGTGTGTGTGAGATGAAGTTTCCCCGTCCTTGCTTATAAGGAACACTTGCTTCCTCCAGACAGATGTCTTTGGTCTCTTGGCAGCCCTTGGGATATTCAGCACTCTTCTCCTAAACCATAATTTAAAGGCATCATTTTTACTTCTGTCCTCCACAGGCTAGGGCAGAGCTCAGATCTGTTGTTCATAGGGTTGCTGTGAGCTGTACTCAACACCTAACAACGACAACAGGGAAAAATCATTTCTGTCTTCCTCTCCTGTGGCCCCTGACTCTTCTCCATCTTCAAATCCAGACACAGCAGTGAAGTTCCTGTCACTCTGACCTTCCACCTCCCAGCACGCCTTTACAACTCATTCATTTGGGTTTGACCTCCTGCTGAGAATTTACTTTTCCACCCAAGTATACTGAGTCAGACTCAACATTTTAACACCTAAGAATCACTTTAGACTCTGTAAGAAACACCAAGAGATCTTATTCTTATCTTATAAGTTCAGATTCTGTATACCTGGGGTAGAAAGGAAAATTCTCAACTCCAGGTTTAACCCATATGAACAGTTGGAAGCTCTGGGTTTAACCTAACAGTCACAGTTGCTGGGAAATCCAAAGTGGACATTCAGAAGGAGGGGAATAGGAAGGCTTTGCTCCATGGGCCCACCGTCACCCCTGTTAAGCAGCCCATCCAGATGGAGATGTAATTCCTTGTAGGCTCCTGTCTTAGTTATCTAGTGCAGCTGTAACAAGCATGGTGAGTGGATGGCTCTAACAGAGTGTGTTCTGTCCCAGTTTAGCAAGCCAGAAGTCTGAATTCACAGCACTGGCTCTAGGAGAAGACTCTCTGACAGTTCTGGAACAATCTTTGTCTTTTCAACTTCCTGGTTCCCTGGAGATGTGCAGCTTGGCATCCGTCTTCCCCTATCTCTGCTTCTAACTCTCTTGTTTGAAGCTCTGAAATCTTTTCCAACTCATGGTGACTCTCCTTTTCGCTGAGTTTCTAAGGCTGCAGATATATTTAAGAGGAGATTGTCTTTCTTTCTCCCTCAGGGTGGGCTGATGGATTTGAACTACAGACCTTTCAGTTACATTGATAGTCTAACACGTGCAGTCAGAGCCTCTTTCCTTGGAGCTCTGTGGGGCAATTCTTCTCTATCCTTTAGGGTCGCTGTTACTCAAGACAGTAACTGCTACAAAGGACCCACCATGTCCACACAGTGAGTGGATTTCACTGCTTTTCCAAATGCTCCTTCCAGAAACCTCTCCAGACTTAGACATGGTTCCTCTTTGTAGGTCCTATTCCTGTGACTCATCCTGAGACAGTAATACTACAACCCAGCATCCCTGTACCTGAGCCTGTCCATCTAGGACAGTAAAAAGCAAGACGCAAAGATAATTCCTGGCAGCCTGTCTTCCTTAAGAGCTGACTCTTGTTGGTGTGTGTTGTTGAGATGGAAACAACCCATAGCTGACCCTCCAGCAGCTTTTCAGAGGCTGTCAGTCACACAGGAGGAGATTGCCTGTCCTTCTCCCACAGAGCAGGTGGTGCATTTGAACCGCATGTCTCTGGGACTACAGCACAGCTCCTTAACCACTTGCCCACTACTGCTCTTGAAAAGCTGACTGAGGCCAGGGCAATACTGGGAGACTCAGATGGAGCAGAACTCAAGAAGTCTTGTCCCAGCTGTGTAGTCTGAGTGCAGAAAAGGAAGTGGTGTGTCAGAGCAGGATTATGGAATGAGTCTTTATTTCACATGTTTTTAAACATATAGCATCTAAATTAAAAAGAGGCAGCACTGCTAAACTAGAGAGCAGGAACTCAGAGCAAGTTGAGAGGCTCCACGAAGCAGATCTGAGGGAAAACAGTTCCTCATTCTCACTCACTTAAAACTCAAGAGGACATGGAGTAAGTACACTCTGAACAAGTAGGTTTTATTTTTACGTTAAATAAACAGTGCTGCTTGTTGACTTTGAAGTATGTCTGTCCTGATTCAGAGCTATTTCCTGGGAGCACTTTTTGTCTGACTGTCCTCAATCTTAACTTAGAGATTCTTAGCAAGTATTTTGATCTGTTGGTGTTGAAAACTTTCCTCAATAAGGTCAGGTGGTTTACTGAAGATTACAAAATTCAGTGAAATCTACCAAAGAGGAACTCGTACTTCGGAAGTGTGTGTGTGTGTGTGTGTGTTCATGTTCATGTGTTCTGACTCAAATATTTTGAGTCCCCAAAGTCAAATCAAACACAGAGACTTCAGGAGAGACAACTGATGTTTTTCTGTGTTCTCTCTCCCAGTGATTTTCCAGATAAGGGAATCGCCCTGTGTTTTGTCCATTACAGCTGCATAAAGGCATTCACGCGCTCTTCCACTGTGTACTTGGCGAGCTCTGGCAGGGCCAGGGGGCCTCCCGCACAGATGACTGAACATGATCGTTACGTAAATGGTAGAATCAAGCAAGAAACCAGTTTCTGGTTTTGCCAACATTCTCTTTTCACAGCCTAGATTGGGGTCTTTGCCTCCCCTGAACTCCAGTCTCTTTTCTGGCCATGGTCAGCCAACTTCAGGATGAGCCCATGGCCACTGCCCCATCTCCACGCTCTAGCCAACTACAGGATCTCCACTCTGGGAAGGTGTTTCTGGCTCCCCAGGGCCCGTTCCTTGGTTCTGCCCATCACTGAGGATGTAGATCAGCCCCTGTGAAGACTGGCATTCCCCCTTAATCTAATTCCTGTGGAACATTTTGGAAGTATTCCGGGATGTCATTTCCCCCTACTTGGGCTGGTGACTCTCTCTTTTTCTCGGGCATGATGCTTGGTGGGATGACAGGCTGGCCTTTGTCACACCCCCAGGCCATGGCCCATTTCTCCTACTTCCTGATTTGCCCATCCTTCCCCCCTGTCTCTTTTCTCCAGCCAAGACATTTCACAGTGACTCATCCTAGACACCTGGGACAGGAATTCCTTCAGAATCAGGCCTGCACTGGGGAGTGGGGACTGGATGGGAGTTGGAAGGGATGATCAGAGAAGTCAGTTGCCGCCTTCAGAACTCATGGGCAGAGGAAAAGGGTGAATGGTACCTCAAAAAATAAAAACCCAGCTGCCACCCAGTCAGTTCCAGCTCAGCTGCTGGATAGTACCAGGTCCTGGAAAAGTCAACAACAGATAATAATAGCAGCCTTGCCTAACACGGCATCTGGTGCCAGTGGAGCAGGCGAGCCAGCTTCTCTCAGTCCCAGCAGCGAGCGCAGACTAACTTTAGTTCTTCAAAATGATATCTTTGAATCTCTTTAGCAAAAAGGAAGACAGCGAGGCTCCTTTGGTTGTCTCCAAATTGGGAATTCTCTGACTAGTGTTATTTTAAAACATCCTCATTTGTCTCTGAAGGATTATGTGAATCTTAGCACTTTGGGTGAGGGGCTCATTGAGTACTTTGAGGGCCCGTGTTCTGCCTGTGATGGGGGTGGCGGTGGGACCTTGCCAGGCTCGGAGCCCCAGGTGACCAGCGTCTCCCTGTCCCCGCAGGAGACCCTCTGCAGTGGGGAGCCTGGGTCGGGCAGTGTGCCCTCTACATCATCATCATGATCTTTGAAAAGTCCGTCGTCTTCATCGTCCTCCTAATACTTCAGTGGAAAAAGGTTTGTCTCTCCTCTCCGACCCCCTAGCAGCGAAACTAAGCAAGGGCGTTTCCTCCCTGACTCCCAGCCCACTGCCACACTAATGGAAAACCAAATGTGTTGTCAGCATTTTGTTTGGGGGGGGGATTGTTTGTTTGTTTGTTTGTTGCTCTAAGGTTTTTTAATTGGCTTACATATAACTATTCACATACATTATGTTTTGTATGTGTACTTCGTGTTTTGTACAGTCACTCATATACATTATGTTTTATATAATTCTCTTTGCTCTATGCCTACTATCACCCCATCTTTTCAGATCCCCACTGAACCTTTCTCATTACTTCATTCTCTCCCTCCTCCCCCCCGCCCTCCACGACTAACATCTACTATCCCAGGGATTTCTTTTTTCCTTCCCTTCCCCTTTTCCTGTCACCTCTTCTTTCCTTCTCCTTTTGAACATTTATACATCTGTTCCTAGTTATCCCCCTATTTTCACAACGCTGGCCTTATGCAGTATTTGTCCTTATGTGACTGAGATATTTCACTCAGCATAAAGCTCTCCAATCTCTCCCAAGTTATATAGTATTTTGCAAAGTTGTTCTTAGTTTTATTTTTAAGTCTCAAATGTATCCCGGTTTTGTGGTCTGGAATGGCAGTTAGTGGCTGACCTTCCGGAACATTAGTTGTCTGTCTTACACAACACTATCCACAAGTCTACATTGTTCATCACTCCCTTTGAAAGGCTTGGGATACTGAAAGTTTGATAAAAATGTAAGCCCTGCCCCCACGCTGCTTCCTGTCTCCTATTGGTCTCCGGGCCCTGCAGCTTTCAGGAGGGTGCCCTGTGTTCGCACACCCCCCCTGCACCAGCCTCTCTCCACCAGTGGTTTAGTGGGGCATTTGGGTATCTCGGTACCATCCGTGGTGTGTGATCACGAGCCTGGTGATGTCCTGAGAGCCCACCGCCCCTGCCCCCACCCTCTGTCCCAGTTCTCAGCTCCAGAGGATCCCCAGGAACAGACAGCACAGAACTTGGCCTTTCTTTAGTTTCATCTGTGGCTGAGGTGGTTTGGTTGGGTTTTTTTTTAGTTTGTTATTTGGTGGGTTTTTTTAGAACTGTTGTCCTTCAGGAGGTAATTGAGAGACAGGTAGCACCAGTGGACCTGGCTCTCCAGCTCCAGGGAATGGGGGTGCGCTCAGGCTACACCCTACTCTCCTGGAGACAAGACACTGGTCCAAAGATGGGAGAAGCTGCCGCACCCACTCATTGTGATCTCCGTGGGCGGTTGGTGGTGGGGAAGGTCATCGCTGATTGTCGGATCTGTCCATCAGCTGAGCCCCTGCCCCAGGGCATTGTGGGCCATTCCACTTCAGCGCCTTGGACACTGGTCGCTTGGACACCTTGGTCACTCTGACCTCATGAGTCGTCTTCTCTCCACAGGTGGCCCTGCTGAATCCCATTGAGAACCCAGACCTGAAGCTGGCCGTCGTCATGCTGATTGTCCCCTTCTTCGTCAATGTCAGTGCCGTGTTGCCTTTTGTACCCTGTTTGCACCCTGCTTTCTAGGTTTCCTGTTCAGAGTTTTGAGTGTGACAAAAAGTCCACCTTGTAGCCCTCAGGTCCTCCCTACAGCTGTCTCTGTGAGCGTCTGCCCCCTGCCCCCCTTCTTTGACTGCCTGCTGCTAGCCTAAAATAACAGGTTGGCCTCCCTGGAAGGCAGACGCCTGTCCCAGGGCCCCTGTGCAAGGTGAAGGGTCCTGAGCACTGTCTTCCCCTCCCAGCCAGGGGTCCCCTGCTGAGGTGTCCTGCCCCAGTGTGACGCCGCCGTCAAGAGCAGTCCCTGAATTCCTCCTCAGTCAGTTACTCCTGACCACAGTTCAGAGACACTCACACCCATGATGGCTAAAGTTGAAAAGTGTGAGAGGAAATGGTGCAAGAACTGAGACAAACAGGTGGTGACAGAGTATGCAGCCACCTCGAGTCCAGTGGGGCCCTGACCAAATGTCCAGAGACCTTGGACTCTGGCCACTCTACCACCTGCTGGGCCAGGGCCAAGGTAGGCAGCCTCTCATCAGGTACCGTCAGCAAAACCCCCTCAGGTGAATTGTGGGCCTTCACGTTGATTCTGAGTTAAAGCAGTATTATCAGACAGAGGGTGGGCGTGCTAATGGCCTAGTGGCAGGAAGCAGCACCGCAATCCTGAAGGCATGCAATTCAAGTCCTCCAGCTGCTCCATGGAAGGAGGGCCAGTCTCCTCCCATGCAGTTGACTTCCTCTGAAACCCACCAGAGGGTCAGCTATGGATCAGTTCCAAATTTTTGGTACACAGCAACAACAACACAACAGGGGGTGGGGGTGCTGGTGGACTAGTGGTACGAAGCCAGCTGCTCTGTAGGAGAACGATGGACAGTCTCCTCCCATACAGTTTGCTGCCTCTGGGAACCCACTGGAGGGTCAGCTGTGGCTCGGTTCTGACTCAACAGCAAACAGCAGGACAGGACAGGGTAGACCCTCCCCTGGGGTTTCCACGGCTGCCTTTGGAAACTCTCTGAACTTTGAGAAACAATGAGAAAGGCTTCAGGCCTTTTGTTCATAGGATCGCTATGAGTTGTGCTTGACTCAATGGCAATCAACAATACAACAATCTGGGAGCAAATCACTAGGTCTTACCTCCTGAGGATTTGAACTTCCAACCTGTCAGTTGCAGCCAAATACCTAACTGTTGAGCTAGCAGGACTGCTCTCTTGGGTTCTTGGGTGAATTAGGGCTGGGATCGTCTCGCTAACTAACCAGAGATCTCAAACCAAGATCTCAAACCGAGGCAAGGGGTCCCTTTCTGAACTTCAGAGAGTTTGGAGGGAACTGGGTGAGGTTTTTCTTTCCACAGTTTTGGCCTTTGCGTTTGGGCAGCGAGGGTGGAGGCGGGGGCTGCGCTGCCGAGCGGCTGCCCTCAGGATAACCCGTGCCACGTCTTCCCACAGGCATTGATGTTCTGGGTCGTAGACAATTTCCTCATGAGAAAAGGGAAGACGAAAGCTAAACTAGAAGAAAGGGGCGCCAACCAGGACTCAAGGAATGGGAGCAAGGTCCGGTACCGGAGGGCCGCGTCCCATGACGAGTCGGAATCTGAGGTAGGGGCCTCTTCCACCCCGTCCAGGGCTGACCCCATCTGCCTACTGACCTCTTCTCTCGAGTGCTACGTGGCAGCACCAGCCAGCGAGGGAGAAAGGGCTGAGCCAGAGAGCGGCTCATATCACAGATAGCTGCTGGCGGGGCCAGGCCTCCTACACACTCATACCCACCACCCTGCAGGCCTTCTGTGGGCTGGAAGGTGAAGGACCTGGTAGGGGTCACTTCCCTTCAGTAGTCTTTCAGAGAGTGGGAAAAGACAGGAAAGCAAGCCCCCTGCCTTCTCCCAGGGTTCCTGGTAAGTTGACTATTTAGCAGGAGAGCGTTTGAGTCCCTGCCACCACCAAAGAGCAAGGTGGGTGACGGCTCAGCCAACGGCAAACTTCTAAATGTCTAAATTTTAGAAATTTAGACTCCAGGGAGACTGGGGGTCATAAACAGGAGCAAGGAGGCAGGAAACGGGTTCTCACGGGTCAACCATGCTCTCCTCCCACTGCCGTGTGCCGGGCACAGCCAACTTGTGCACAAACCTGTGGAGAACACGGCACTGTACAGGTTCAGGTGTCCAGAAACAGTCTGTTGTCACTCTTCAGAGACCCTCAGGCTGGTGGGTGAGTGAATTCAGAGGCTGGTCATTGTAACACTCAGCAGTAAGTGTCACACTTGAGTCATAGACAGAACGCTGCAAGGACCTGGGATGGACAGCTCACCTCCCTGAGGATCCTGGGACTTGGACAGAGGAGTACGTGGGTAGGGGAGGGTGGGTGTTATCTCCTCCATGCACACTCCTGGGATCTGTCACAACCAGCCACGTTGTCAGAGCTCGGTGAGCAGTAGGTGAATGAGCATGTTGGGTAGATGCCACAGCAGGCATGACCAAGTGGGTTGGCACTTGGGTGATGACATGTCACCCATGGTGACCAGAGCAGGGAAATGAGTTAGTTGACAGCGGGCTTTGTGACCCAGGCTGAGGACTGACGCATATGCTAGAGGCCGTAGAGAACTGTTAGGAAGGGCTAGACAGGAGGTGAATACAGGCTGGACCCCTGGCAGGAGACCCCCCAGGGGAGTGGTCTGTGGGAGAGGATGCATGGTGAACTGCCCCGCGCTGTAATAAATGTTGGCGTTCCCCTGCATAGGTGGGCCTGGGCTTCTCAGCCCTCACCTAGTGGTCCCCACCTCTCCCTGGTCCCAGGGCTTCTGAGGAGCCAGGCAGAGGCTTGGCAGTCAGCAGCGAGTCAGCGTTTGCCCAGGTCCTGATGATCTGCACATGCCTGTCACTCCGGGGCTCAGAAAAGCAAGCGGCTCCCACTTGTCTCCAGAGGTTACAGAACTGCCTCCCAGGAATCCCGGCCTGTGTGTCCTCCCGGAAGTTGTCTTTCCCCTTTGAAGAGACCTTGCAAGTTTGCATTCATTGTACATGAGCCAGCTGGAAGTCTTTGTTCTGATGGGGGTTCAGTTCCAGCAGAGGGTTGGGCAGAGAATTGGGGAGCATGGGGAGACATCTGTCCACGCAGTGCTGGGTTCCCGTCCTCAGTGACACACTGGAATTAGGGCGTCTGGGGAGGGACTGTTGTGCTCTGGACCCCGCGAGGGCAGTGACTCAGGGCCACACCTCTTCACCGCCCCAGATCCTGATCTCCGCTGATGACGAGATGGAGGAGTCTGATGTGGACGAGGACCTCCGGAGACTGACCCCCCTAAAACCTGTGAAGAAAAAGAAGCACCGCTTCGGGCTGCCCGTATGACACATTCCCGCGCTGGGGGTGACCAGGCTGGGCCGGCCGCTGGGCCAGCAGGTGGTCATTTCGCAGCATATTCCTCCCTCCTCTCTCTGTCCTTCCTCTTCTACCTCCACTCCTCTTGCCATCTCTGCCCACTCTCCCCTCCCCAGACTACTGTGACTTAACAAGAGGGACGTCGAACCAGCACCCGAAGAGCCCGTGGGCAGTCAGAGGTCCCCGATCCAGTTGCACTACAAACACTGACCAAATATGCAAGCGAGGAGTTACGTGTTGTTAGCTGTTGTCCCGAGCCGTGTTGTGAGGGACCCCGAGTCCCTCTTGTGTGTCTGACCGGGTGGCAGCGAGGGAGACACACGCGCGTGTGCGCACTCTGATGACCGGTGTGCCCTCCACCCAGGCCGTGGGAGCATGTGGACGAGGCCCATTTGGAATGAGGGTCACTTATCAACCATGTTGGAAGCGTTACACTTTCTTACTCAAAATGGCTTTTGTAACTATTGCTTTCTAGAGCCGGTTTTACGAGCTGCCACAGTGTTAATGTTTTTTGAGTATGTGTTTATTTCTTACAAAGTACCTATGGGAACTAATGGGCAAAACATAGATTTTTAAGTCTTCCGTATGCTCTTTGACTTTTATATTTTTAAGTTATATTTTCATACTATTGTATTTTAAAAAAAAGAAAAAAGCTCTTTTTAATCCCCAAAGAAATGGGTTTGTCTGCCTTCCGTGGGATGTGAACTGGTGGGGAGGAATAATGTCAGGCTTGTTGCTTTTGTTTGGGTTGTTTTTTTTTTTAAATGTGGAATATTGTCAGGTAAAGTGAGAAAACGGTCCTGTCGGGAAGGGAAGCGAGCTCTGGCCTGAAATCCCCAAGCCCCGTGCTTCTTCTGTGAGGTCAGGTGTGAGCAGGGGCAGCTGCTCTGTATGGTTCCCATACAGGCGAAATGGAAGGATTTTTCCCACTGGCCTTCCTGTTGTTAGGTTAAGAGCATTGATCGTTTTAAGTTCAGTTTGACCAAGAGCGAGACAAGAGGTCTTTTTTCATCCAGAGATGTTGAGACTGTCAGCCTCTCTCACTCTCTTCAGAGCCTCTGACATTGAAACTGCAGGTTTAAATTCCTGCTTCCCACAACTCCAGCCTCTGGACTCAGCTCCAGGACCCTCTTCCCCCACTGTCCATATCTGACTGAGCAAATTTCTGAAGTTGTTGAGGGACTGGGACTGGGACAGGTGGAAGTGAGAAAGCTCTCAAATCCATGAACAGGATGAAGTGATTCCAGGCCTGCTTTTCCTTCGGGAAGATGGCCTGGGCACAGCATGGCTCCAGTCCTTGAGGATTTGTTCGTAGCAGACGGGTGTGCAGAAGCTGTCTGAGGCACCCCCTCCTGCCGTGGGGCCTCATGCAAGGTGATGCGGCCCTGATCAGTCCCAGCCAGCCTGCAGCCTGGAGGTTTCAGAACAGAACCACAGCAGCTTGGCAGGCTAGGCGTGACACGGGTGCAGGGGAGGATACACCGGCTTTCGTTTAAAAGACAGAAGTGTTCTTCCCGTGCATGTGGGTCTGGATTAGGCTGTGCGTTTAACCCAGTCAGGTACCCTGAGGCTGCTCTAACTGCCCTCCCTGTCCTTTGCCCTAATATGGAGCAAGTCTTAGTGATGCCTTCTCAGCACCTTTTCCTCCAGGAAGGTCCAGGAGCTGGAGGGCTGAGAGGAGATGGTACCTCCCACTGTGTAGTAAGAGGTGGCTCTGCTTTTGTAGGTATCTGTGGTTGAAGAGATGAGGCGAGATGCCAGGGCACGTGAGATTAGACTCCATCCTGGACCTCACATTACTTCCCCTGTCATTGCCTTCTCTCTGCATCAGTCCACACACGCTGTGGATGTGTCAGCCAGTCTTTCCCTGCTGATTCTCTATAAAGAGAGAGAGTGGCTGGGTCTCAGCCAGCTGAATTGTGTATGGAAAGACCAGGGCCGAGATGGTTGCTTGTGGTACCACTGACCCTTCCATCTTCTCCCTTCTGTCCCGTTGCATTTGAACAATCTGTACTCACAGCTATTTCTTCCTTCATCTTCCTAGAACTCAGAACCAGAGCCTCATTTTCAGGTTTCTGTAATCTGTTAGTGATAGAAGCTCAAGGTCCATCCCGTTTCTTCCACAGGCTCTGAGCAAGCTAAGGACGAGACAGGTGCGGGGTGGGGAGGGGATGCTCAGAGTAGCCGTCAGTGCTGCGTAATCATGCAAAACATGGCTCCCTGTCTCCTGATCTTCAATAAGGGCTTTCGTGTCTGAGCTGCAGTGTCTAGCTGGCTAACCAGAGAGCAGGTGTCTGATCACACAGGACCTGGACACTGTGGCCACAGTTCTGGCCTTATCCCACTCACCCCACACACCATACACAGTGACAGGGGCTCTTCTGTGGTGCGCTGCTCCACGTGAGAGCTGAGGCCTATGGCCTGGACTTTCCCCGAGCTGCCCTCCCTCCCTGGATGAGCGTTCTCACCACCTGCTCCACGGTGCCTTACGAGGTGCAGCTCCCCACCCAGGCAGATGGCCTGGACAGGTCGCCAGAGGCTGGCATCTCCGAGCTTGAGCAATGGCAGGGCACTGACTGGACATAGTGCACTGTCAGTCTGATTGTCCAAATGTGGCCCTTGGCCAAATGTCCCACGATAAAGAAACAGCACGCCAAGGTCATAAACAAGTTTCTTGTGTCTGGTGGAAACCACCAAGTTTCTAGAACTGTCACAGGAAATGAAGATCGTTGTTGCCCTCACGGTTTGAAATGACAAGGAGGAACATCAGTGAAAGCCTGGGTGGCAGTGGTTTCTTGTTCCCCTCGCCCTGAAGATGTCCACGTGGAAGTCTGCAGCCAGTCAGCCCTATGGTTGCTGGTGGCTCCGTGCCTCAAGCTTTACTTCGTGTCCCTGCCAGGCACTCTGCCACAGGGCGTCACGGTCAATGTCATGCCTTTTTCTTCAGGGAGGAGATGTAAAGGCTCCCAGCCAAGCTGTGGCTTCCTTGAGGCAGCAATTCTGCTGGCTCCAACCGAGTCCTACCCATGGCCACCTGGCTGCAGGGCACTGGCCTCTCTGTGTGCCCAGGCCGATGAGTGGCACTGGGGCCTGCCCACTGGTCAGAGCAGCCCCCTCTGATGGTACGACAGGACTTCAGAAGACGTCTGTGTTTAGTTTGGAAGGAAGAGGGCTTTTTTGTGCCCTGTGGATGCTGGCCACTCTGAGGTGCTTGCCTTCAGTCAGGGACCTGTGGGCTGGCTTGGAATCAGTACACTGAGCTCTGGTTTGGTGTAGTTTGGTCAATGGGTTATGATTTGATCTTTCTTTATGATGTTTATTACAAGTTAGACCCACGTGAGCAAGGCTCTGTCTGCTCACTTCTGGCTGCGCTCCCAGTGCCAGGGTCTAATCGGTGGTTAGATTCACAAAAACTTTTGAAATGAAAGGGAAGATGGTATACTTACATTGTAAAATGGTTTACAATAAAGTGTGACATCTTACAGATTTCTTTTTAAAAAAAAAAAAAAAAAAAAAAAAAACAACACTTGTGTGTGAGAGTGCTCTGGGGGGGAAAAACAGAAAAAGGGGCCACAAAACACCCCCCACAGAGAGGGAAAAGGCTCCCCCAGAAAAACAGAGAGACACAGACCCTGGCCCAAAAGGGAGACAAAAAACACAGAGACAAAAAAAAAAAAACACGCGGCACAACACGGTCTCTGGGGGGGTGGGAAAAGAGAGGGTAAAAAAAAAAAAAAAACACCCCCACACACACACAGCGCAAAACACAGGTGTTCCCCCGCACAGCACAGAGGGCCACACAACAGCACAACACCCTCCCCGACACCGAGAACAACAAAAACACCACACAACACCCCCCCCCCCACACGCACACCCCGCGCTCCGCGGAGAGCGCGCGCCACACCCTCTCTGGGCACACCCCACATCACAACACGTCTCGGAGAAAAAGCTGGCGAGACCCCCCGGGGCGAGACACCGAGAGGACACAGGGGGGGGGTAAAAAATAACACAACAGGAGAGGCACATAGACGCACAAAAAATCACAGCCCACACTGGGCGCCACATCTGTGGAGACCCCAAAAGGAAAAAAAAAATCCACAACAAAAATAAAAAAAAAACGGGGATATCTCAGAGCTCACAGAGAGCCCCCACACCCCACACACACATCCCCCCACACACCCCCCGGAGAGGCTCGCGATACACACCCCCTTGGAGAGAGACCCGGGCCCACACCCCCCCCACAGCAAAACACCGGCACACACACCACACCCCCCTGGGGACACCGCCGCCCCCCTGCCCCCCACACAAAAAAACAGGTCTCCCCCCCCCCCCCCTCTCTCTGCACAAAAAACGCACACGAAAAAAGAGAAAACAACAGAGACACAACAAAAAGACACAGAACACCCCACAGAGACCCCCGCCCCCCCGCACAACACTAGACACAGAGCCCCCCGCCCCCCAAAACTACACCCCGGAAAAAGACGCCACAGGAGAGCCCCCCCCCCGCCGCTATAGGAAAAGAAAAACTCTCCCCGGGGGAGAGGGAGAAAAAAGGGGAAAAAAAAAAAAAAAAAAAGCACAGACCCCCACACCCGCCCAAAACCCCCCCCAGACCCCCACACACACACAGACACGACAAGACACGGCGCCGCACACCCACACAGCGCACACAGGCCACAAGACACAGCACAAAAAGACACACAGACACAACAATACCACAGACCCCCACACCCAAAAACAACAGCCCCCCGAGAGGACACAGGCTCCCCACAGCTCTCCGCTGGTCACACCCACACCCCCACACACAACAGCGCACAAAAACCCCACAACAGCCAAAAAAAAAACCTCAAAAACAAGACGCCCCCACACACAAAAACACAGCCGACACGCACACCTCGCGGAGAAGAGAGACACCCCGACACAACAGACAAAAATATAAAAACACAGAGCCACAGCTCCGCACACAACACACACCCCCCGCAGAGAGGCCCCCGGAGACAAGACCCCACACACAACACACAACATCCCACAGAGAAGACACCGGCTAAAACCCGTCACAGCGATAGGGGAGAGGGGAGAACACGCCACACTCACAGCGCACACAGCCCCCCACACACAAAAACACGAGAGCCTCCACACCCCCACACGGCCCCATAAGACCCCATATTTTGCGCACAGAGAACAGAAGATGTGTGGGCCCCCTAGAGATCTGTGTATATCTGTAAAAGTATAAGAGAGAGGCGCATATAAGAGAATATGGGGGGGTATACACATTGTAGAGCTAGACCCGACAACATACACTCTATATATATATGTGTGTATATGCAAAAGTGTACACACAGACTCTTCCCCAAAAGGGTGTCTCTCGGGGGAAAATCCCATATCACACCCGCGCAGAGACAAGAGACACCCCCCACACCCCCACAGCGCAGAAAAAAAAAAAAACCCACACACACAGGCGCCCCGAGACACAGCACACAGAGCTCAGACACAAGATCCCCCCACAGGCCACACCCGCGCCCCCCGCTCTCGGGAGAGGCTCACACTAGAAAATAGCGCTGTGGGCACATCACACTCCCCCCCCATACCCACACTAGAAAACAAAAGAAAAACAAGAACACTGGGGTTGCACATTGAGAGAGACCACAGGGCAAAAACCCAAAACGCGCCCCCACAACACACATGCCCCGCGCCACAGGGGCGCGCCCCCACACCTGAGACGCGGGCACACCCGCACAGCACAGCCCACACAGACCCTCACACTCTAAAAAAAGAGCACAGGGCACATAAAACAAAAGAAAACTGAGAAGAGAGGCCACAAAAAGAGAGGTCTCGGAGAGGGAAAAGGGCCCCGAAAAGCACAGAGAACAAAAAAAGAGATCACACAAAACACACCACAAGACACAACAAGACGCACACCCGGGCCCCACAGGGTAAAACAAAACACGCGGCTCACACCCAGACGCCACACCCACACACAAAAAAAAAAAGCCCCCCCCTGAAAAAGAAGAACACCAAAAGCGCCCCAGAGAAAACCACAAAAAAAAACAAGAGAAAAACCAAAACACACAACAGCACAAGAGACACTGGGGAGAGTCTCCCCCACAGGGGGGGAGAGGGCCCCCCCACAAAAACACAGAGCACAGAGGCACAAGAGCGGACACCACAAAAAAGGCGCTCCCCCCCCAAAAAAACAAAACACAAAAAACTGACACTCTCTGTCCCACACAGAAAAAGCGCGCCACACCCCCACATCTGTGCACACCCGCGCGCACACGCACACAGACACCGTGCGAGAAAACCAAAAAGCGCCCCCCCAAAAGAACATCCGCCGCAGAAAACACAACAAAACCCCCGCCACACCACACACCCAGACACACAAAACCCAGACCAGAAAACTGGGGGGTTGGGGGTTGGGGTGTGTTTTAAAAACGAGAAAACACACCCCGCGCCCCCGCTCTCTCTGTCCCCCACACCCCCCACACCCCCCCCCCCCCCACAGGACACCACAACAACACCGGGAAAACCGTCTCTGGGCGCACACAGACACAACAACATGGGAAAAGCACAGAGAAAAAAAAGAGCACAGCACATACACACACAGGGAGAAAACATCACAGAAAAGGAGAAGAAAAGCCACACACATGAAAACACTCACAGCGGTCACACAAAAGTACACATGTAGAAAAGCTCGAGAGATATATATATATATATATAAAATTTTCTCAACGACGACAGCAAATAAAATAAAACATGGAGAGTGGAGAGTGTTGGTTGGTCTGTGGTCGCCGTGGCACTGAGGGGGTTTGGAAGAAAACATCAGGGACATGGGGATACATCTGTGCCCTTCTCAGGCTTTTATCCCAGAGGAGAATGGCAGTGCTGTCAGTGGTCACTGCCCAGGCCAGGAAGAGCCCTGGATGTTAGTTGGAGTGGTTTGTGTTTTCCCCCAGTCTCTTCCAAGCTTGTCCTCCCTTCTTTCCAGCAGGAGTTAAGCAGAAGCTGGTTGCATACAACAGGCCCAGTGACACTGCTGAGTGAATGCCATGGGCCAGGTCTCACATTCCCCTCTGCTGGCTGTAGAAGGAACCTGGTGTTTCCGGGGCTCCATGGGAGACCCCCAACCCCAGCCCTGGTTTCTCTGTGACCTTCTAAAATGGCCAGTCAAGGCCCTCCTCTTGCCAGTTAACAGTTCTCTGAGTTGTTTTTGCCTTCCCCCAGATCCCCACTTTTCCACTCCCCAGAGGTGCCCAGGACTGAGAACACCAGGTTTTGCCTTGTGTGTGACTCATCTGCTCCATATCAGGCTTCTCTGGCCTCCTGTGTGCACAGAACTGTCTGATTCAAGGGATGACTGGCTATGACGCCAAAAGCATGGGCAGCTTGGCAGAGGCTCATTTCAGGCCGGCCTTGCAGGGCTGCCCTCCTGACCACTGGGGAATAGGTTTGGAGTGGGAGGCCAAGTACCCAGAGCCTTTCCCACACTTCCCAGCTGGCCCAGCCTCCTCATAGAATTAGTTCTGGTTCCAGCCTGGGCCCATGTCCTGCACCCCTAGGGAGCACACTCTGGTAGGGGGAGGGCCTGGGCTATTTTATTCGGTCCCTTGGGGAGGACCTTCCCACCATTATTGAAGGGAGGTATCTCCTCCCCTACCTCATGTCACCCCAGTCATGCCCAGAGCTCAAAGAGAGCCATGGCAGATATGCACAGAAATGAGGCTTCTGGCCACACTCTTGCTAAGAAAGGGAGTGCTAATGGCCTAATGGTAAGAAGCTGCACTGCCATCCTAAAAGCATGTGGTTCGAATCCACCAGCTGCTCCGTGGGAGTAGGATGGGCAGTTTCCCATGTGCAGTCCCGACTTAACGGCACACAGCAGCAGCATGCTAAGAAAGGTGAGTATTTTACTTTCAGTCATAGAACTCTCCACTGAAGGCCTAGGAAGGTTCTGTCCATTAGAATAGTGCCGGTACCCAGGACCAGCCTGAGCCTCCCTTTCGTCAGCCTAGATGCTGCTTGCTGAGAGGGCGACACAGCTGATATAAGAGACATTCTCACTGCCTCCAGGCCCTACTTAAGCCCCTGGGTACCTAGCACCTGGGAGGCCTCATGCCACCAAGCGCTTCCTCCAGGACCAAGACTTGCTAGCATCCAGGCTGGTCACACCTTGTGGAAGCATCTTTACCCCACCTGTGACCACAGACTCTGGCTTTCCTGGAGCCGTCGCAGAACACAGGCACTAGCTGCATCCACATTTGCTAATATTTTCTAATTCTCTTGCTATTTGCAAAGCTATCCATGGCTCCTGAGCAGCACTGTCGGTGATCTGGCTGTGGCACCATCACGTGCCCAGGGCCACAGCACTGCCTCGGGGCCCTGCCTTCCTCAGAGCCCGGGTTCTGGCTCCCTGGAATTGCTGGCCCTGTATGGGCATCCGAGTGTGCACACGGCTACTCTCAGGCCCCTGCCAAAGCTCCCGCTGTTCAATCTTTTATGAAATGAGTGCCTTTTTATCCGTTAATCCCCAGAAGCAGGGCCCTGGGCTGCAGGCTGTGGGCATTTTTACGTCTCCTGCTTCTACCACATTGCAGATCTGTGTTTTGGGAACCTTGCTGTTGTTGTGTGCCATTGAGTCAAGTATGACTCATAATGACCCCATAAACTGGTCGGAACCTTGTCCTATCTTGTGCCATCCTCATCGTCTCCAGCACACTTGAGCCCATTGCTGCAGTCACGCCAGTCCATCTCGTTGAAGGTCTTCCTTTCCTTCACTGACCCTCCACCATTCCAAGTATGATGTCCCTCTCCAAGGAATAGCTTCTCCTTGCAACATGCCCAAAGTAAGTGATACGAAGCTTTGCCATCTTGCTTCTAAGGAGCGCTCTACCTGCACTTTCTCTAAGACATCATCTGTTTGTTCTCTTGGCAGTCCGTAGGATACTCAGTATTCTTCTGCAATGCTACGGCTTAAGGGCTCAGCGTTTTGAGACCTAAGCAGCCTTGGACCCCAGGAGAGAACAAGGGGGTGACTGGACCCAGCACCTCTCACCCTAGAAACAAAGCCAGTCCATCCTTTCTTGGCATCAGCGGATCCTTCTCCGCTCGGGCACCTCTGGTGGCATTTTTGATGCCTTTACGGTCCACCACTGCCCAACCACACTGACCTGGTTCCCAAGCCCTCTTCCTCCAAGAAGTCTGCCCTCTAGCCCAGGTCTTCTCAGCCACCCCTTCTGTTTTGCCCCAGCTTGTACTCAACAGCGGACTATGATTTGGTCACTCTTGTGAGGAGTGGTGGTGACCTAGGAAGGTCCTGACCTTTGGGAATGATGCCAGTCCCCAACTCTAACCTGTCCCAAGGTCCAAGGGGCGGTTACAGTTTGCCTACTTATCTGTTGTTGCTTTTCGGGTCCCAATTTCCCAGAACCTACCCCCGCAGGGGCGGGCAGTAAGGAAGTTACTAATTCATATTCCACTGCCTCTCATGTTCAGAGGCAGCCTGGTAGTCACCGAGGGGCCAAGATGAGGACTCCAGGCCCTGTCCACACTGGCAGGTCCATGCTCGTCCTGCTCGCGCTGCTGTCTGCCTTCCAGTCCACCACTGCCCACAAGGTAGTGAGGTGTCATGGGGGAGCAAATCTATTTGTGCCCCAGTATGAGAGCTGTGAGCTGGTGAACGAGTGATGGTGTTTGAGGAGTCCAGGTTGGGAGGGGAGTGCAGAGAAGCCCGTGTGTGTGTAAGAGGAGTAAGCATGGATCTCCTGTGGGCGACCACACACCAGGTACCATCCTTGCAGCCTGATGTGTGTCTACAAGTTCGTAGGGAGCTCTGGTGGCCAAGTGGTAAGGAGTTGTGCTGCCACCCCGAAGCACACAGTTCAAATCCACCAGCTGCTCTGTGGGAGAACCATGGCCAGTCTCCTCTTGTGTAATCTGCTGCCTGCAAAATCCTGCTGTTGGGGTAGCGAGGGCTTGGTGTCAAGTCAGTGGTACTCAACTAGTTCGTAAAAGGAATCATCTCTTCTTTCCATTTTACAGAGAAGAAAGTATAGCTTACCAAGTTGGCCCTGCAGGCTGGCAGTGGGGTGGGTGGTGGGAATGTGGCTTAGCCCCCTCTCTAAGCCCCACATTACCATGGTGGAGCAATGCGGGGTGGGTCCCTTGCATTTTTATTTGCCACTTCCCCATCTGTTAAACAGGACAAGAACAGGCACTCTTCTGAGGGTTGTGTGAAGATCACACCTATGATACATACAAAGTGCTTAGAACAGCAGTGCCCAGCACAGTCAGATGTTGGCACATATGGGAGCATGTCATGTGGTTAGCTCTGTACCTTTGCACTTTGTGGAGCCGTGTGTGTAAGTGGCCTTGTGCTTCTGAGCTGAGTTGGCATTATGTGTGGAAAGGTCTATGTACCTAACATAAGGCTCTGTGTGTGTGTGCGCGCGCGCGCACGCGCCCATGTGCCCTTCCTGGGTTTAAACCTCAGGGATAGTGTGTATTTGAAGGCATAAAACATGTGTCTAAGGGAGCACCCTGCAGAACTGGGAAGGGACCACGGGCTCTAAGTCCCTGAACTCTTGGCTACAAAGAAGAGGAACAAAGAGACAAAAAGGAGCCCTTTTCCCCTCTTAAGGACCAGGCCCTCATCTTCCAGCTCCCGTGCCTCCTGGTAGAAGCATAGTTAGAGCTGTCCTCCCCAGTCAGTGGAGGCAAAGGTCCCCAGAGACTTGTCCTCTGTCCTGTCACAAGGCAGAGCTAAGACTGCATAGGAAGCTTCCTGGCCCTGCTGGGACCCTCTGCAGCTCTTTTTCTGCCCAAAAAGGGTTGTTGTTTTAGAGAATGTGGCTCCCACAGGACAAGGCAATAGTGTCCCCTTTACCATAACATCATGGGTTAGGGAGTGAAGCAGGGAGCTGCCTCTTAAAGTGAGATGAATAGTCGATTAGGAAGTTCCCTACAGGGCTTACCTTGAGACCTGATCAGAGGCTCCATCAGGTTTGAGGACTGAGCTTACTCTGGGGCCACAGTCAGGGCATGACTTGTGGCCCCAAGCTTAGCACTGTTCAAATGTCTTGACATCTACTCCTTCACTGGCTCAGAGTGACATCGACATCTACAGCCTCACCGTGGACTCCAAGGTCTCCTCCCGATTTGCCCACACAGTTGTCAGTACTCGAGTGGTCAACCGAGCAGACACTGCGAAAGAGGCCGTCTTCCACATGGAGCTGCCCAAGAAAGCCTTCATCACCAACTTCTCCATGTAGGTGCCTTTGTGCCCTCTTCCTCGCCTCCCCCGCCCCAGACCCTCTTCCTGATACGAGGTGTGTCAGGTTATTTGTCTTTGAGAGTCTCTCTGCCCCCTGTAGGGGACTGGAGACTCTATCAAGGGAGTTTAATACAGTGCCAAGGTGGTTCCACCCCTCCTGCCTTCCATCCATCTAGTCATCCATCCTAAGTCCTTCTGTCCACACACCCATTATTCCATCTATCTATCTATCTATCTATCTATCTATCTATCTATCTATCATCTATCTATCATCTATCCATCCATCTACCCATTCATCCGTCCACCCACCCATTCCCCCTGTGTGCTGCCCAGATGACAAGCACGAGGACCTCAGTATCTTCATGCCTTTGTCTTTGAGAAACAGACTTGGAATATTGAAAAGCCAGGCACAGATAGCATAAGAGTTACCAAAAGATAGAGTCCCCTGAAAATATGAAAAACTTTCCTTGAGGAGGAAACTTCTCTGTTACTGGAAGTTCCAAGCCAGACTAGTCCCTGCTCTCAGCTGGGAGACCATCGAGGACATGGCTGCCTTCAGAGGTCGTGTCTGGAGGCCTCTAAGGGCTCCAGGTGCTTCTGATCCTGACTGTGTCGCATCTTCCTCCCCCACTTCCTGTCTCAATTTTGCAGTGTTTGCTGAACTCAAGAGAGTTGTCCCTGGCCCTGTGGGAAGACAGAGATTGAGGATAGGTCAGAGACATTCCGATGGCAGAGTCAGGGATGACAGAGTGGGGTGGATTGAGTAGCACTTAAGTGGGGTCCTCAGAAAAACCTTGGCATCTCTGGAAAGTCCTGGAGGGGGTGCTGGAGATGGAGCCAGAAGATGCCTCTGCCTTCCAGCCCTTCAGCCTCACTCCACCTAGGGCACAAAGGTCATTATAGCTTGCATCTCCTCTCTCTCTCCCTCTCTCTCTGTGTATGTAGAAGGGATAGACTACCCATCTTACCCAACCCTACTTGAGGCACCTGCATGAGACTACGGTGCAAGTGAGCTTCCAGGCCAAGCCCAGCCTCCAACCCCGGTGCTGGTTCTGGCTCATCACATCTTGCCTAAGATCACTGAGCCCAGATTGCATTGCTACGTGAGGTGTCAGAGTGCCCCACTCCGTCACATCAGGAATCTCACCTCACCATCCAAGGAGACAGCACCATCCAGTGAGGGGTAGAGCCCTGCTGCCCGTTCAGTAGCCTATCTTGGGCCTAGTTAAATCATACCCAGGAATGTGGGAGGAGAAAGCTTGATCCTGGCATCCCTCCCTGGTCTGTCCTGCCCTCTTCACTCTCACCCTTCTCCACCCTTTCCTGCCATCCTAAGTAGATCAAGCCGATGCTTACCTGACCTGTTCATTCTTGTTCTACAAAGAGGTTCCGGAGAACAGTTATGTTTCTGTCCAGAATAGCTCATTCTGTTCTGTTTCTCAAAGACTGACAGCAAGGAGCAAGGCCACACCTCTGGGAGTCCCATTGGTCATTGCCCCAAACCTATTACCTGTCACCTGTCTCGCACTTGCCCTGTGAGACAGGAGTGAGGCAGTGGGAACAAGAATGAATCATAACCTTTCTTTCTCCGGACTCGGTCCTGTACAGTCCATCACAAGGCTGGACATGCATGGGTTCAGAAAACTCTTGCTGGTGTTTGGTCGGTCAGTTATTTTGGGAACAGCTGTGAGGCTGGAAGGGGCAAGCCAATTCTGAGGTCGTATTGGAAGGGCAGAGAGACCGTCCTGAACATGCACTTCCAGATACTGTGTAACTGGAGACTCCACCCTCACCCTCACCTGCTCAGGGTCTTGGATGCAGAAGGTGCATAGTCAATGTGGTGTGCTCGGATACAGACAGGAGTCACTCCGTCAGGAGGCCCAGAGAGGCTCTTGAGAGGGATGGGATTGTGATGGACCCAAGTTCCCAGGCTCTTGACAACCCCTGCTCGACCTCCACCCTAGGATCATCGATGGCGTTACCTACCCAGGAAACATCACGGAGAAGGTTGCCGCCCAGGAGCAATACAGCGCAGCCCAGAGCAGAGGGGAGAGTGCTGGCCTGGTCAAGTGAGCTTAGGGGGCAGTGGGGGGAGCCCTGGCGGGAAGATCAGGGTGAGGGCAGAGCTGCCTCTGCTTCCCAGCCCTTCTGCCCCACGCCACCTCCTGTGGCCTGAGGTCCTCTGGCCTAGAGGAATGGGTCTGATGTCCTCCTCCTCCTCCAGGGCCACAGTGGGGAGAAAGATGGAACAGTTCCAAGTTTCAGTGAGCGTGGCTCCGGCTTCCAAGGTCATCTTCCAGTTGACGTATGAGGAGCTGCTCAAGAGGCAACTAGGGGTGTACGAGCTTCGGTTCAAAATCCAGCCTCAGGAGCCAGTCAAGCATCTGCAGGTACCCGGCTCAGCATCTTCCCAGGCGCTCTTCTCGTGGCCCCTTCCCTCTTCACCTCCCATGAGGCCCATCCAGGCTCCCCGCTGACCCACAGCCCGCACCATCCTCTAGATGGACATTCACATCTTCGAGCCACAAGGCATCAGCCACCTGGAGACAGAGAGCTCCTTCCTGACCAGCGAGCTGGAGGAAGCCCTCACCACCACACAGAACCAGACCAAGGTCTGTGACAAGCTTGGGTTACAGGGAGCCAGTTCTTTGAGCTGGAGGGGTCTCTGCAGTCTCTGTCATTCAGCAGATGAGCAGGGCAAGGTCTTAAGCAGGATAGTGGGTGCAGATGTGGATCCTGAAGTTTCTGGGGAAAGAACTTGGAGAAGAGAATGCTTCAAGAGTTTGGGGCCAGATGGAAATGGCCAAGAGTAAGTTCCCTGGAATACTGGCAAAAGGCTGCAGCCAGGATTCTCACTTGCCAATATACTGAAAGGGTAGGTATACTGGTAGGGTAGGTATTGCTGCCATAGCCTCAGGGCACCTCCCAAGCCCGGCCCTCTTGTTCTTCCTCTAGGCTCACATCCGGTTCAAGCCATCGCTTTCCCACCAGGACAAAGTCCTGGATGGCAACTTTATCGTGCGCTATGACGTCAACCGGACCAACTCGGCAGGCTCCATCCTGGTGAGTGGGTTCTGGGCAAGAACAAATTCAGAAAAGATCAGAAATTCATCTGCTATCAAGAGCCTGAGCTTGGATGTTTGAGAAAGGGCAAACCAGCCATCCTTGCTTGGCAGTGTGTACCGGGGGCCGAGGGTCTGCTGAAGAGCTGATCTTCATAGTTTACCCCTTTTTAAAAAAATTTTTATTTTATACTGGTTTTTTTTTTTAAAGCAAGAGCTGCACCCACTTCCTAAACAATATGCCTCTGGAAACTCTATGATCTTTGATAAATGACAATAGTTATAGAAAGGCTTCAGGCCTTTTGTTCATAGGGTCGCTATGAGTCATGCTTGACTCGACGGCAATCAACAACATTCGTATGTATTGTTTTTCACACCGAATCTTTCCCATTTCTGCCTTTGCTACCAGGAAGATCCCAGCTCAGTTTCATGTTCAACTGACCGAGCTTCTCTTACAAGTTTCTGACATTTGTTGGGCCTCCCCTTTATGCCTTGTTTTTAAAATCTTTCCTCTCTTTTTGGTGAATTTCTATTTTATTATGTCTGAACTTTCTGATATAAGCCCCCTCTCAAATACTACAAGGCAGAGATAATATGAGGAAAATTCCAGTAGGCCATGCATGACCAGGAAAGGTTTTCCTATTGGAGGAGCTGGGCTTAGCCTAGAAAGAGGGCTCTGGATTTGAGGAGTTGGCAGTGGAATGAGGGGAAGCCACGAGACGGAGAGCACAGAGGGGTCCAAGGACTTGGAGCCTCCATGGTGGAGGAAGGTGAGGGGACTGGATGAGCAGGGCATCGGCTCTGGCCTCCTAAACACTGCCTTGTCCACAGATCGAGAATGGCTTCTTTGTGCACCACTTTGCACCCAAGGGCCTACCCAGTATGCCCAAGAATGTGATCTTTGTCATTGACAAGAGTGGCTCCATGGGAGGCAGGAAGATCGAGCAGGTAAGTCCCAGGGGCCCAGGCCTTGACCCTGGATGCTCCCAGGCACTCCATCCGTCCAGCCCAGCCCAGCAGGTGGATCCTCCCTCCATCTCCTTGGACTGGACCTTCAGAGGCTGAGAAAGGCCCATATATGGGACATTGTTGTTCCAAGGAGTACACCCTTATTCTAACCCAGACAGAAACCCCAAGATGCCAATCTGAGGGTACATGAGCCCTCTGGGAGGCTCTGCTGAGCGACCTACCTCACCCTGTCTCCTCTCCCGCCAACTAGACCCGGGAAGCCCTGATCAAGATCCTGGGTGACCTTCGCCCCCATGACCTGTTTAACCTCATTGTCTTCAGCGGAGAGGTAAACCAGTGGAAGCCATCACTGGTGCCAGCCTCAGCTGAGAACGTGCACGAGGCCAAGAGTTACGCTGCCACCCTCATGGCCAACGGGGGTGAGTGTCTCTTCAGTCCTTCAAGTGGGGGTTATCCGGGGCTGAGGGCCTTCTTAAGAGTGTGTGTCCCTCAGGTACCAACATCAATCATGCGATGTTGATGGCTGTGGACCTGCTGCACAAAAGTACTGTACAGGAGGTGATGCCTTCCGGGAGCGTCTCCCTCATCATCCTGCTCACCGATGGGGATCCCACCACAGGTGAGTGCCCTGCCCAGAAGGGCCAGCGGGGACCCACCCTGCCACGTTAGGAGACCTGAGGAAGAGGTGGCCATCTGAGGCACCTGTCTCTGAGATTCCAGAACTATCCATTGAGCACATCACTGTTTTCCCATTCCCTTTCCCGACTTCCTGACTCCAGGGGAGACCAACCCCGCAAAAATCCAGAAGAACGTGCGGGAAGCTGTGGATGGCCGTTACAGCATCTTCTGCCTGGGCTTCGGCTATGACGTCAGCTACGCCTTCCTGGAGAAGCTGGCGCTGGACAACGGTGGGCTCGCTCGGCGCATCTACGAGGACTCGGATTCTGCCCTGCAGCTACAGGTGCCTGTACCCACCCACCCCCAAAAGAGAAGGGCTCCGCGAGATCAGGCTGACCCCAGCCCAGCTTTTGTGACACACTCCCTCCCCTAACACACACACACACACCCCTATGCAGGACTTCTACCAAGAGGTGGCCAACCCATTGATGACTTCTGTGTCCTTCGAGTACCCGAGCAACGCTGTGGAGCAGGTCACACAGGACAACTTCCGGCTGCTCTTCAAGGGCTCAGAGATGGTGGTAGCTGGGAAGCTGCAGGACCAGAGCCCGGACGTGTTCTTAGCCAAAGTCAGCGGGCGGGTGGTAAGTGTCATCAGTCAATCACGAGCAAGAGGGCAGCTGTGGCTGGGGCCAGACGGGAGATGGGGGATAGGCGCCACCACTGCAAGCAGAGGAACTATGTTCAAATCCCAGCGCCACCAAGCTCTGGCTGATGGACATTGGGCAAATTGTAGAGTGCCTCAGGTCCCCCCCAATGTCACCACTTCTGGGTGACATCCATCCCCACCTCATGAGTTCATGGCAGAGCTTCAGTGAGATGGTATCGTGAAGATCCTGAAAGCACCTGTGTGGGGTCCGGTACGTGGCAGGGCCTCAGCAAGCACTATGTGACGCTGCTGTGGTTACTGTGTGCCGCAGACATCAAGGATTTCTCACTGCTTAATTTCTCACTGCTTAATTTCTCACTGACCTCCTGTCTTCACACCAGCGCTCTGAGGTTGTAGGCAGATTGGAGGGCTGGTCCTGACAAAGAAGCAGACCAAACTTAAACAGAGCAGGCACGTGGCTCTGGGTCCTCCATTGTTAGCCTCTGGTGGACCCCTGGCAGCTTTGGAAGAGCCTCTTTGCTCCACACAGAACTTGCTGGCTCTATGCTGACCTAGGGGTTCAGACCCCATCCTCACCTCCCTTTCTTCCCTAAGGACCGCCTAACCCAGGCTGCCGTTTCCACAGCTGCCTGACTCCTGTTTTCTTCTTCTCAACCTCAGAGGCTCTGTGACTGAGCCCTGCACCTCCAAACTCCCTCTCAACCCCCACTCTACTCAGCAGAAAAGGAGCTCTCACAGCCAATGGCTGGGACACAGTGCAGTTCCAGCCAGGCTTCTCGTGGAGCTGCTGGGGGATGCCAGGCCCTCACTGCTCCTGCCTCCTGCTTCCCTTCTCTGCAGCACAAGCAGAACTTCACCTTCCTAACGGAGGCCAATGTAGCCGAGCAGGAATTGTTCCGCAGTCCCAAGTACATCTTCCACAACTTCATGGAGAGACTCTGGGCATACCTGACCATCCAGCAATTGCTGGAGCAAATGTGAGTGTGTCCTGTATGCTTGGGGCTGCTGGGCTGGCCACATTGCTCTAGCACCTCCCAGTCTGTGACAGTGGGATAGAGGAGGGGGACAGGGGAAAGGATGGAAATAGGGCATCTTCTTGACATGGTGTAAAAGAATCTTAGCGCCATGTCTGAGCTCCCTGTCCTCCCAGAGGGGCACTCCCGCAAGGGGTCCTAAGGGTGGTAGACCTGTCCAGGATTCCCGGGGCCTGCTGAACACTGATATATTCTCAACCTGCAGTGTTTCCGCATCAGACGACGAGCGGGCAGACCTTGAGAAGGAAGCTCTGCGCTTGTCACTCAACTATAGCTTTGTCACGTCTCTCACATCCATGGTCATCACCAAACCAGAAGGCCAACAACAGCCTCATGTTGCTAATAAGCCCAAGGAAGACAGTTCAGGTGTGGGCCTGAGGACCCCGGCCCCTCGGCTGCTAAGTTCCTCCCCAGCCACTCCTTCCTTCCCTGTAAGACCCCAATCCTACCACTCAGAGACTCAGGAAGTGACTGAGGCCCAGGAGCTTTGTCTCATTTCACTTATAAGAAAACTGAGGCTAGAGTTTCTGGCTCCCATAATTGTTCCTTAATTGACTGCACCTAGTTTGTTCTGAGGCTGGGAATTTAGATTGAAAAGCAGTACTTCAAATTGATCACAACCATCCCAACTGTCTATTTCTCCCTCTTGTTTTACCCAGATATCAATCGCAAAAGATATTACCCCTCAGGACAAGGTAAGGGTGTAATACCTTCAATGGCTAGGCCCTGGTGATGGTTCATTTACACAAGGCCTAGTGCCCCACCCCCACAAGGCCACTGGATCCACAGAGACCAACTGGGATTTTCTCTGCCCGGCAGAACGTCATTCAGCCAAGGGCACGGGAGTCTTTAATTCCCTGTTCATTCCAATTTTATCAGGCATTGCTGGGTACTGGGAGTACAAGCCAGCCGAATACCCATAAAGCAGATCTAAGAAGCAAACCCAGGTCTTTTTTTTTATATTTTTTTTCAGCTCTGCATTCCCACGTAGGTCACTTTTCATCACCTGGACTATTCCTTTTAAGAGGTAACTATGAAGGAGAGGAAAGGGGGAGGCAACTTGGTCATAGGTTGGGCTCTGACCTTGGCTGTGCAAGGTGAGTGCCCCACCTGGCTCATCTGGCTGGGTGCAGGACTGTACTCAGGTTCAGGTGTGTCTGATTAGGAAACAGTCGCCTCCCAGATGTCCATCCCAGTGGAAGGAGAGGATTGAAAAGACCAGATAGTGTGAAAGCCACTGCCAGTGGAAAGCATAGTATCCCAGGTAGGAAGATTTCATGAGGGGTCCATCGTTGTAGCTTTAATGTTCTCCCAACTCTGGAGGGATCCTCTAGAGTGACCAGGTGTGGAGAGGAGAGCCATCCCTCTCCTGGGCCAAGGTCCCAGAGCCCTGGCTGATAGAATACTCTGCTGGTTTCAACTTTTCCAGAAATGTGGGCTGCCCGACAGAACAGTCCTGATTTGTCTAGTTTCCTGTCAGGTCCTGGGGATCCTCGTAAGGTCATCTTTGATCCCGTCGATGATCTGGTCCAGGCTTCATCATCACCAGGCATGTTATTAAGTGACCTATTACGTGACCCTCTAGGTAATAAATGTCTCCGTTTCTTCATAATGATAATTGCACGTTACCTAGAGAGTTGGATGAGCTAAAGCTCTGAGCTTGAGGTGCTTACTCAGCCTGGCACAGAGCCATGTAGAGTTGCTGGGGGTAGTGAGTATAACATTCAGCAGCTGAGGCTTGGTTTAATCCAGAATCTTTCCTGAAGGAGAAGCGGGTGGAAAAAGGAAAGCAGAGCAGAACTTGGTGGGGAGAGTAGCATTTCCTAAAGGGGCTGCCATCATCTTTATTTCTTCCCACTAGTCACCCCTTTGCCTTATCTTCAGCACTTTATTTCCTTAGGTGTGAGCTCTCCCAGTCACTTTTATTTCCCTAGGTGTGAGCTCTCCCAGACACTTTATTTCCCTAGGTGTGAGCTCTCCCAGACACTTTATTTCCCTAGGTATGAGCTCTCCCAGACACTTTGATTTCCTTAGGTGTGAGCTCTCCCAGACACTTTGATTTCCTTAGGTGTGAGCTCTCCCAGACACTTTGGTTTCCTTAGGTGTGAGCTCTCCCAGACACTTTATTTCCCTAGGTGTGAGCTCTCCCAGACACTTTATTTCCTTAGGTGTAAAATCTCCTCTACGCTTTATTTCCTTAGATGTAAGGTCTCCTATTTCCTTGTGTGAGCTCTCCTCAGCACTTTATTTCCTTAGGTGGGAGCTCTCTCAGAGATTTCAGTTGTCCCTGGAACCCTCTAGGCTGTCAGACCAGGAGCCTTGACAGAGCAGTCTTTACGCATTTCCTTGCACAGCATTGGAGGAAACCAGCTAAGATAGTTCACCATGTAAGGCCATTGTCGGCTCCATCCCTCCCTTCACTCCTGAGACACTTCTTTCCCTCCGCAAAATAAGGACACTTGACTCAGGAAGAGCTTGTCTTCTTTGGCTCCATCAGGTATCTAGTCACCTCGGTAGGACTTTACTGTTGTTAGGTGCTACTGTGTCAAGTACAACCTATAGCAGCCCTGTGGACAATAGATCTGAACCCTCTCCTATCCTGTGCCATCCTCACACTTCCTGACATACTAGAGCCCATTGCTGCAGTCACTGTGTCTACACACCTGGTTGAGAATCTTCCTCTCTTTCGCCAACCATTAATCTTTCCAAGCATGACGTCCTTCTCTAAGGAATAGCCAAGGGGCTTTGCTGTCTTTGCCTCCAAGGAGCACTCTGGCTGCACTTTCTCCAAGACAAACCTATTTGTTCTTTTGGCAGTCCATGGGATGTTCAGCATTCTTCTCCAACACCACAGTTTCAAAGGCATCAATTCTTCTTCTGTCATCCCTATTTGTTGTCCAGCTGTCAGATGCACAGCGAGTCACTGAAAAAAGACCGTGGCCTGAATCAGGCGATCCTTCTTTAGATGCCCTTTAACTGTCACTAAACTGAGTTCATTCCATGTTGGGCCCTCATACGTGATGAAAGAAAGACTCCCTCCATTTACAAAACCCAGAATTGTCTCTCAGGTTGTTTCTCAGTCTGGACTCGGAAATAATGAGCAGAGCTGGCCTGCAGCCTGCCTTCTCTGTGATTCTCCAGCAGCAGGCTCTCCTTTTACAAATAACCGTCAAGAGCTCCTTCAGATTGGGTGTTGTGGGACAAGGCCCTGGTGCATGGTGGTGATGGCTGGAGGCCATCCTGACAGCTCTGATGCGCTTTTGATCCATTTTTGGTTATTCTTCCATTAACACCTGTTCTGTTGCTATCAACCTCTCCCATTTATGATCAGCACGTGTTTCATATAGATGTATAAGAATCAAAGATGAGCACTCAGCCCAGACTAGAGCTCCTGGATGAGCCTCTTACTCTGTAACAGGGGGACCCAGGGAGGGGAGATCCCCGGGAATCATTATGAATCTGCTACACAGACTTCTTGAGGTTCAAGTGGGAGCCCACCCATACCTGCTGCTGCCCCATTCTTCTCCTACTCTCTGGGAGTCTAACCCTGGATTTTCTTTCTCCCCCAGAAAAACTCCCAGTAGTCTCAACCCCAGGTAAGTTGCCAGCCTCCTTTCCCACCTACCCCTTCCTTGACCCCCAGCCTGCCCCAGGACCTTTGATTTGCTCTCCTAGCCCCAATCAAGACACCTCACTTCATCCTGCCACTGCCTGGGCAGAGCATGGACCCGCTCTGTGTGGACATCAAGCACTTTGAGGGGACAATACGGCTGTTCTCCGACCCTGAACAAGGTGAGAGAAGCATATGCAAATGGCCAGAGGCACACAGGCACCACTGCTACCACCTTACCTTGTCTACAGAAATACCCATGTGCAGGCCTCACCCACTGGCCTGTCACAGACCCCAAGCACTCCCTAGTGCCCCCTCGATTGCTCACACATCCACCCCACAGGCCTTCCTCTAGCACCACATGTGCAGATCTGGGTGGCCTGATCCTCTGGGATTAGTGATAACTCAGGCGTGGGCTTGCTTCCAGGCCCTCCCGACTCCAGGTAGGGGTGCAAATCGGGGTGCAAATATGTACCACGACCCAGAGTGAGCACAGAGGAGGAGGCAGGAACTGCCTGAGGGTCAGGGGAGCTGAGGTCACAAAAGGTGGCTGCGCCTTGGCAGGCAAGCACGAGTCTTCCTGGTAGAGAGAAGGTCAAGATATCACACTTGAGGAATTAGCACCTTCAGAAGCATGGAGCCCAGAAGGACACTGGTGGGACAGCAGAGTGTCGAGGGGGAACATGGTAGAAGGAGGGAGATGGACTGCCAGGTCTCTGGGAAGGGCCTCACCTTCCCAGCTGAGGTGGTTGAGGGGGCGTGCACACGCACTCAGGACTACTCATACCCACACCTGAAAACCCTTTCAACCATGAACATTACAGCTCCCTCATGCCTCCCAGACTGCACAGAGGTTCCCCATTAATCATACCAGGCACCTTCTTTGCAGCCAGAGGGCAGAGGCCACTGATTTTTTTGAAGAGATTGAGATTGTACACAGCTTTAGTTTGCTTGGCTCCATAGTTAACAGTCTTGGCACCAGCAGCCAGGAAATTAAAAGGCGCATTGTCATGGGAAAGTCTGCTGTTAGGGACCTCTCCAAAGTGCTGAAGAGCAATGGTGTCTCTTTGGAGACTAAGGTGCGTCTGATACAGGCCATGGTCTTCGCAATCACCTGTTATGCATCAGAGTTGGACAATGACCAAGGAGGATAGAAGGAGAATTGATGCCTTTGAGCTGTGGTGCTGGAGAAGAGTATTGAGAATACCATGGACTGCTAGGAAAACAAACAGATTTGTCCTGGAAAGGGTTAAACCGGGTGGCTCCTTGGAGGCAAGGATTCTGAGGCTCCGTCTAACATACTTTGGACATGTTGTGAGGAGAGACCGGTCCTTAGAGAGGGACATCATGCTTGGGAGGATGGAGGGATAGCACAGGAGAGGAAGGCCCTCTATGAGGTGGATTGATTCAGTGATTGGGATAATTGGGATGGGAGTGTCAGAGACAGTGCGATTGGCACAGGACAGAGCGGAGTTTAGGGCGGTTGTACATAGGGTCGCTATGAGTCGCAGGCGACTCAACAGCACATAACAACAACAACAACAACATCATTCTTAGTTCTGGCATCTAGCTGAGTGTGAGGCATACTGCCAGGGCCTTAGAAAAGTCTATGGAGTTGAGAAAAGACCTCTCTTCTCAGAAGTCTACATCTGAGAAGACCTTAGACTTGACACCACAAAAGATTTTTGAAGGCCCTTCCAAAGTAACATAAAATCAATGGATGAGTGAGATGATTGGGGGAACTAGGCCTTTGTGTGAGGGAATGCTGAGGAAAGGGTGCTTCAGCTCACAGGGTCCCCTCCTAAGGAGATGGGTTGATGAATAGTGGTTTCAGAGCCAGCACTCATCGCTAGTATGGCTACAGCTTTACTTCTCTGGTCCTGGCTTTCTCAGGGATTGAGGTGACTGGCCTGTTTGAGAAAAGTAAGTTTTCAAGAATTGAAGTGACTTTCAAGGAACCCGACGTACAAGTCCGTGCATTTGCTGAGCACGTTGTGGTGACTCGGAATCGAGGAAACTCCGCTTACAAATGGAAAGACACGCTGTTCTCTGTGACGCCCGGGTAAGGCCTAGGCAGAGGGGTCAGGCAGGTGGCCCCCTGCTGGTATTGGCTGACCACACTGCTGGCAGATGGTCTGAGGCCACAGATATGGGGGTCAGAAGTGAGTCTTCTGGAATGGGCTACACCACAGGAGAGTAGAGAATGTAGGAGCCCTGTGTGTGACCCCACCAGCTCTGGAGGGCTCCAAGGGGAAGACATGGCTCTCCTCACACCTAACCCAGGACACAGTCCCAGGCCATGTGAAGGTGGCAGTGTGGATTGGACCTAGTTCTGCTGGTAATTAATCCTCATAGTCACCCTAAGCCTCTGTTTCCTCACTAAGATCTGGGGATGATAAGCCCTGACTCTGAAACAAGAAAGGACAATTCTGGGAGGCTGGGAAGTACTTTGTCCACTAGATGGCAGAGTGCTTCTCAGGCACACCCGGCCCCAGGCTGGATACTGCAATATCCATGATTCCATCCATCCCTGATCTGACACTCACCCTGTTTTCCTGTTCAGAGAATTTGACAAGAATGCTTAAGCTTGACAGCTTGGGCAGAGATGAGGAAAGGGAGCTAGTTTTCCTGTAGTGGAAAAATCCTCCAACTGCCAAAGCTCCATTTATGATGGGTGTCCAAGGTGACTGTCAACGTGGCGCCATTGTTGCTCCTGGAGGAACGTCTTTTGAAATCCTATCTCACAGTAGCTTCCAGTGTAATCACCAGGACACATGGATTCGAGGAAGTTACTCTTGTCAAAATAACAGGTTCCTCCACACAGGTCTCAGTAGGCAGAAGTGGCTGCAACAGCAGAGTATTTTATCTGACAGGCTTAACTCAAACTCAACTCACTGCCATGGCATCAGGACTGACTCACAGGTGCCCTTCCAGTGGGTTTTGGAGGCTGTACATTACTCTGGAGGAGATGGTCCATCTCTCCATGGAGCAGCTGGTGGTTTTGAACTGCTTGCTTTTGGGTTGGCAGTGCAACTCTTTATCCTTTAGGCTACCAGAACTCCCCCTGACATACTTAAAGGAGGCTCTAATTTATCATAACATGAAAAACACAAGGATTTTTAAAAGTAGCTGCTTTAAGGAAAGGAAAGAGAGGATAGGATAAGGAAGGATTTGCCATTCTAGACTTTAAAGCATTTTATTAAATACTAATCATCGAGAACAGGACATTAGCTGTAAAAACAAAAAAAGGGCCAAGTGCACAAATAGTTGAATGGAAAATCAATTTGCTCCATAAGATTTCACTCAAATCATAAGAAAAATGTTTTTTTAAGGGGTAGAGGAGAGCAGCACAGAGTAGATGTATCACATAAACTCCCTAAATCATTTAAAATAACATCGTTGTATGTTGTGACATAGTCCATGGGGGGCTACACTGCTGTCCCAAAGGCTGTGTCTCTGGGAGTTAGCAGTGGCTCCATGAGAGAAAGGTGGACATTCTCTTCGGCTGAAATTTACAGCCTCAGAAACCCACTGGAGGGTCAGCTATGAGTCGGTTCTGACTCTCTGGCAATGAACAGTTGAATTGTGAGTCATAGTCCATACTAGGAGGATAGGTCAACGTTCAGATCCATTCATAGGGTCATTATGAGCTGCAGTCAACGTGACAGCAGCTAACAACCACCAGAAAATAGGTATCTTTGGTGGCATAGACCACAGGGAGTTGAGCTTCCAATTGAAAGGCGTGTCTCTCTGGTGGTTTGGATCTGCCAGTTGCTCCTTGGAAAGAAGATGTACAATCTCCTCCCTTGCAATTTACAGCTTCCTGGAAGCCTGTCAGAGGCTCTAGGCTCTAACTCAAGGGCAATGAGTGTGAATTTTGAACTATGTGATACATAACTATATTGTAATACAGTATAACCTCTTCAAATTCACAGGAAACCAAATTTAAGAAAGCAAGAATAAAAATCATTATGTTATAAATAATACTGGAATGAACCTATCATTAGATTAACTTGGGTCTCACTTCACCAATGAGGAAACTGATGCCCAAAGACTTAAGGGATGTCTCAAGCAAGGCCACGCCGTGAATCCTGGGAACAAAAAGGCACTGCCCAGCCTTTGCCCATCCCAACTGCTGAGGTCTGTCCTCACGTCCATGCAGGCCTCCCCATGTCCCACCTTCCTACTCAGAACATTGGTGTTTTTCTGCAGCTTAAAGATAACCATGGACAAGACTGGTCTCCTGCTGCTCAGTGCTCCAGACAAAGTGACTATCGGCCTATTGTACTGGGAAGGCACCGACGCAGGCCTCAGGATTCTGCTGCGAGACACTGAACGCTTCTCCAGCTTCGTCGATGGGACCTTAGGTATGGCTTGATCTTGGGACCGCCTCGGCCTGGCTGACATCCAGCAGTGCCCCTCCTCTCTGTGGATCCCCTCATCTTTCTCTGAGTTTTCCCCGACTGCTGACTCACCCTTGCATTTCAGGCCAATTCTACCAGGGTGTGCTCTTCACATCCCCAGTAACGGAAAACAAAAAGAAAATAACAGTTCATGGAAAAAACTACCATATCAATAGGTGAGCCAGCACCACCCCATCTAGTGGGGAGCTCTGCTGAGGGGCCCAGAGCTAGGCTTGATAGGCTCCCACCGCCACCTTACTCAGAAACTGGAAACAATCAAGTGAAAGAGGGAATGATGCTGGGGCTTCCCCCCCGCCACCTAGTGACCAAAAAAAAAAAGATGGCCAACTCAGACCCACAGAAAACATACCTACCCAGATATCACTGGCGTGGTTTAACCGCAATAGGAACCCCTCCCCAAATCACCAGAGCCATTGACTCTGGTGGCCATACAGAGCAGGCCCCCTCTAGGCAACTCCTTTGGTGATGGGGCTTTTCAGCACTCCTGAAAAGAATTCTAGAGAGGCCACAGGGCTCCCTGTTCACCCTGTCCCCATCGTCAGCTGGCCCTTTCTCTTGTCACCGTACCTGAGATCGGCTGACCACCTGTTTGTCTGTCTGTTTATCTCAGGGAGTTCCAACTGGATTATCGACAAGGACTTCCGGGAACAGGCATTACCTGCTGGTCTATAGTGCTGTAGTTTGGAAGGGGGAGGGACTGCTGTGAGGCTGCAACCGTCAGAGCCGTGGTGGTGGGGCGCTGGACAGTGATGGGGGTTCCCACTCATCATAAATAAAGAAATATGACATGAGCCCGAGGACTGCAGTGTTCAGCGGCCTCAGATCCCATCTTTGACACTCAGCATAGTGGGCTCTTTGGCAGCCCCTCAAGGACCCTACGGCAGTACAACCACGGCACACTTTCAGTCCAGTATCTTCAGTTCACAAGCAGGAAAATTAAGATTTTTGAGAGGCTAACCCATGTTAAGTACCATGATAGTCTCCAACCAGGGGCCTGAGGCTGAAGAACACGCTGCAGGAGCCAGGTGTGCCCACTTTATCATTACCCAGTCTGTTAGAAACATTTGTTGTGTACCATCGGGTCGGAACCAACTCATAGCTGACCCTCTGGTGGATTTTCAGAAGCAGTTAATCCAATGGAAGGAGATTGTCCATCCTTCTCCTGCCCAGAGATCGGCTGACCACCTGTTTGTCTGTGGAGCTGCTGGTGGACTCAAACTACATGCCTTTGTGATTGCAGCATAGCTTCTTAACACCAGGCCAGCAGAGCTAGAGTTAGAAACAGTCTGGGGGTGGGGGCAGGGAAGTGAACTGGATTGAAGCTCTTTATAAACCAATCCCTAGACTCTCAACTAGACTTGGGCTCCTATAAAATGGGATTTGCCCAGCATACTAGGAGCTTCTTACCCAGTCATAAAGAGATGTTAGCTCCCAGCAAAGGGCCCCTAGTCTTTGGGGGGAAGCAAGGATATCTCCCAGGAGCCTTTAGTCTTATGGGGGTGATCCAGATCCTCAGCTTTGGAATCTTACACTATTTGGCCTCCTATCCATGCCCCCAGATTAGACACAGTAAAGATTTCACCTAATTTGTGCACGAACAAAACATACTTTTAAAACACCAAAATTAATCCACCAGATGCTCTGCTGGAGAAGGAGGGACAATCTCCTCCTGTACTAGTCAGATCCAATTTGACAGTACACACACAAAATAATAATAAAAAAATTAAAAAATAAATAAATGCTATAGAACACCAAAATTTTCACACCCATATTTATTGCTGAGTTATTTACAATAACAAACAGATGGAAGCAACCCACATGCCCATCAACAAACGAATGGATAGAAAAACTATGATCTATTCATACAATGGGATACAATGCAGCACTGAAAAACAATGAACTCATAAAACACTAAACAACATGGGGGACCCTGAAGAACTTCATGTTGGGTGAAATAGCTCAGTCACAAAAGGACAAATAATGCATAGCATCACTGTTATAAAGCAAATCTGGCATGGAAGGTTGGAAGGAGAATAGGACAAGGGAGGATAAATTATGACCACTGCATTAGAACAGATGAAAGAAAGAACTGGCTAAAAGGAATATTTGATTGGGCATTATATATACGACAACAGCCCAGACTAAGAGGTCTATATCATTGCAAAAGTGAACTGGGGGGGAAAGAAGGGAGAGGAATTAAAATGTGCAGCAATAATGAATGAAACTCTAAGTTCTCTGTAAATGTTCATTAAAATTACAATTAAAATAAAATTTTATTTTTTAAAAAAACTACCTAGATTAAAAATGAGAATCTTCCTACATTATCTAAAAACAGAACAACAATAACAAATCTTTACAAGAGCAGAGAGCCACAACTTTCTTTTTTTTCCCTTGAAAGTCTGTTTTAATTGTCCCATTGCCACAGTGCTTGTCAAAACCAATTCTGATTAATCTCCTTTGTCAGTGTGTCCTTTGTCATTCCCTATCACTCCTCCCTGAGAGAGATTTCACCCTGATTCATAAGGAAAAGGGGATGGCGTATTCTCATAGCTACTTCCTGCTGAAAAGGGAGGAGCCACAACTTTCTCCAGAAGACCTGGTCAGTAGCTCATGGTGCCACCAGGGCTCCCAAACATGTTAGTAAAATCTAAGCCATCTCTGTTGCTGGTGTGTAGATTCTGACTCATGGCAACCCTCTATTGGGTTTCTAAGGCTGCATGTCTTAACAGAAGCAAACAGCCTCATATTTTTCTAGATGAGGGAGCAGCTGAAGGATTCAAACAGCTGACTTTCCTGAGAGCAGACCAACATGTAAAGCGCTCCACCTCTAGATCATCCTTGAACATTTTAACAGCCAGTCTTACTATTCTGGAACATTTTCTTGGGTTCTGTATGAATATTTACATAGAAAATTGGTTTCCCAGTCAACAATCCATAACCAAATTGTTCTGTGGCATTGAGAGTTATCCTTGAAAAGTGCTAACACTCTGTTGTTGGACAAATGTCTGTTTGGTCTGGTATAGTTAATGGTTTAAGGAGCACATTCCTCCTGGGTGTTATTGTTCACTTTGTAGGACAATCTAATATTTGTCTGCTGTGGCGCCGGTGACCTGTCAGCAGCAAGGGCCTCCCTAGTCCTGCTCGCTTGTTTCTAACCAGGAAGCAGCTGCGTGCAGCCCCACAAAAGGCCACCTTCCTACTATGTCTTCTTCACATGGTAACCAGAGTTGTTTCCATGGTTACTAAATTCTTCTCCTGATAACAGGACTTGTTTTGAAGGGACAGAGGCTTTTTTCTTTTTTTTCAAAGTGACAAACCTTGTTGTCATGGATATGCGAGATGGGCAGGTATACAGCTTTAGTTTCCAAGTTCCCTTTGGGAGATGAAGACAGTGGGCCGACCGGGTTTTGCAGGACAGGACGCATCTGCTCCCTGGCCAGCACCAAGTGAGCAGGACTAACGAGGCTCCTGCTGCTAAAAGAAATGAGGGCCCAAAGCAGAAGAAGCAGAGGGTGTGGCCCCTGCAGCTATTCCCGCCCACTTCATTCTGAAGTGATGACCCTAAGGGGTTTTTCTTTTTCACGGTGAGGAATCTTGTTTCCATGGTTACAAGACATGCTGCCATGGGTAGGAGGCGTGTTTTGAAGATGAAGAGGCTATTTTTCAAGTTGTGAAATCTTGTTGCCATGGTTCCCAGACTGGTTGCCATGGTTCCCAGACTGGTTGCCAAGGTTACAGACTGTTGCCATGATAACCAGATTCTTTTACATGGTAACCAGATTGTTTCCATCGCCACTAATTTTTTTTCCTACGATGACGGGACTTGTTTAGAAGGTGCAGAGGCTTTTTTTTTTCAGTGACTAATCTTGCTGCCATGGATATGGGAAATGGAGGAATGGTATCCAGCTTTAGTTTCCAACTTCCTTTAGCAAGATAAAGACACAGGGGGCCGGCAGGACTTTGCAGGACCAGCTGCTCTCTGGCCGGGGAAAAAGTGAGCATGATTGGAGAAGCTCCGGCTGTGGACAGGCCGCAGGTGCTGAAGCAGAGACATCCTAGGCCCTGCAGCTAGCCCCGCCCACCTCGCGCCCACGTGATGACCCTATGGGTTCTTTTCACGGTGAGAAATCTTGTTTCCATGGTCAGGGGACATGCTGCCATGCTTACGGGGACTTGTTTTTGAAGAAGCAGCAGCAGCTATATTTCAAGGTGAGATACCTTCTTGCCATGAGAACCAGTATGGCTGATGTGGTTACCAGACTGGCTGCCATGGTAATCAGATTCTTTTACATAGTGACCAGACAGGTTTCATGGCTACTAAACATTTTCCGATAATGAAGGGGCTTTGTTTTGAAGGCACAGAGGCTTGTTTTCAAAGTGGCTAATTTTGTTGCCGGGAATTTGAGAGACGGGCACGTGTCCAGCTTTACTTTGCAACTTTCCTTCTTGAGATGAAGACATTGTGGGGAGCTCCGCATGATCCTGCGCCCTGACCGGGAACAAGTGAGCAGGCCTCGTGAGGATCCTGTGGCTGAGGCACTAGGCACCAATGCAGACATGTGGGCCCCGAAGCTAGCCCCCCGACCTCAAGAGCGCCTTGAAAATAAGGCCCATCATTGTTGGAAAAATTTTAGTAGCCATGCAAACAATTTGGTCACCAACTAAACAAATCTTGTTACCATGGCAACAATATTCTTCACCTTAAAAAACAGCTTTTCATTTTCAAAACAAGACCCCTAACCATGACATCATGTCTTGTAGCCATGGGAGCAAGATGGTTCACCTTAAAAAAAAATTCCTGAGTCATCACTTCATTTTTATATGGACGATGCTCACCAGTTGGGCCACAGCATCTGCTCCAGTGACTGGGGTCTGTCAGTAGCCTGAGCTTCACTGGGCCTGCTCTTTTGTTCCTCGCCAGGGAGCAGAGCAGCTGCACGCAGTCCTGCAAAACCCCATTGGAGCACTATGTCTTCATCTCCTGAAAGTTAGTTGGAAACTAAAGCTGGACACCCATCTGTCTCTCATATCCCTGGCAACAAGATTAATCACTTTACAAAAAGCCTCTGCATCTTCAAAACAAGTCCCATCTCCTCATTTCTCGTATCCATGGCAACAACATTAGTCACTTTGAAAATAAGCCTGCCCAACTTCAGAGCAACTCCCATTATTGGTAATAAGATCATAGGAAAAAGTTTAGTCACCATGGCAACAAGTCAGGTTACCATGGCAACAAGTCAGGTTGCCCTGGCAATAAGGTTGTTACCACGGCAACCAGTCTGGTAGCCCTGGCAACTAATCTGGTAACCATGGCAACAAAGGATCACATCTTTAAAAATAGCCTCTTCATCTTCAAAACAAGTCCCCTAACCATGGCAGCATGTCTTGTAACCATGGGAATAGTCTGTCTCACCTTAGAAAGAAAGCATTCTTGTCAACACTTTGGCCGTGTGTTAGCAGGGACTGCTGGGCAGGCCAACTTGTCTCTTCAGGTGCCTGGGTCCTGTCAGTGGCCTGAGCCTCACCAGACCTGCTCACTTAATCCTGGCCAGCGAGCAGAGCAGCTGCATGCGGTTCTGCAAACCCCCACAGGACCACTATATCTTTATCTCCAGACGGGAAGTTGGAAACGAAAGCTGAACACCCATCTGTCTCTAATATACATAGATTAATCACTTTGAAAAAAGCCTCTGCACCTTAAAAACACAAGTCCCATAATCATGAAGAAAAATTTACTAACCACAGAAATAAATCTTTACCATGGCGACAAGTCCGGTAACAATGGCAACCTGTCTGATAACCGTGGCAATAAGATTCCTCACCTTGAAATATAGCCTCTTCATCTTCAAAACAGGCCTCCTAACCATGGCAGCATGTCTCATAACCACGGGAACAAGATTTCTCACCCTCGAACCTTAGGGTCATCAGTTTGGTGTGAGGTGGGTGGGGCTCATCCTTTGGGCCACAGCAGCTGAAAGGTGACCTCCAGGAGTGATTTCATTTCCACTGAGGTTGCATTTTGAAGAAGAGTGAGAAGTTATCCTAATAGAGCAAGTACATCAGGCGGAGGAGAGAGCGTGTGTGCAGGCCTGTTGCCAGGACACAGGGTACTGAGCTAAGGGAAGGTGGAGGGAAGAGGTGGAAGGATATGGTAGAGGGACAGGTGTGAAGGGAGAGGCAGTTCAGCACGGCTTTTCCTCCCTCCCATGAAGCCTGTCCTCTTCCCAGAACGTCTTTGGAGCCATCGAGGCTATAAGCAGAGACAGGCACAGCCAGGAGGAGGTGAGGCTGAGGAAAGGACAAGATCTGTCCATTCTTGCCTTTATGGAGGCCCTCCCATCTGCATGCTGGGGAGAGGAGGCTGACTGGAGGCCTCCTTCTCCTTTTCTTCATGACCTGCCAGCCTTGGTTGTTCTCTGGAACATTGTGGCACCCCAAGAGGACCACAAATTTGTGATACTTTTTTTCACACTTTCCTGTTAGCAGGACCTTTATCCCCATTATGTAGATGTGAAAATGGACCCTCAAGACGAGTAGCTTAAAGCTATGAGGCTCTTAAGCTCAAACAACACCCCTGAATTCTGGCAGGCCAACCCTCTCCAGGGTTTCCTTTTCCTGTCCCATCTACTCTCAGGCCAGTCCAGCCAGGGCTTCTGTCACTTCTGGGGCCGTGGGGGAGGTACCGCCTGAGATCACTCTGATGATATACATGTCCTCCTGAACTGCCCTCCTGCCTTCCCCTGCCCTGAGGCCAGCAAGGGCCCTGGAAAACTCTGGTTCTTGCTCCAGTAGTGGGAAGAAGAAGTGGGTTCCACAGTGAGACATAGGACAACTTCCTAGTGAACTGCGGCCAGGCTCCACCCAGGCTGTGTTCATGGCCCTTCCCAATATAATTTCAAACTCCTCCAGTTTGAAACTCCTTATTGTGTTTCCTTGTTCTGCCACTGATCATCCACTGCTTCCTTCAATGGGGCACCCACTTCCCAGGATGCCCTTAGGCTGAGGGATCAGCAGAAACCAAGGAACCAGGGCAGGCGAGGGTGTGTTTGCAGAACTGAAAACAACTTTTGCATCCACACTCCAGACACTGAAGAGAGGCACCAAGTACTGAAGCAGGACAGACCACAGGGAAGACTCTTGTTTTAGGCTCAAGATTAACAAATGGGTTTTAGGCAAGAAGTAAATCAGTTCTGCTTAGTAAAAAGCTCTCTTGGATTCAAGAGAGGAGGGATAAGGAGACCCAAGAAGGAGCACTTGTAATCATTCAGACAGGAGAAATCTCAGCACCCTTCTCCCAAGAAGGATCTCTGTCCCCGTCATGGACTCCTTGAAAATGAAGCAGGTAGTCATCATTTGGTATGATTCGAGGATTCCAGTAATGCTCAACCCCTCTAAAGGCAAAATTGGGATATCCATGTGTGCTAAGCTAAGCTGTGTCCTCCAGACCCTGGCCCAGAGTGAATAATATGTGTATCTGTTGGTGGGTAGATAGGCGAGTGGATGGACTGATGGTTGAAGGGATCCGTGTTTGGATGGATGGATTTGTGGATGGATGAGTTGTTGAATAAATGGACTAACAGATTATCAAAAGGATAAAGAGATGGATGGCATTCTCATTTAGCTGTGAGCTATATCTTCTCCGAAGCACTCATTTCTTTTGAGTTGTAGGCAGATTTTTGTCTGATTATCCTTCTAGGAGTTCTTGAACCATGACTTATCTTACACATTTGACATACATTAAACCTTTCCCAACTGTGAGGCAATATTTTTCTTCTTGAGTCAGTTCTCATAAAGCTATCATATATTTTAATCCCCCCAAGTGCTACCTCAGCCAACCCTGGGTTTTTCTCTGGGGCAAAGGTCTCCCAGAAATGCCAAGGGCATGGCCTTCCTTCATTTTAGCTGCCCCAGGTCCCAGCTGTGCCCTGGAGCAGGGGTCTGTACAAGCATGCAGAGGCTCATAGCTGTCTGGTTTCCACTTTGAGCTTTATTGTTCCGGTTCCTCCTGCAGGCCTGGGTCTGTGCCCCTGTGCTCAATGGTAGTCAAGCTGGGCCAGCTGTTCTCGGCAGGAGCTGGCATATCCACTCAGAACAGGCCAGGGACGATGTAGTCGGTGTGGATGCCGTCAATCAGCCCCTCCCCGTTGTTGTGAACAAACCAGCAGTCAACCTTTGTGCCGACCCTGGCATCCTTCCTGTAGTCTTTCTGGGAGCCCCTGGGAGAAAGGAGACAGATGTACAGGGGGTAAGGTGGTTGTTAAGGTCACTGAAGTTGGCAATTTTGAGAACCCCATAAGTCTTTAGTCGAAAATGGGAGTCACATTATTACTCCTTCTGTGGGGCCATCTTCAACTTTATCCTTGGTTAGAAGGAGGTTTGGGGTACTGAGGGAAGCAAAAGTACTCTGAAGAACACAAGAGCTCACTATACAAATGTGAATACTCAGAAGGAGAGCTTTCTTTCAGTCCCGTTACTGAGCATGGTCAGCGGAGCTGCCTCACCTGGTGACCGTCAGCCGATGGTTCTTCACCACCATTGTGGCATCTGGTTTGGCAGGGTCAGAGCCTTGGTGAACATCAGACACTCTGAAGTCAAAGGGATGGAAGAATTGTCCTAGGAATAAAAGCATTCACATCGTTTGCCATGGGTGTTTCAGGACTGATGTAAAGGCTGGACTGTGTGGTGGGTACGAGGTGTCATGTGAGCTGAACAGCTCACAGCTTGAATGGTCCATACCAAGAAGCCCATGTGTCTGCATTGATATCCGGTGACTGTCCTCCACATAGAAACCCAGGAAGTCATAATGGGAAGGCTGTTTCTTCCACACCTGGTGCAGGACAACCACAAAGGTAACACCATCTCCAAAGGAGACTGTCATGTTTTTCTTCCTGTTGATGGTCATGGACAGCCTAGAAGAGAAGAGAAGGAAGCCGTGGGGCCCAGTGTCCATGACACTGGACAGATGATTAAAATGTGTCTTCTTGTTGTTGTGTACCGTAAAGTTGGAACCGACCCACAGCTGACCCTCCAGTGGGTCTTCAGAGACAGTTAACCACATGGGAGGAGATTGCCCGTCCTCCTCCCATGGAGCTGGTGGCCTCAAACCACATACCCTCAGGATTGCAGTGTGGCTTCTTGCTACTAGGCCACCGGAGTCTTAGCACGACTTTTCCTGTTTTGGGGCTGCATGAATTTCAGAAACCATTGGAAGTGTAGGAGATCTGATGCTTTACACGTGTGGTCATGCCCTCATTGAATGGATACTTTCTCTTCTTTATAAGCAAGCAAGAGGACTGCCCTGGAGGTCCAGGGACCTAGATCAGCCCCAGCTCAGCCACTGACTTCCTGTGTGCCCTTAGGCAAGTTTCACTCCCTCTCTGATCCTCACTGGGGGTGACATTTTTGTGCTGCCTGCCAGGCTCTGGAGATCTGAAGACCAAGGCATTTGAGAACTAACTAATTCAGCCAGGGAATTACGCAAATAATTGCCAGGGAAGATGCAAATGGGACTTATCATCATTAGCTGATGTCAGGTGATGATCTTCCCTCAAGACCAGTTCTGCAGCCCATCCAACTATCAATTCTGCCTCTGAGCCCTTCAAGAGTCTCCTTAGAAACCTTCAGGCTATGCACCCCTTACAGGCCGAAAGGAGAGAGCTTACCCCTCCTGCGTGATCATTACTGTGTCCAGCCAGCTGAGAGTGCTCCTGTCAGCCCCACTCCACAGGGTGATCTTCTCCGTTGTCACCTCAATCCGGAGATCCATGTGAGCACTGGCAATCCCCAGTTTTCCAAAGAAAGTCTTTCTGGTCTTCGAATCAGGGCCAGCTTTCTTGTCTCCAATGATCTGCCCATTAACCGTGAGGCCTGCCAGGGGAAGAGGGCAGGGGGAAATGAAGGAGACCTTCTGAGCGCAGGCTGGCATTTCGGAACACGGCATTACCTTTGACCAGGTCTGCTGAGGGCCAGCAGAGTGGGGGGACGAGGGAGGGAGCTGGACTTTAGAGCCCAGTATTGTCTGTCCCTGCATGTGCTTTTGCCATGATGACTGCTGAGGACCCACACTGTGGACCTGCCTGTTGGCTGGGTCAGAGAGAAGAACTATTTGCCAAACACAGGCTGGCTCCTGACCCCGGGCCCACGATGCCCTTAACTTGAGCCATCTCTGCAACATCACTGGCGTCTGGGAACTTCAGGAGACTGGAACTCTCCCCACCCCCAGGGAAAGGCGTGCTGTGCATGTGAAGACATGAATGATGCATGTTATTAAGCGTTAAGCAGAGTGGAACCTGTCCCTGTGGCCCACCTGTAACTGGGTCCTGGATGAGGTTCAGCACCGTGCCTGGGTCTTCATCAATGTTGAAGCAAATGGCGTCGTCTTTTTCTGGGACTTGGATGATGAAGTGGGGATCCCCATCCACTGAGGGCACATCAGAGAAGGGGCTGGTTCCCAAGCTCTCTCACTAAACCTGGGGCCTCCCCTTGCCTCTGGGGATGGGTTCTCAGATAGACAGGAGGTGCTGAGCCCAGGACTCTGTGCTTTGCCCAGGGTCAGCCAAGGGACTCACCATAGTAATAGGGTGTCAGTGGAGGCTGGTAACTGGCTGTGGATACAGAGAGGAGGGGCTGAGTTGAACAAATTGCCCCGAGAGACACTAGGACCCCCACTCAGAATTTGGCTCATATCCCCTCCCCTTCCTGCTCCCAAATGCTCCTGCCCTCCTAAACACCTGGTTGCCTGTTCCATTGAGCCAACTTAGGCAAGATTCCAGAGAGGAATGGGGCTGAGTCTAGCACTTAGAATGGGGACTGGGGGCTGTGGCAGGCAGGCTACTCACTCTGGTAGGCCATGGAGGGGATCACAGACCTGGCTAAAAAAGAAATCGAGGAGCATCATGAGTGGACTCAGGGATAGAGCTTTTCCTTGCTCCCATGCCTTCTGTCTATCTGGGGTCACCATGGGGCCCGGTGCTGACAGATGAGAGGGTGGGAATGTGACCCTGAAGTTTAGACTTTAGAAGTGAGAGGTCATTCCCCTTTGCAGGGCTGGGGACAGTAGTAGTGTCTTTCAATGTTACAGACGTGGTGCTTTGATGTGACTAAAATGTAAACCATTAAACCATCAGCTTCTGTCTCCTGAGGAATACCCACAGCAGAGCAGACATCCTCCTTTCTCCCTCTGTGGGGTGGATGAGGTCCGTGATCATCTATTCTGCCTTAGCAATAAAACATCCTCACATGCACACATGCACACAATACACACACACGTATGCGCATTCACGTCACTGGCCTCCCACTGGACAGGACTGCTGTGAGGAAAAAGTGGTAACACAGTCCAGGTGTTCTGCTTGGACTGCATATCCCTTAGAGACAGAGGCAGAGTGGGCAGGAAGGAGCCGAGGAGGCTCTGCCTGGTGGTGATGGCCTTTTGAGAGGCTGAGTTCCAATTGGATGCTGGAACCAGGCTGCCTGGGACAGAGTACCAGCTCTGACATCTATCACCTTAATTCGCTGAGCCTCAGTTTCCCCGTTGTACAATGGGACTCCTAAGAGGATGACCCCCTTGGAAGGTCGCCGTGGGATCAATGGTGTAACTATCTAGCATTTACTAAATGGCTAACTTTTCCACAGATCACAGAATACGCTTGTACTGACCATCTCTCCTCAGACCAAGGCAATCCTCTCTGCTCTACTGAGGAGGATCTTGAGGCTCAGAGAAGGTGCAGAGTCTGCCCAAGGCAGGAGGAATAGACCCCAAGCCCACGTGTCTTGACTGCTTCTCCCCAGATGGGACTCCCCTGGCTGGCCTGGAAAGACCTCCCCTCTCTTGTTATCCCCCTCCTGTGATGCTCACCCAGTCACCGGCTGAAACTTACCTTCTGTCTCCGCAGCCATCAGGTGATAGAAAGAAGAGAAACGAGTTAGAAATCAAAAGCCATTAGCATCAGGGTGAATGTCACAGATGGGAGCAGACTGAACAGTGGCCGGAACTTGCATAGTCAGTGGTCAGCCCAGTCCTGGCCTAGGGGCCCCCCAGCAACTAGCTGGGCAGTCTCACCCAGAATCAGTTGCTCCTGGGGGTCGGGAGCCTGGCCTGGCCCAGCTATGTGCCTCCCATACCTCCTGGTGCCACTCCAATGCTATTCTTCCCCTCATGCCTGGTCACAGTGAGCCCTTAGGCCTCCCCAGTCCAGTAGGGCGGCAGTCTGATGGAGCAAGCCTGGCTCCAGGCTCCAGCTCCCAGAGCCTCTGTCTCTCACATTCCCCAAGTACCTGATGGCCTGCTCCGGGACTGACTTTCAGGCGGGAAGTGTTTCTTCTAGCCTGACTGAGCCCTTTCCTACTGGGGGATCAAACTCTTCCCCTGAAATAGCCCTCTTTACTGATAACTCTTTAGGGATCTTGAAATCCATAGTCACCCCACACTCACTGTCCGAGCTGACTACTTCACTCTCTGCACCACCCTCCCCAGACCTTGGCCAGTTTCCCTTCAGCTTCTCTTGGATGTGGCCCTCTTCAGCAGCCACTTCTCTTTGGGCACCCAGGGCCTGGCGTCCAGGAGGGAGGACTCTGGGCTCTGGCCTCCACTCATCATGCCCACCTTCTCCGGGCTTGTCAGCTATGGCTGTCTGGTCCTCATTGTCCTCAGGCTTGGTCACCACCATGGAGGTGAGCGGAGTCACAAAGTGGTACTTGAGGGACAGTTCCAGGGCCTGGGCAGTGAGGTTCTCCTTCTCCTCGCCATGGGTGTTCTTGCTGTTGGGGAGGGGCCAGTAGAAGGGGTCAACACAGAGAGTAGCTCCCCATCTTTCCTCTCCCTGCCCTGGATTCCAGATCAGGATGGGGGCCCTATCTCCACCTGCCTCCCTCACTGGTACCCAGAGAAGATTGGTTCACCAGTCTCCTGGGGTAAGTAGCCAAGCCCGGTGGCCTCTCTGGGGCTCAGTTTCCCCACCTCTCAAACACCAAAAAAATGGAAACCCATGTCCCCGAGTTGGCTCTGACTCAGCAGCTCTCCACCAGGTTTCCGAGGCTGTAAATCTTCACAGGAAGAGACCACCCTCCTTTCTCTCCACAGAGCGGCTAGTGGATTTGAACTATCAATCTTTCAACTGGCAGCCCCACAGACATTATGTACTACACCACCAGGGCTCCTTTCTAGCAAACATAAGGGACATTTAACGACCACTAACAGCCAACCTGCATGATGGCATCCGGGCAGGGGATTTATAGGCTTGTCCCTCCTAAACTACTGATAACTTCTTCTCTCTCGAATGCACCCCAAGCTCTGGGTGCTGGATCCTGGCGCTACTGCCCAAAAATGGAGTCTAAGGGCCTCCTCCCTACTTTTGAGGTGCTTCAGTTGCTGACCTTGGCACCACTTGTCCCTTGAGCCCTGGGTGGACCAGGGAGGGGCTTACAGACTTTGCTGCTATGGGAACACCTGCTGGGGCCGGGCTGGGAAGAGGACACAGCAGGTGGGACTGTGGATAGGTGAGTCCTGGCCCCCTCGGATCCACCCAAGTTGGGCCATATGAAGGGACCGCGGTCACCGTTTCTCCAGCAACTGTGCGATGGTGAGGTAAGCCCAGAGCCGCTCAATGAAGTTTCCAAAAATGTACTCCTGTTCCTCCTGGGCTTTCTCCATCTCCTTCATGTCCACCTCCTCTACGAAGGTCAGGTCATTGAGGGCCTAGGGTAGGGTAGGAGTGGAGGCCATGGCTTTGAGGGTGGGGGGCCTGAAGGCAGATGAGCACATTCCACTCCTGGACGCCAGCAGCCACACAGGTAAGCCCACCCCCAGCATAAGCCCAGAGCCGCTCAATGAAGTTTCCAAAAATGTACTCCTGTTCCTCCTGGGCTTTCTCCATCTCCTTCATGTCCACCTCCTCTACGAAGGTCAGGTCATTGAGGGCCTAGGGTAGGGTAGGAGTGGAGGCCATGGCTTTGAGGGTGGGGGGCCTGAAGGCAGATGAGCACATTCCACTCCTGGACGCCAGCAGCCACACAGGTAAGCCCACCCCCAGCATAAGCCCAGAGCCGCTCAATGAAGTTTCCAAAAATGTACTCCTGTTCCTCCTGGGCTTTCTCCATCTCCTTCATGTCCACCTCCTCTACGAAGGTCAGGTCATTGAGGGCCTAGGGTAGGGTAGGAGTGGAGGCCATGGCTTTGAGGGTGGGGGGCCTGAAGGCAGATGAGCACATTCCACTCTTGGACGCCAGCAGCCACACAGGTAAGCCCACCCCCAGCATAGGTCAGGGCCCAGCTCACCCCGTGGCCCTTCACATCCGCCTTAAAGGTGTTCACGTCCTCGTCCAGCAGCCGCCCGGCCACCACGATCTCAGAGCCATCGTAGAAGTGCTGGTAGCTGTTCTGGGTGAGGTCCAGAATGGCGTTCTCAGGGTATGCCACCTCCACATTAGTCAGCAGAGGGTTGGCCACCTCCTCGTAAAAGCCCTGCAATCAAGAAATGGGACCTGTCACCTCAGGCCACCAGGCAGGGGTGGAGAGGACAGGGGAACAGACTCCCACTGTGGAGGTCAGTGAGTCTGTCTTCCAAGGCAAGGCCAGACCACCTCCTAGTTGTAAATCTAGGAGACTCTTTGTTTTGAGGGAGCCCCTGCCCCAGGTAGAGACTGGTAGGAATAGAAAAGGAAAGGACAACAGTCTCAGTAGACACTCAAGATATATTCATTGAAACCAAGTTAGAGAAACGTAAAAGGAGGCAAACTAGGGAAGGAGAGCTGGTGACGTGGAGGTGGGGGGTCAGGAGACAGCCAGAGGGTGGAGACTGATGACCACCTACACGGGGGAGATACACTCACCTGTGAGGGGGGAATACGGTTACTGAGTTTAACTGGCAAATTATAAGGAAGTTTTAATTTCTGCTTCATTGATAACTTGTTCATAAAATTAAGAATTTCTTTTTTAAGAAGCGAAAGTCAGTTCGTATTAAGCTGACTTAGTGTGACTCCACACCTGGCAGAGTAGGGCCACAGGGTTTTCAATGCATGGTATTTGGAGAATAGATTGCCAAGCCTCTCTTCCAACTCACCACTAGGTGGTCTTGACTTCCAACCTTTCAGTTAGCAGCCAAAAATGTCAAATGTTTGCATTACCCAGGAGTTGATTTTAAGTTTATCTTATGTGATAGTTGAGACACAGTTACATTAAAAACTGTTCATTGTGGTGAGCTCTGGTGGCCTAGTGGCAAGAAGCTGCAACTGCAATCTCAGAGATACGTGGTTCGAATCCACCAGATGCTCTGCTGGAGAAGGAGGAACAATCTCCTCCTGTACCAGTCAGATCTGATTTGACGGTACACACAAAAAACAATGAAATAAAATAAATTTTTTTAAAAAACCTGTTCATTGCTTATAAGAAATTAAATTAAAGGCCCTATATTTGATTTAGCAGTTCTACCAAAGACGTAGATATGTTCCGTGTAATCTAGGAACAAAATCAGCTCAATCTTGATGAATAAGAGGTAGCCAGAGTACTGCATAGTGCAGTGGACTTTGGGGGGAGGGAGTGCATAACAATGAAAGAGTTTTTCTTTCTTTTCAAGGAGAAGAGTGAATTAGCAGGAGGGAGTGGGGAAGGAGAAAAGTGCAACAGTGAATGACTGGAAACCCTAAGTCTCTGTAAACTTTCATTAAAATTAATTTTTTAAAAAGTTTAAAAAAAAGAGGTAGCCAGAGTCACTTTTCATCCAAGTAGCAGAGAGACTTAGAAAATTAACAACGTCACTCATGATTAGTGTATGCCCTCAATAATATAAATAATGCTGATAGTAATAACAGGAGATAAAGCAGTCAGCATTTACCCTAAAACAAAGATGAGAAACTGAGGAGGGGTAGGGCAGATAGAGTCATGAAAATAAAACAGAATGGAAATCATAAGGTTGATATGTTGTGAAAACGTTGCCAATGTTGTGGAACAAGCTGCATAAAAATTATTAATGAGAATCTAATTTGCTATGCAAATGTTTGTATAAAACACAATAACATATAAAACAAAACAGAAAACCCCTCAAAGAGCTTCCCCTCCAAAAAAAAACCTTAGCTACAGGTGGATTTCTCTCTGGTAGGAAGCTCCTTCTAATAACTTAAAGTGCGCCTCTGTGGTGCAGCTGCCTTGGGGGGTAGTGAGCTCTTCACTCCTGGAAGTGTGCAAGAAAAAGCATGCCTGCAGCTGTAGGTTGGCGTCAGAATCCTCATAGATGCGCCGGGCAAAGCCGTGGTTCTCCAGGGCCATGCTCTCCAGGAAGTTGTAATTCAGGTTGTTGCCAAAGCCCAGGTTATACAAGGGGAACTTGCCCCCAATGGCATTGCGCACGTTCTCCTGGATCTTTTCAGGTCTGCTCTCACCTGTGGGACAAGCTCGTATGGGGATTTGTCTCCTGTACAGGCAAAGTTATTGGGTCCCTGGCCATAAGCCCTTGGCTGCGGGGAACACAGGGCACCACAGGTCAGCAGAGCCCTCAGAACAGGAATGCAGTCCTGTTCAGAGCCAGGAATGCAGTCAGGGCCTCTGCTCCAGCCAGGAGCCAACCCATCTCTCACCAGTGTTGGCGTCCCCATCGGTCAGCATGATGACAATGGAAGTGCTTCTCTCTGGGACCAGGTTTTCCTCCCGGGCCTTGTTCAGCATACTGATACCCCTCAGCAACCCATCGTTTATGTTGGTCACTAGGACACAGACAGACAGAGGTGTGAGACTGTATCCTCAGGATTGCAAGGGTACAAAGTTGCTGACAGGAGCGAGATGGTGCGCAGGGATCAGTCGAGACAGCAGGCCAGATTCACCAGGGACCTTGTCTGCCAGCACATGGTGGTGCTTGGTCAGTATTGATGGGATGAAATGGAATGAGTTGTATTTCTCTCAAATAAAGATCAAGCTGTGCGCTTCTCAGGGCTGCTGGAAGGATAGCAGCACATGGTGGCAGTTGTTATGTACCATGGAGTCAGAACCGACTCCGAGCTGCTCCTACAGCAGGTTTTCAGAGACTCGAAGTCGTGAGGGAAGAGAATAGCAAGCCTTTAGGTTTGGAAACACTTGGATAAACTCGCCCTCACTGGGAGGATGGGGGTCACTGTAGAAGTCATTTGCGATTTGCTATAAGGAATCGAACAAAAGTAAAGGGTCTTCAGGCTCTACTTTGAAGGGACTCATGGGGCATAGAGAACTCTGGTGTCCAAGTGGCAAGAAACCGTTCTGCAATCCTGAAGGCATGTGGTTCAAGTACACCAGCTGCTCCATGGGAGAAAGATGGGCAGTCTCTTCCTGTGCAATGAATTGCCTCTGAAAACCCACCAGAGGGTCAGCTGTGGGTTTGTTCTGACCCGATGGTACCCAACAACAGTGGGGCATAGGGTCACTATGTGCATACTCTACTTGACAGCACTTAGCAAGTGATGCCTCTAGAGAGGTATAATCTGTAGGGAGGGTGGTGTAATCTGTAGGGAGTTCTGCTACTTAAACAGAGCTTGTGCCACTTTAGAGGTTCGAGTCCACCAGCAGCTCTGAGGGAGACCTGGCAATCTCCTCCCATGCTATTTACAGCCTTGGAAACCCATTGAAAGGTCAGGGACAAGTCAATTCTGACTAGAAGGCATTGGGGTTTTGTGTGTGGGTTTTGTTTGGATTGGGTGTTGGGTTTGAGGGCTTTTGGAGTTTTTTGTTTTGGGGTGTTTTTTGTGAGGTAGCAGCATCATGGGTTAGAAATGGAAAGAATGTTTCCTTAGAGCCAGAGAAGGGCTCCCCCCAAGTCCCACTAAAAGCCTGGGAACCCTCAGGCCTGCCTCTACCCCAGAGCAGATCTCCAGGGCCTGGGGCCAGCAGTCTCTGCCTTGGGGCCAGAAGGGAACGGGCTGCTCAGGGCTGGGAGAGGCGCCTTCCTTCCTGGTCGTACTTCCTTGATCCCGGATGCTCCTCACAAACTCTTTGGCTTTCTGGAGGTTTTCGGGAGTGGCTTGGACTAAGCTGTCTTTCCAAGTGGTCACATCGCCGCTAAATAGGATGAAATTCAAGTAGTCTTCCTCTTTGATATCCTCCAGGATTTTGAGGAGGGCGTCCCTTGTCTGGGAAAGAGAGGAACAGCAGACAAGGGCTGGGTGAGGAGTGTCTATCATCAGAACTCAATGGGAGCTGTGGTGACAGCTATGGCCAGGGCTCCCCACAAAAAAATGCTTTGGGAGTTAAAGACCTTGTCCCCCTTCCTCCTCTCTCACCAGAAGCATCAACTTTAAAAACAAACAAACAAACAAACAAAAAAAACTCTTTCCTGTCTTTCCTCTATCACTTTGCTCTGAGGAATAAAATACCTGCTCTATTTTCCGACCAGCCATGGAACCACTGATGTCAATCACAAAGACCACATTCTTAGGCACCACTGGAAGGCCTTGGGGTGCAAAGTAGTGCACGAAGTAGCCATTGACTATCTGGAAGGAGGAGAGAGAGAGAAAGGGCTTGGAGGCTGTAGGTAACATCATCTTGACACCCTTTGACCATTTATCAGACCAAGAAAAAGCGATTCCTTCTTCATCCTCTAGAGGGTGCAACACAGAGGCTCTGTCCTATGTCTTGCAGGGAGGCTTAGCTAGAACTGAGGGTGGAGGGTGATGGAACTTGGTGAAGCTGTACCCCTCCTCAATCCTTACCTCAACCTGCTGGTAAATGAGCTGGCCCGGGACTCGATACGCACCTGTATGTTGCCTGGAGACTCTCGGTTCACGTCGTAGGTGATGGTGAAGTCACCGTTGAGGAGGGAGTCTGTGCAGGTTGGGCATGAACGCTGTTGGTCTAAGCTGGGCTTGAAGGACACATGACCCTGACAAGGGAGGCAGAGAATCTCACTCAGCTTGGCTGTAGGCCCCCCTCATCCTGGGGTGGGAGGTGGACGAGGACAGCACCTCACAGAGAGGACCTCACAAGGAGCCAGTGACTGGAAGTGCTGGAGGTCTGGGTGGTCCTCCTTGATCACCAGCTCCCTGACCCAGTTGATACTGTTGTTTCCTGAACTCCAGCCTCTGAGCACCACTCTCTCTCTCTACTGGTGGTCAGGTTCTCTTTGAAGTGTGGAAGCGCTGTTTGGCCCACATTTTCATCTCCTCCTTTTTGTTGACCCCCCCTCCCCCAGAGCTCAGTGACCTGGGGAAAGGAGAAGCTGCCCAGGGAAGAGAATTGTGCATCACGAAGAACCTCACCATTGTGTGGTGTTGGATGTTGGATGTAGAAGTCTGGTGCGAAGAGGAGTTGGGGAAGAATGATGGGGGCTGAGATAGGGAGGGGTCCCCAGGGCAGGGCAGGGGCACTCTGCTGCAGAAACCAAGCAGCCTTCTGAGTGTCTTCCTGGGCCTTGCCCTGAAAGTCCCAAATGTCCAAAATTTGTTTATATAACGATTATAGAAACATTCATCCATCTGCCTGTCATCCTCTGCCAGCAAAGAACTTAGAAAACTGGAGGTTCTGGAGTTTGGGGTCTGAAGCCAACTGGTCAATATCAAGAATGGGGTCCTCCTTCAATCCTTCACCTCTCAGTCAGAAGATGTGAATGACTCCTCTTGGCATCAGTTTCCTCATCTATGAATCAGAGACACTAACTCCTGCCCACCTCTCTGGGTGAAAAGGGAAAAGACTTTATAAATGGTATCCTCTGTCCCCACCAGTGCAGTTGAGATCCCTAATTTATCACGTACGCCGTTGTTAGCAGCCCCTACCACTAGCATTTCCTCTACAGGTAGGGTGAGAGGAGACGACGGTCACAAATTTCTTTCTTTTCCAGCCCCCTACATGCATGCACACCACACACACACATACACACATGCATGCAACACACACATCAGCCAAGCCCTGGATTACAGTTTGTTCCGCTGAGGTCAGCTTCTCTGTCCCTTGTTCCCTAGACCTGAGCGATGTCTCTACTACCTTTTTTCCTGAGAAGGACTTGGTGAGCGCACTGCCCAGAACATCATTGGTGATGAAGGAGGCCTCCGCGTCCAATGTACTGATGCCCTGGGGTTCGAAGATATTGGCCTCAATCTGAAATGGTCAAAGGACACAGGGTCAGTGGTGGTGCAGAGGCCAATCTTCAGGATGGAGCCTTGAAGGTAGAATCTGGGGTCTCCCACTGGAGAAATGGCCACAGGGGCACGAGGAAGGTACTTTAACTCCGGTTTGTTCACCATCTGCCTTTATGACATCCAAAATCTCACACTCAATTGTTTCCTTTATCTTTCATTTTTGACGTAGTTAAAAATGCCCATATATTCAGTTACATATATTTCTGGGACACTTCGTGTTCTTGTGATGTTACCCCAAGGATCCAGCACTAAACTGGAATCTGATGCTTCCAGCCTGTCCTCTTACCATAGTTCCGACTGCAATTTCCCACAAGCCACCTTGCTCACCCTGGCTTTGTTATTCTTCTCCTCACTCTGTCTCCAGGGGCCCTTCTCCACCCTTTCCTGCAGTTTCAACCACCTTAAGGTCCTACCTGAGCTGCAAGGGCAATCGATTACCTCGAAGTGTTGGATCAGTTGCTTGGGCTGGACCTTGAGGTACATCTCGTACTTGCCCTTGTTTCTCTTCAGCAGCTCCTCGTAGATTAGCTCGAAGGTAACGTTACTGCCCGCAGCCACGTTGACTGAGACCGTGAATTTCTCCAGCTTCCTGCCAGAGGCCCTGAGTAGGGGTGTGAGACAGTGTCCGTCCTAAGGACTGCACAAACCTGCACTGCCTGGACCTCAGGTTCAAAGCACAGACCCCAACTGCTCAGAACCTCAGGTGCTTCAGCTTAAAAACTGGATAATGTGACAGCAGGGTTGGGATGAGACTGAGAAAGATGGAATAAATTACATATACTGCATTGAAACAGATGAGGGAGAGAACTGTTTAAAAGCAGTATATGATTGGGTGTTATGATCATGACAAGAGTCCAGAATGAAGGCTGCATAGTGGAGTGTACTGGAGGGGGTGGGGATTGTCTAACAATGAAGGAATTTTTCTTTTACTTTTCAAAGAGAAGAGAGAACTGGAGGTGGGGATGGGCAGGGAGAAAGATGCAACAATGAATGAATGGAAATCCAAAGTCCCTGTAAACGTTCATTTAAATTAATAATAAAAAAATTAAAATAAAAAAATTGGATAACCTAAGAAGTGCTGGCACATTTTAGTATAACAACAACAACAATAATAATAATAATAACAGCTTGCACCATCGAGGATCCTTGTAGCCCAGATGTTCTCTCTGAGACCTAAGCTTACTTGACCAATCCAGCTGTCTTGCCCTGGGACACGGCCTTTTCATATTGCTTCTTGGCGACTTCCTTCTCCTTGACGTTTCCAGGGTAGATGACACCATCAATGGTCCTGCAGGGGAAGAGAATCTCAGGGTTACGTAGGAGCAGATCGCCCTGGCCTGGCCTGGAGGCAGCAACCACAGCCATGCTCACAACGTGAAGCTGGTGATGAAAGCTGTCTTGGGCAGCTCCACGTCAAAGGAGACCTCTTTGGCCTTGTCTGCACGGTTGATGGCCTTCGTGGTGACCACATTGTGAGCAAAACGAGAGGTCACTTTGCAGTCGATCTTGGTGCTATAGACCTCGATGTCATCCACCACCTGCAGGAGAGGTGAGTCACCCCGAAACCAGATTGCACCCTGCCCACTCCCCACCCCCGTTCTCCCAGTTGCCTGGGTTAGAAGCCTGGAGCACCCTCGGTCGAGCAGTCTACTTCCCTCCACGGTCCTAATGATTTTTCTCCTTTGCTCTGCAATCAACTTTCATGCAATTGCAGCCAAAGAGAGCTTCCAAAAAACTTAACTAAGCCCAAGCCCTCTCCTGCTTACACCCCTCCTGGGGCACCCCATGACCCTCAAGACAAAGATCCCTCCCCTCCCCAAGCACTGTGGTCTTCTAGTGAGTCTAGCCTCCCCAGCTCATCCCATGATCCAGGTCTGCACACCTAGGACACCTGGCTAGTATCTCTCCACATCCTTCAGGCCTCTGCTTCAAAGCCGTGTTCCCATAGTCCACTCTCTCACCACTGCCTGTATTTTGCAATTACTGAAATCTGTCACCCAAGCAGATACTTGTCTCATATGCTCAGTGCTTTAGGGGAGACCTTGGGGTCCCCAGACACCCTTCTCCCAACAGGGTGATGGATGAAGAGGTGCTCTGGGGAGATGTCTAGGTTAAATATGAACAGAAAGGTGATCTGTGAGGGTGCAACAGGGCCACTTGATGATGTGTCCCCAGCCTCTAGCACAGGTGCAGATGCCAGCATGTGCCCACTAAATAGATGACTGGTGAAATGATGCTTGTATGGTCTTCCACAAGGTCCTGGGATTCTGTGACCTTCTTTCCGGGGGTCTTGTGCCACATGAGGTCTGCCAGGGCAGGATACTGTCTGCCAGCTTCAAGGGACCCGCTGGTGGTGTCCCACACCTTCGGCTGTTGGGCAACCCGCTCCATTCTGCCCCGCCCACCCCATCCTGTCCCAGGTGAAAGTTCTTACCCATTCCGGGAGGCTTCGTTTCTGTAAAAACAAACAGCGGTCTCAGGCATGGGCCAAGTCCACCACAGTCTGGGAGCCACTCTGATGGGTCCATCAGTACCATCCCCTGCCCATTTTAATGGATCTCCAGACACAGAAACCCCCAGAGCCAAATATTTGAGCAGAAATGGGTCTAGGTAGTTGGGGAAATGGAGCCTAGAGAAGATTAGGTTTTATGTATCCCCAGGACAGCCGGGCAAAAAGAATCCAATTCTAATGTTCCCCTCGGCCCCACAGACCCCACTACATTCTGCTTCTCATTTAGCCTTCCTGGGGACCCTAGCACCCTAAGACCTCAACCCGGTACTCACCCCGACCCCAATCAGCTTATTAGAGAGGTTCCTGCACTTGTCTAGGGCTCGGACAGACACAGTCTCTCTGTGAGGTGATGCATTGCTTCATTTGACAGACAGGGAAACTGAAGCCTAGGGCTTCAGGCTTTACCTTCCCTAGATTCCTGCCAGTTTTCCCCCTTCAATATTGTTTTAAGAGTTGTGGTAAAAGGCAAGGTAATTGTGGTATGTTGTTGTTGTTGATTGCCACTGTAGTCAAGCACAACTCATAGCAACTCTATGAACAAAAGACCTAATGCCTTTCTATGACTATCGTCATTTCTCCAAATTCACAGAGTTTCTACAGACAATGCGGTTTAGGAAGTGGATGCCACTGCTGCTTCCAAAATAGGTAACAAAATATTCACTATTTCAACTTTCTTTGCACGCACAATTCAATGACATTATTTATGCTCATGTTGTTCAACCATCACTAAAAAGAAAAACTGCGGAATGCTTGGTGGATTTGTGCGTCATCCTTCCTCGGGGCCTTGCTGGATTTGTGTTTTTGCAATTTCAGTGTAGGTGACACCAAAGCAAGCAAGTACCCAAGGAGTTTTAAGACCCATGGCGAGGGTTAAAGGCCAGGTCAATATGGCCTGTCCTCCCAACGTCTGCCCTGTCCTCTGCTACTCACCACCCAGCCCTCTGCCCCTCCCTAGCCCCAGTTAGAGGGCTTCCCTGTCCAGTGTCTTCTGTCCATTTGACTCCTCAGGCCCAGATACTGAAGAGTGGGCATACTCACCCCCAGCAGCCGGAAGGGGCCTCTCGGAAAGCCAGAGGCTGCCAGGCCCAAGAGCAGAGCTAGGACAAGGCAGGACCGCAGAGCAGACGACATTGCTGGCCACACAATCCCGGCTTTAGCTCCTTTTAGGAAAGAGATTGAAGTTTCCCAAGTGGGGTCAGTGACCTGCAGGAGGGGCGGGATCAGTGGTGGGAGGTTCCTCCGGGAAGCCGAGATGTGGGTGGAATAACGCAAGTTGGTGCCCAGTGATTCGGGATTCAGGGAAGGGCTTGAACTTTGCTCCTGAGGGGCTAGAGGGCATGAAGATCGTCACGGAGGCTGTGCATTGCCAAATGGGTCTGGGGTCTCCCTTGGTGGGGGGGTGAGGGTGACAAGATGGGGTGCGTTCAGAGGAACTGCTCCCAGCACCGATGACTCTTGGTACACTTGGCATTTTGTCTGGCTTTCCAGGTCAGCTTCTCCCTTCTCAAGTATGCCTGGCACAAAACCGCCCCATCTAAGGAATAACTCTTCCTGCTAAGCCTCTGACTCAGTGCTCCCCTTGTTGTTGTTGATGTTGTTGTGTACCGTAGAATCAGAACCGACCCATTGCTGACCACCCAGTGGGTTTTCAGAGCCAGTTAATTTCACCAAAGGAGATTGTCCATCCTTCTCCCACAAAGTGGCTGGTGACCGCAAACCATGTGCCTTCCAGATTGCAAGTGAAGCTTCTTTCAACTAGGCCACCAGAGCAATACACTTCTATACCTCCCTAATCCCATAAACTGCAAGTTTGGTCCAGTTCTTTCTGTACTCTGGTTCCAGCTTGCTTCATGAACCTACCCTGGACCACTGGAGTGCCCTCCCCTTCTCTGCACAGCCAGCCTCAGAGCCCACCTTCATCTCTTGGCCACCAGGGCAGCCCTGCTCTGTGCTCCAGGCTCCCTGAGGACCTGCTCTGTCCTTGCCTTATGTTGAGCTTTGTGTGTTTGGGCTTCATTGTCCCCTCTAGGACCCAAGCTCCTGCAGGGCCAGGCAAATGGCACATTTGCCCTGTGTTTCCAGAGTCCAGTCAGACTGCTCTTATCTCTGAGCAGTCTCTGGGTGGTGAGTCTGGGACTTGAACCCCCAACCTTATGGATAGCAGCCAAGCACATTAACCATTTGCACAATTCAGGGACTCAGTGGCTGGACATAACGTCTCTTTAATGGAAATCATGAAGTGTTCTGGAATGAGGCGCAGCTCAGAACGGGATGGCTGGCCTGGGCATCAGATCAGGCTGCTCTTTTCTCCTGGCAGGGCCTCAGAGGACAGCTGCACTGAGTGAGGGGCTCAGAAGATGTCAGGGACAATGTAGTCTGTGTGGACCCCGTCGATCAGCCCGGCACCACTGTTGTGGACGAACCAGCAGGTCACCTCAGCCGCATGCCGTGGGTCCTTGCTGTAGTCTCTTTGCAAGCCCCTGGGGAGAGATAGGTCAACTGTACCCACTTCAGTCTGGCTGAGCTGCACCTCCTCCACGAAGCCCACTCCCTTCCACCCGGGTGACACACACAAGACACAGACCATTCAAGGGGTTGTCAAGGGCAGAAGAGCTGAGGGTGTGGCCAACCCACCTGGTCACTGTCAGCTGGTGGTTCTTCACCACCATTGTGGCAACTGGCTTGGCTGGGTCAGAGCCTGGGCGGATGTCAGACACGTCAATATCAAAGGGGTGGAAGAATTGTCCTGGAAAGGCACAGTGGAGGTGACAGTTACCTCTGGGGACCTTGTCCCTGATTTTCATGTCGTAGGGGCTCAGTAAGAGCACAAAGAGTTGCTTGGACATGTTTTCAAGGGCATGACTCTTTCTGATAAATGTTGGCATCAAAAGATACCTTTGGTCAGTCAACAAATAAATGGATAAGCACACTGCAGTCTACACACACGATGAACTACTTAAAACAACAGGAAAACCTCCGCATTGCTGTTGAGTTAGAGCCAACACATAGCTAACCCTCCACTGAGCTTCCAAGGCTGTAAACTGCATGGAAGGAGATGTTCCATCTTTCTCCCATGGAGCTGCTGGTGGATTCAAACGACCAGAGAGGCTCAGCCTTGGGCTGGGAAAGCAGCTCCCTGTAGATTCTGCCACCAGAACTCAACAGTCAGATGTAAGACGTCAGATACAATATTTTGTAGAAATAAATTTCACCTATATGAAATAGGCAAATATATAGAAACCAAAGATTATTAATAGTTCCTAGAGGTGGACAGGAGAGGGAAAAGAGGAGTTGGCTTTATTCTCATGATGGTGGAATGATTTGGAAAAGGATCGAGAATGGCCACACGCCTTGGAGGATATAATTAACCTTGCTGAATTGTGGAAGCCTTTGAGAAGATGTAGGTTTTGTGGTGTATATGTTTCACCACAATAAAAAAAATAAAGGAGAAAAGAAAGGTCACCTTTAGTTCATCCATTATAGAAAAATAGTTATATGATCTACTCTTGTCATTTTTACCCAATTCCAGAAAGACCTAGCTGAGTAGGGGATTTGAGGTTTTGGAGACTATGGTCTACAGGAGGGCCACACAGGAAGTGCAGCCGATGACCCATCCCACCGATGAGGTCTCTGGATCCTTCTGTTTGCTAGTCAGACCTCTTTCCACTTGCTCCCTTGAGCTTCTCATTGCATGTTCAATCACAGGCTTTTTGAGGGACATGACTCTCACTCAGAGCCCCATCTCTGGAAGCTCCAAGCTTAGAGGGTGTGCTGGAGGGGGATCTGTCCTGTGCCCAGGAGGACTGGTTTCAACCCCCAACTCCATGGCTCTGCCCTCCTGGCTGGCCATACCCAGCAGCCCGTGTGTCCGGGCTGACATCCCGTGACTGTCCAGCACGTAGAAGCCCAGGAAGTCCTGGTGGATGGCACTCCCCTTCCACACTCTGTGCAGGATGACCTCGAAGATGCCCCTGCCATCCATGGACACCACCAGACTCCGCTTCTTGTTGATGGTCACAACCACCCTGCAGGGCCAGAACGGCTGTGAGGCAAGTGTGATGACATCGCACCCCTCCCCCTCATCCTCCATATGTCCTCCAGGACCAAATGTTCACGGCCCCATCCTGCCTCCAGCCCAAGATGCCTGCATGCTACACACTCCACTCTTTCCCCATGTGTTGCTGAGGAGCCCATCACTTACCAGGCCCTTCATGCACATGGAATCTTTTGATTAGCACCCTGACTCAGAGAGTTTAAGTCACTTGTCTCAGGACACACAGCTGGTAAGCAGTAGGGCCAGGATTTGGGCTTCAGCCCACTTAATGATAGAATCTGTGTTCTCTGACTCCTCCTCATCACTGTGTCTTACACGCCGGTCTCTTTTTTCCTCTCTCCATAGCTCTACTGCCCAGCATCCAGCTCCGGAGCTTGGCAGAGCTTGTTGAATGAATGAATAAAACATGAAATGAGACAGAACTGAAACAGGGAAGTCCCCAGAACTCTAGAGTTCAACAGAAGAAGAAATTCAAGAGGGCTTCAGGGAAGAGGTGGCCTTTGTGTGTTGCACCTGGGAGGATGAGCTGGTTTTGCTTAGTGGCAGTGAGGGATGACTTCAGGGTGAGGAAATAGTGGGAGTAGAAACATTCAGACAAGTGTCCACCAAGTTCATGTCTAGGAACTGAGATAAGTGGGTGGTGGAGTGGTCTGTAGCATTTGATGTCTGCCCAGGCCAGTGTGGAAATCACACACTGGCCCAGCTTGGGAGACAAAGACCTTGTAGTCTTGACCACACTGGCTCTGGGAGGGTCCACCTTGGCAGACTGGTTCACACACCCTCATGGCGCACTGACTCCTGTGTCCCCTCCCAGGCCCCAGCCTCAGCCCGGTTACTCGTCCTGTCGTAGTACAGCCTGGTCCCTCCAGGAGAAGACAGGGCCCCCTGAGCTGGGGTTCAGGGTGATGTTCTGAGGAGTCACTTCCAGCTGAAAGTCCGTTGCAGGGTTTGCGATCCCCAGTCTCCCAAAATATGTGCCTGTGTGGTGGGCCTCGTCGCCAATGAGCTGCCCGTTGACAGAGAAACCTGCTGGGCAGAGTGACGTCGGTTCAGGGGGCCTCTCACTGGGCCCTGTCCAGCCTGCCTTTGCTTATGTCACATCTTCCTCCTGAAAGACACCCCGCACTCCACAGCACCCCTCCTGTCACAGTCTCTGAGGGCCTTGTTCGTCCCCTCCCTCCCCACCTTTCAACGGCACTGAACCGCTGGGCCCTGCAGAGAATTTTCCTCCTCAGGAAGGAACTCGAGCTCGCTCCTTTCTGTGACTCCTGACACAGCCAAGCACTCGGAAGGTGCTGGAAACGTTTGTGGGGGCCCTTCAGAGAGGGTCCCCCCTGACCTGAGCAGCCAAGGAAGGCCCTTCCTCACTGCCACTGACTGTCAGGACAGGTCTCACTCTAAACAATCATCTGTGAATTTGTTCACCTACTTGTCTGTCGGTTGCCCCTCAACTCCGTGAGGGCAGGGACGTCACAGCCCCACTGCAGCCCCAGCCCTGCAGTAGTCCTGCTGTGGGGGTGCTGGGGCAGCAGCAGCTTTATCATTTGTGGGACCCAGTGAGAAATTAAAGTAAGGAGCTAAGAAAGTGTTAAGAAAGAGCTAAGGCAGCAACAGCCAGGACCAGTTGCTGTGGCAACCCCAGGTGTATCTCAACGGCTGTTTTTTTAGAAGTATGTTGCCAGGCATTTCTTCCAAGGCACCTCGGTGTGGACTCAAACTTCCAACCTCTCAGTAAGCAGACAAGTGTGTTAATGGTTTGTACTATCCAGGGCAAGATGGCAACAGCATATGACTATGGGTGTCCAAGCAGGTTGTATGCCCATGAGATGAGCCCTATGTGTCATGTGGGGAGAGATCTGGCTCAAGCGGAGGATGGTGGAGAGTGGAGACCATGACTGAGAGTAAAGGACAGCACAGCATGATCCCAGCACGGCCCACACCCAGCAGAGGGCCTGGTGTCCACGCGCACCTGTGTCGGGGTCCTGCACGAGGCTCAGGATCACACCGGGCTCCTCATCGATGTTGAAGCACAAAGTGTCCTCTTTCTGGGGCACGCGGATGATGAAGTGAGGGTCAGTGTCCACTGGGGGCACAGCATGGACTCGTTTAAACTGAGCATCAGGGCAGTGACTCAACCAGGCAGGTCCCAGGGAGAGTGGTGCCAAGCAGGGTCCCCCGAGGACTCACCGCCAGTCACTCGGTCTGGCAACTGCTGGCCAAGGGGGCTGGTGTGAGTAGGGGAAGGCTGGAAGGCAGGCAGCCTAAACACTGATTGATGAGAGTGAGCAGTTAGAGGACAGTGGCCAGGCTTCCCTGCAGACCTGCTGGCCCTTGCCTGGTGCCCCTCCCACGCTGGCGGCTAATGTGGCCCAAGGAGCAGGTGTGGACGCGGCATCACAGGATTGCCTCTTGAGATGTGGGAACAAAGGTGGGTGGCTCCCTGTTTGTGTCCTTCCCCAGGGTTGTGGGAAGACTGGCACAAGGTGGGGAGAAGGTTCTGAGGATTCCCGTGATGGGCAGGGAGGAGAACTGGAACACAGGAAAGAGGCCTTGGGCCCTCATTTCCTTTCCTGGTGAACAAACCGGGTGATGACCTGAGAGCTTTGATCAAGTCAATAAATGTTCAGCCCAAGGGACAGCAGGGTGGAGAGTGGAGGGAAGCAGACAGGTAAGTCCTTGGGATGACCGGCACTTACTCCTTCCAGGTCCCACCAACTCTGTAGAAGACAAAGACGTGGAGGACCGTGTCCCCTGCTGTGTTCATATGAAAGACACAGGCCTCGTTCTGCAAGTGGAGCCTGGTCCCAAGGTGGACCAGGCCTCCTCCCCCTAGGGACCCCTGTATCTCTTTACAGCCCTTGAGGATACACAGAGGGGTTGCTGGTGGGGTGTTCAGGCTATGCAAAGGCTCCCAAAGCATAAGAGATGCATCAAAGGGGGAAATGTGGTGGGAGAAAGAGGCTGGAGGGAGGTGTGGAGGAAGGAAAGATGTGGGAGAGGCAAGGGTCACGCCTGGGGCTGACATGCCTGTCTACCTGCCCAGTCACTGGAAGCTCCCTGAGCTTGAAAACTCACCCGAGGGCTGGTCATCTGGAAAGAAGAATGAGGAAAGATAATTAACCACAGCCCAGGAGGTTACTGGCCTTCAGAAGTCTCCCTGCAGCCTCCCCCTCAGTGGACATGAGCTGCTCATACCTTCCTGGGGCTTGTCGATGGTGGGCCCCAGGCCGTCCTGGTCAACCATGCCGCTGATGGTCATGGAGGTCAGTGGGGTCACGAACTGATAGTCTAGGGACATCTTCAAGATTTCAGCTGACAAATTGGCTTTCTCCTCTCCCTCCACCTTCATGCTGGGGACAGACAGACTCCAGCTCTCAGTCTCAAAGCTTGAACAATGATGGACCTTCTCTCTGTGGTTCATTTACCCATTCATTCATGCATTCATTCAGCAATGCCCTAAGGGTCTTCACGGCTTCAAGTCCTCCCAACAAGAAAACAGGAGACCAAGAAGCTGTGGACTCTCTCAGAATTTAGCAACTGTGAGAGCTGGGGCAAGTCATGTAACTTCTGGAGCCTCAGTTTGCTTGACTGTTTAATGGGAATAATGAAAGGTCTCCCTTAAACACTGTGAGGATTAAAAGGGTGTGTGACAAGGGTGTCTGTTCATCTTGGGCAAAGAGTGGGCTATGCCCTGTGCGTCCCACTCACACTGTTGACTCGCCAGTTGATATTAACTAGGTGAGCAAAGTTGAAGAAGGAAGGCAACTGTGGCCTGGCGGCAACCTCACAGAACCACTCCTTCTCCAGACAGTGAGGACTCAGGTCGGGAGGGGTAGGTGGAGAGGGGACAGTGGCCACCCCAGTCAGCCCCAGGCTTATACCGCTTGGCCAGCAGCTCTTGGATGGTGAGGTAGGCCCAGAGGCGTTCCACGTGGTTCTCCAATATGTGGCCGCGCTCCCGGAGCAGCTTCTTCATCTCTTCCTCGTCCACCAGGCAGGTTGTCTGAAATTCTCGGCCCTCCTGAGGAAGGACATGAGGAGAGGGGCCATGGCCAGACGGTGAACACAATTCAGCTGATGCTCTACGTTCTGAGGGTTCCCACTGCCGTTCGGCCTTTGCAGCTTCACTCTCTGCTTCTCTCCATCTCCTAAGCCTGTTCTCCTCATCGGCATCCATTCACTCATTCAACAAATACTTGCTGACCATCATCTGCGAGGCTGACTCGGCCTAGACTCTGGGCATTTATTGAGATGGACAGACTGGGCACATCCCTTGGAATTGCTCACCCTCTCCATAAGATGCCAACAGGCCTAATTTGCCAGGTGCTTTCTGGGCCTCCTGATGCCCACTGGGCCCTGATCAGACTGCCTTGTCCAACTTGTCATATCTTCTCTCCTCAGAGACAATAGTGGTGGCCACCTCTCTCTGGCCCAGGGCTTCCGACTGCAAGCGGGCAATTTCACTTGCTCCACACAACACTCCAGTGCATTATTACTTCCAAGGTACAGAAAAGGAAACAGGCCTGGAGAGCTAGACCCACCTGCTCTGGCTCACACGGCTCTGGGGAACCAGCAGGCCCTGGGGTGGGCAGAGGAAGTGATGGTGGCGGCCTGGAGCCTCTAGAAGCTGCTGGCTTGCCCACCCTCTGAGACGGCCCACTTACCCCACGGGCCCGCACGTTGGCCTTGAAGGTGCCCAGTTTATGGTCAGCGATGCGTCCAGCCACCACGATCTCTGAGCCTTCGTAGTACTGTTTGTGATGGTGCTGTGTTAGCGCCGTCACGGTGTCCCGGGGGTACTGCATCTCCACGTCCATCAGCAGAGGGTTGGCGACTTGGTTGTAGAAGCCCTGCAAGGGTGGGGTGAGGGGCATCCTGAGATCCTGCGGGTCACTCTAGGCACTGGGCCCTGAGCCCTTGTCCCTGCGATTGACTGGACTTTAATCCACCTCAGCACCATCTGATTATATGTTTGGACATTATCCCCTGCTCCTCTGTCCCCAGCCCCATCCACTCACACCCTTGACTGTGGGTTCCTCCGGACAAGAACCACCCTCTTGCCCACAGAGGCATGCTGGACATTGCAGTCAGCACTTTGAAGAATCATCTTATTCTTGCTCACAAAGTGGGGCTGTCAGGATCCCCAACACAGAGAAAGAATCAGACGCTCAGGGAAGCTAAGACACGAACTCAAGGTCACGCAGTTCTATCTGCCAGAGGCCAAATGGCCACCAAGCCTGGGTTCCTCCTAGTGTGCTGTTGTCCCTGTGTGTCTGTGTGTGTGTGTGTGTGTGTGTGTGTGTGTGTGTACGTGCGCGTGCGTGCTGGGGGGACGTAACCTTCAGCTGCTGTGTGGCGTCACGATCCTCGTAGATTCTCTGGGCCCGTCCATTGTTCTCCATGGACATGGCCTCCAGGAAGTTGAAGTCCACTTTGTCACCAAAGCCCAGGCTGTAGAGTGGGAACCTGCCCCGGATGGCGTTTTGGATGTTCTTGCGGATTTGGGGACGGTCCGTTTCCCCTGTGGCCACACACTCAGGTTGTGATGGGACCCCAGCCAGCAGGCATGGGGGGGTACAAGGGGGCTTTGGGGCACACCCCCATCTTAGACCCACACTCTCTCAGGTCCCTGTAGGTGCTCCCTGTGGTGCAACACCTCCTCCTGGCTCACTCTGGAGATGACAGCACCTTCTACTCCTACCCAGGACCTCTGTCTGAGTCAGTCTCAAGCTGATCTGATCCGGCTACTCTGCTCTAAACCCTCCCGTGTCTCCCTAATCTTTGCTGATCTTTCTGCCCTCAACCACCCTAGTCTGCAGATCCTGCCCTGTGCACCTCCTGGCTTTTAATTCAGGCTTTTTGATCTGCTTGAGATCTCTTCCTGCCTCTCTTCTCCTTTCAGATTGAATTCAGAAATCACCTCTTCCAGGAAGTCTTCCAGGATAGGACACTGGCAAGGCCAAGCTCTCCCTGACTGTGTCCTCCCGCCTCCTAACATCCTATGTCTGTTCCTGGGTCTGCCTCCCCTAGTGGGCCCTGGCTGTTTGAGGATAGAGAACATTTCATTCTCTTGGCACCTCTTCTTGGTCCACAGCTCCGTACTTGGCACCTAGAAAGTGCTCAGTTAAAAGCTTGCTAAACTCAGCCTCAGAACCCTTCTGTCTTCGAGGGCCCTGTCCAGCTCTGTGTTTTGCAGAAGTCAATGGTTTCCCAACTCACAGGACAGAAGTATCCGTGGTACTCCTGTATGAACTGTGGTCTGGACTCGGTTTCTAGACCAGTGCTTGACTTTATCCTAAGACTTCATGGCACTGCCCTTCAGTTGCATCTCTGGCAACTAACTTTCCAACCTTGACTTGAGTATCTCCAACAATGAGGAAGTCACCACCTCTCAAAGCAGCCCTTGTTCAAGATGCTTACCCTCAGTGGGCTCGCCATCTGTCAGCATGATAAGAATGTTGGCATGGTTGCTGAGTGATGGGAGGCTTTGCTGAGCTCTGTTCAAGGTCTCAATTCCCTGGAGCAAACCTGCATTCAAGTTTGTGGCTACAAAACAGAGGAAGCAGACCAGCATGTGCCCTTATTCCCTGGGACCAGACGTCACACGGGGGGTGGAGGGGGTCTGAACTTCCCTCCTCTTACCTCCATTCACAGAGAAGCGCTGCACGAAGTCTCGAGCCGCCTGCAGGTTGCCTGGGGACGCCTGCATCAGTGACCCCCTCCACGACTGTACTTGAGACTCAAAGAGAACCAGGTCAAAGTGGTCATCTGGCCGCATGTCCCCCAGGATCTTAAGGAGTGCCTCTTTGGTCTGCGAGGATAGGACAGTTGTCGGAAATCACAAGACAAGGAGACATGACACATAAGCAGAAGGAAATAGCTGGAACAGCTGTGCAGCTCCAGGAAGGTAGCATCCAGGAGGATGTGGGAGTCACGTTGTCGTTAGGAGTCGTCCAGCCTGCTACGGACAATGACTTTGAACCTTGGCCTGTCCTGCATGATCCTCACCGTGTCTGCTCTACCTGAGCCCACTGTTACAGTCACTGTCAGCCCATCTCGTGACTCAGATCTTCCGCTCTTCCACAGAACCTCGACCTTCCCAAGCACCATATCTTTTTTCCAAACACTGGCCCCTACTAATAACAATTTCAAATATTTAAATATGAATTCAAGGGGAGCTCTGGTGGCGTAGTGGCAAGAAGCTGGCCTGCAATCCCAGAGGTGAATGGTTTGAATCCACCAGATGCTCTGCCGGGGAAGGAGGGACAATTTCCTCCTGTACCAGTCAGATCTGATTTGACGGTACACACACACACACACACAAATAATAAAATAAAAATAAAAAAATTTTTAAAAAATATGAATTCAGAGTGATGAGTGGAACGGAAAAGGAGTAGGCACCCAACACAGGAAGAAGGAATGACCAGGGGTCCAGGAGGCGCAGGATTAAGAAAGAGGACCCCAGGAGGCTGAGTTCCTGAAACTCTGTCCAGCTGATTCACTGTACTTCGGGCAGGCCACGCCCTCCTGAGGGACTCCTTCCCGCCGCCCCCAGATTTAGATCCTGCACTGGTAGGGGTGTTATTTCACCTCCCAAGCGTTTGGCCATACATAAAGTTGTTGGCCCTGTGGGCATTTCTGCTATCTGGGAAGAGAGGGGAATGGGCTGGCATGAAGTTGCACAGTTAAGAGCATGTACAGTGGTGATTCCAAAGCCCCTAGCCCTGACAAAGCTGGTAAATCGCCCTGCCTCTGACCAGGTGCAGAAAACCCAAACCCAGCCTTTGGTGGCAAAACCAGGATGGAGTCATGATGGGCTGAAGAAGCCTCTGCTGTGTTTACCTGCTTCTCTTTCTGGCCCTGCATGGAACCACTGATGTCAATCACAAAAACCAGGTTCTTGTTCAGGTTCGTCAGGTTTTGGGGTGCCAAGAAGTGTGCAAAGTGGTTGTTGGCCACCTGAATGAAGCACAGGGAGATTAGTAAGTCTCTCTCCCGAGTGGCCCCTGCTCTATCCCCTAACTCTTGGGCAACCCTGCCCCCTAAGTCTTGGGCCACCCTACCCTCTAAGCTTTGGGTGACCCATTTCAGGCTCACCAGAAGGTCACAGATTTTGTCACGGTTGACATCGTAGGTCACCCTGAAGTCCCCATTCAGCAAGGATGTGGAACACGTGGGGCAGGATTGCTGCTGGCTCATGGTAGGGCGGAAAAACACGTGACCCTGGAACCACCCAAGATGTGAGGTTATAGGTTCGTGCAGCAAACAGGATGTTTGCAAAGACAGCATGTGTGATGTGTGTGTGTGTGTGTGTGTGTGTGTGTGTGTGTGTCGTCACAGAAATCAGCGTGATGGGCCCCCCAGCTAGATGCTGAGAACACACAGCTGTAGTTATATAGTAGGAGACAAAGCCTATTTCTTTGCTTCAAACCAAAATCAAACCCAGTGCCAGTTCTGATTCATAGAGATCCTAACCGACAGGTCAAAGTAGAATTGGCCCCTAGGTTTCCCAAAGCTGTAAATCTTTTGCAGAAGCCAACTGGCACATCATTCTCCCCTGGAACAACTGGTGGGTCCGTACAGCCTACGTTTAGGTTGCCGGCTGAGTGCTCTATCTACTGCATCACCAGGGCTCCTTTCTTTGCTTATACACCCAATAAATCATTGAGAGCTCCTACAGTAAACATCACCATTTAGATATGGAAATAAAACCAAAATTGTTAGATATTATGAGGGACATTCTCAATTCTCATTGTTGCAGAGTCAAAATTAACTCAAAGCTCTTTGTCAGATTTCCAAGGCAGTAAATCACAAGGGAGGAAATGGCTCTTCTTAGTGGTCCCACAGAGCTGCTGGTGGATTTGAACTACCAGAAACATACGACCCCTGGGTTAGCAATACAACTCAGTCAGCCCGAACTTTTACGTGGAAAAACAAGGAAATAAAACTGTCCTGGAAAAATAGAACCCACGTAGGCCCTTGGTGTCTTTCTGATATATGGAGAGAGCTACAGAGAGAAAGAGAGAGGCTCAGAGAGTGAGCTGGAGTTTCGTGTGACTTGGTGCTGGCATTCAGGGGAGCAAGGGATGACTTTTACTCTGTATTTTCTACACTTCTGCATTTTCTCTTTTTGCTTTCTGCCATTGGTTTCATAGCGGTTATTGGTGAAAGAAGACATACTCCTCAAAGATAACTCAAAAGGAATTGTTAGAAAGACACAGACCATAAAAGTAAGTATGTTTTCTCACTCACTGAAGGGTCATATTTGTCTCTAGTGGAGAGAATCCTCCTCCAAAAAGCTGTAAGAAGCGTTTCTTTTCAATGACTTGCTACCTAAGTTAGAATGTAAGAGCTTATTTGCTTATGACTTGCATTGATGGGTTCCTCTACTCTTCCTAGGGTTTTCAGAGGCCTGGTATTCAGGAAGTGGATGACCAATCCTGCTTCCTAGTCTGTCTTAATCTGGGAGCTCTGCTAAAACCTGTCCACCATGGGTGACCCTTGTGATATTTGACACATATGTGGCAAAACTTTCAGTATCACAGCAGCCCACCAGTTATCTTAGTACAGCAAACTGACAGACTAGTGCTGTACCAATTGGAACAATGTTGAGAGGGGTTAGGGAGAGGATAACTAGTGGGGACCTTCTCCAGGTCCAGGGCCTGGAGAGGGGGCTTACAGATGCCTCTGGACTTCCTCAAAATGACTTGCAAGGCTCTGGATAAGACCAAAGCCCTTATATGCCTATGTTTTGAGAAAATAGAAACATGGAGTTTTAACCACAATAGTGTCTGAGGTGCGTAAACCAAAACTAATTGTTATCAACAGATGGTGACTCCCAAGTGTGTGAAAGCAGAAATATATTAAGATGGGATCTTCAATGGCTAATTTTTGGGGGAAGATTGCCAGGCCCTTCTTCAAAATCATCTCTGGGTGAACTCAAATCTTCAGCCTTTTGTTTAGCAGCCAGGCTCATTAACCATTTGTATCACTCAAGGAGTCCAAAGTTTGCTTATGCACATACAAGCCTCTGAATATTTTTTCTTTGCCAATCTTATTGTCTCTGACACACCTATCCCCATTACCCCAACCACCCTACGCACCTTTTTCCCTGAGAAGGACTTCTTGATGGTATGGGTCAGGTCTTTGGGGAGGAAGGGGGCTTGGACACCCAGCTTGCTGATCCCCTGGGGTTCAAAGATGTCCACATCGATCTGCAACGTCGAAGCAAAGTCTGTGCCAGGGATGTCATTTGAGTCCTCACCGGGTCACAGTCAGAAGGCAGCATGGTCTTTTCTGCCTACTGTGTGCAGCGCCGACTCTGCCCTCAGCATAGGGCCTGGCACATCGCATCCAATAACAGCTGCCGAGTGAAGGGGTTGTGTTTGCACCCCTCAAATCGGTCACCACTTAGGTGCCAGTGGCAATCACAGGTGCTCAGGACTTCCTGATTTACAAACTATCTCGATTCTCTTGTGATCTTTGTGGCAGTTCTGAGATGGGCAGGGAACTCCCATTTAACAGATGAGAAAACTGAGGGTCAGAGAGGGGGAGGAGGTTGGAAGGCTGGGGGAACACCCTGCTCAAGAAGAGCCTGCTGGAGCCCACTCTGAGGGTCTGTCCCTTCTGCTGTGCGCTCAGGCGGGGCTGGCAGACAGTAATGCTGACCAAAGCTTGAAGCCATGAGGAGAGAGGAGTCCTGTTCTGGGGATCCCTCCCTTGCATGGGGGTCACCTGCAATCCACCTCAAAATGCTGCACGAGCTGCTTGGGCTTGACTTTGATGACAATGTCGTACTGGCCGAGTTTCCGCTTCAGCACCTCCTCGTAGGTCAGCTGGAACGTGGCCTTGCTCCGGGGCCCGATGGTGATGTGGATGGTGAACTGCTCCATGGTCCTTCCTGAGGCCCTGGACACTCACAAGAGCGGTGACAGACAGACCAGAGTAATGAGGCACAGCCTTCAGACCATTTCTCTGATTCTAGGCCATGCCCCAGGTTTCCCAGCCCTCACCCTTTGTCCCAGCTGATCTCTCAGAGTCAGGGCCTGAGGACTGGGCTCCACCACTCTTTGAGGCTGATCTGAGGGAAGGTCCCTGCCCCCAGCCTTGTCCATGTCCCCGTGCTGGCATTCTGGGCTGATGGTTCGTTCAATCTTCCATCAACCTGGAGGTGCTGTGCCATGAGTGGGGCCAGAACTCACCGGACGAGGCCTGCATTCTCGCCCGAGATGGCGGCTTTCCGGTACTGCTTCCACGCCGCCACTTTGTCCTTGATAGTCCCGACGAATGCATTTCTATCTGACGTGCTGCAGGGAAGAAAGAAGGTCCTTAGGGGAGGTGATTCCTCCTGGCCACACAAGTCCTTTCTGTGGGAAGTACTTGGAGCTAGACCCAGAGTCCTCCTGTCTCCAATTGTGCTTACAGGAAGGTGTCCCCTGGCCTGCTTTCCACTGTCCATGGTGATGCTCTGGGGACCTGGGCAGTGCAGGACAGCCTCAGTTATGCTACTCTTTGCCCTCCCCCCCACCCCATCAATTTCATCAGGACAGCTCAGATCCTGGTCTTTGTTCCTTGGGCTCTAGGAGGAAGATACGTTTTCTGAGGCCCAAATTTCTTTTCCAAGTGAGGAGCCAAGACCAGATATGAGGCGCTTCCTCCTCCCCTCGGAGCTCGGCCTGAGATACACCCCTTTTGGAAATGAGGGTTCCCTCTGCACTACGGTCTCAGGCTGGAGCATGAGAAGTGGACACCTCGGAGGAGTGAGCAAGTTGAGATGGGGCTTGAGGGTACACACATGGCGAAGTCACTGATGAAGGCTGTCTTGGGGATCTCCACATCGAAGGCTACCTCCTTGGCCTCGTCGGCATTGTTGACCACCTGACTGGTAATGACATAGTGGGCGAAGCGGGAAGTAACTTTGCAGTTGACTTTCAAACTTCGAATGGTCACACCGTCAACCTGAAACACGAGGGAGCTGTATGTAGCCTGGCGTGTTAGGCTTTGAGACAGTGAGGACTCCCCTCAATGTTTTGGGGCTCAAGACCAGGCTCAGATACAAAGTGCTGGCAAAGAATTGTCCAGGCCACCTGGGAAGGCCCACTCCCTCTGCCTGGGACTCTGCAGGGTGGGTGGGAACAAGTGTCCATTCCTAGAGATACGGTGCCCTTTGCCCATGGCACTGACAGATGACACTCCTAGAGGATCAGAGGGCAGCGAGGATGTAGTGATGCCCCCCTCACAGGCCCTTTACTGAGACTTTGACTCACTGTGTCCACTGCATTTTGCTTCTGCAAAATCAAAATTAACAGTGAGATCAAAGGCTAAGGGGATCACAACCTGTCTATTAAGGGATAAAAGTGGATTCCTATCTGTGTTCTCTGTCCTTAGTGTCACTCCCTCCCAGTGCTGTGAGAGGACTCCTCTCCCATCAGTGATGAAGGTGGCCCTGGCCCCTGGGGTGGCTGGTGTCTTGTATCACGTCTAGCCCCAACTAGTCCCAGTTGCCTGTTTCTGCCCCACAGGCTTAGCCACATACCTCGCTGCCCCTGGGCCTGCCTGTAGCAGAAGCCCGAGCCGGCAAGGCCTGCAGGATGGAAAAGGACGCCAGGCACATGCACAACAGCACCCGCAGTCCCATGGCACCGTCCATGGTCCGGAGAACCAGCTGCCCCATCGCTTCACTCAGACCAGTAATCAATAATGTGCTGGATAAACATGGATTAAACATTAGACAAGGTGAGAGCAAATATCACAATGCTGAATTGAATATTGGCAGTGAAACTTTTCTCTCTGTGGGAGTTCCCGGCTCCGGGCTTGGCAAAATGATTAGGCTGCAGACTGGGCCCCTCTGCAGAAAAGCAGTCAGCCAGCACCCCAAGGTCTTACACTAGATGTCACCAGTGTATGGAAGCAAGATGCCTCTGTTAAAAATGGCTATCTAAGCGTCATTAAGCGTTATGTTCAAAAGTCTTTAAGCATCAGCAAACTTTTCAGTTTGGCCAGGGAGGCAAATAAAGTGGCTTATGCCTTCCCCTTGGGCACAAGTTTCTGATAGTGCTGACTCCTGTGATGCTGCTACCAGAGGGAGGCAGTCTTGAAAGGCAAATTGGGTGACCCTTGGTCACTTGCCCCATCTCTCTGGAAGCTTCTTGTCCAGATTTGGAAAGAATTTCTGCCTGGACAGGGATGCCTGGTAAGTAAAGAGAGAGATGAAAAAGACTTTCATAGTGAGTGATTGACAATATACCACAAAACACTTCAAGCTCTTTCTTGGCTAACACACAGACAGACACAGACACACAGACAGACACAGATACACACACACAGACACAGACACAGACACAAAAGCAGAAAGAGACATGATATCTCTGAGAGGCTAGAAGTTCTAATTGAGGGTACTGCTTCAAAAGGGAAGGCTCTAGCCTGTTCTAAAGCTTCTAGAGTTTCTCCAGCCCTTTATATACCCTAGTTCCTTGGAGATCCCCACATGGCATGGATTCCTCCCCCATCTCAGCTCACTATCTCTGTTTATGCAGCTCTTTATATTATACAAAAGTGATGAATCTGAGAGCAAAGCTATACTGACAGGACCTCAATGACATAACAAACAAAACTATTTCTAAATAGGATTATATCAATGGGTGCAGAGGTCAGAACTCCAACACACATTTTGGAAGGGCACAATTCAATAAAATATGAGTACTCTTTGGCTTCTAAAAAAAAGAAAAAATTCTCAATAGGGATCTACACCTAAGGATCTCTGATTCTAAAGCCCAATCCTTAACCATCACACAGTGACAGGGAATTGTAAGAAAGTAGAGTCAAAGACCCCAGAGAGAAAATTCTTAGAGATATATCTCACACTTGCAGTTTCTTAACTTTTATGCCTAAGCCCTCTTGGTGTTCCCAGAGCCACACAGCACCCTGGGACAGACACTGGGGCTGGTCAGTGCACTCCGTGGTCCCAGGAAGGATCTGGGCTACCATAGCCTGCTAAGTTGCAGGAACCCAGAAGTCTCATTCATCTCTATTTGCTTGTCCTGGACTTTGTCTCTCGGAACAGTTTCTGGGAAAGAGTGTGCTGTCCCCAGGCCAGCATGAACTCCCTGGTCTGTTTCCAGATCTTTGTTGAAAAAGAGATGGAGCAATTATCAGTACATTTAGGGTTCTGTGTATTTCATGCACTGTGCTTTATGGGGTTGGGCACAATGGCAGGCAGTGGACATTAGAGGAATGAAACACCAGTGATTCACCAAACAAGCCAAAGGAAGGCCAGTGAAGGCCTGGGATTGGTCAGATGCTTTTAAGGAGCTAAACAGAAGTAGAGGTAGGGGAATCTGAAGAGGTGGGTTCATCTACACAGTGGATAAAAGGTTCCTGGAAAGTGGGAGTGGAAAGAGGAGGGAGAGGAGTACAGACAAGTAAGCGGGAAGTGTACTGGGGGTTAAGGAAAGGGTCTGTGTGATCAGAAAAGGAGCTGATGAAGAGGGTAGTGGTCAGTCTTTGAATGGGGATACTAAAGCTATCTCGAGCAAGAGTGAGATCAGGTCTATGCTCTTGGGTAGACTGACCCCATGAATTCAGATCTGAACCCTGTTCTATCCTATCCTGTGCCAGTCTCACAACCTTTGACACATTGCTGCAGTCACTGTGTCAATTCACCAGGTTGAAGGTCTTCCTCTCCTTCACTGTCCCTTCACCCTTTCAAGCATGATGTCTCTCTCCAAGGAATAGCCTCTTCTAGTAAAAGGACCAGAGTATGAGAGACGAAGCTTCATCATTTTTGTCTCCAAGGAGCACACGTGTAGGACTTGATTGAATGACGGTAGCTTTGATCGAAGTGGGAAATGACACTAGGAAAAGATGGTCTGGAGCGAGACAATGAGAAGGGAGTGCACTTTCTTTAAGACAGTGTTCTTTTGGCAGTTCATGGGATTCTTCTCCAACACCACAAAGTTCAAAGTCATCAATCCTTCTGTCATGTTTACTCATTGTCCAGCTTCAGATGCATAGCAAATGACTGAAAAGATCACGGCCTGAGTCAGGCACACCTTAGTCCTCAAACTGACACCATTGCTCCCCAAGAGTTTGGAGAGGTCCCAGACTGTAGATTTTCCCAGCGCCCTATATCTCCTGATTGCTGAAAGCAAGGTTAAAAGGAGTAAGCACTCAATAAGTGCAAGCTCGCAGGATTTTGTTATTGCCACAATTCTAGCGGAGGAACAGCGGCTGAGGGTGGCACGTTAGACACGGCGGTCTGAGGCGCTCTGGCCGCGCTGGGAATCCTCTCCTCTATGGCGAGTCTTCCCGGAGCGGCGGCAGCGCTCTGGCCCGCGCCTCGGCCTCTATGGTGAATCCTCCTGTAAACACGGAGCATGCGCGGGGCTGCGCAGGCTTGGATCGCTATGGCAGCGGCGTCGCGGTGGGCCGGGTCTCCTCTTCCCTGCCAGGGCCGGCCAGTCACAGCAGCGAGCGCTGCCGCCGTCCCACGGGCATGAGCGGGGTCTCCCGCTGCAGCCGGCTGTCCTTCACACTGCCATCGCTGCATTCCGACCGCGGGCCCGCATCGGGAATATGCCCCTGGCCGCCTACTGCTACCTGCGGGTCGTGGGCAGAGGCAGCTACGGGGAGGTGACGCTCGTGAAGCATCGGCGGGACGGCAGGCAGGTCGGCGGGGCCAGGGCCCACGGGGGGCAGACATGGGAGCTCAGAGGCACCATCCGATGGGGCCGACCTAGAGGGATCCGAAGGCCTCTTACTTATGCCAGCACTTCGTCAACGAAGTCATTGATGACCCCTCTCCTCCCAAGACTAGGCCTGACCTCCTAAAATGCACTCCAGACGCCCTGTGCCCTTTATAGATTTGTGTGTTGATCTGCTGGATGTGTGCAGTAGGGGTATGAGGCATGAAGATAGTTCTCTGAGGAACCATGCATGCCGAGCAAGCATTGCTCATTCAGCGAAGGCTCTCAAACGTCTGGCCTCCTGGCTACTGGATGCACTTAAAACTCAACTTCTCAAAATCATCTCCCCGCCTAACCGCCCACGTTACTTATTTCCAGCTAACTAATTGCCCAAGCAACTGGGCGTCATACTTGACATCATCCTAACAACTTATATTAATTTGTCTCTAAACCAGAGTTCTTCCCTCCTCTCCATATCCACTAGAACCACTCCAATCCAGGACACCTGTTATTTATCTCTGGTTCAACCATGGCCACAGTGAGCTTTTTAAAACTGCGATCTGATCTTGTAATTCCTTCTGTGTTTAAAACACTTTATACCATCACCCTCAAGTTATAATTATCCAATTTTGGGGGGTGAGAAAATTTGTATTTAGAATTAGCCAACTGGACTCAATTTGGATGATCCCAATTTTGTTGGCAACATCCAAATCATCATAATCGGGACCAAGTTGAACATAGGTCTGTCTCTCCATCAGGCCTAATCAAGATGTTGGCCTTAGCAATGTCAATGTCAGAGCTTCTTCACAACTTGTTTGATTTGGTGCTTGTTGGCTTTGACATTCATAATGAACACAGGTGTGTTGTTGTTACCTTCTTCATGGCTGACTCAGTGGTCAGGGGAAGCTTGATGATGGCATAGTGGTCAAGCTTGTTTCTCCTGGGGGTGCTCTTCCAGGGGATATTTGGGCTGCCTTTGGAGTCTCAGCATCATAGGCCACCAGAAGGTGGGTGACATGGATCTTCTTTTGTTTGTGTCTACGGATGCCCTTCAGGACTGCCTTCTTGGCCTTTAATGCCTTTGCTTTGGGCTCAGTTTTGAGAGGGGCAGGAGCTTCCTTCTTCACTTTCAGCACCATTTTCAGAACCATTTCTTTAACGTGTTTGCTTTTGGTTTTTTAATTTAATTTAATTTTATTTTATTTTCTCTGTGTGTGTACGGTCAAACTGGATGTGACTGGTACACGAGGAAATGGCCCCTCCTTCTCCGGCAGAGCATCTGGTGGATTCATTCGAACCACATATCTCTGGGATTGCAGTGCAGCTTCTTGCCACTAGGCCGCCAGAGCTCCCCTTAACGTGTTTTATAAAGCAGAGTGATCCTAGATTTTGGCAAACGGAAACTCTTTACCATGAAAGAAGGTATTATTTATGATAATACTGGACAATAGGCATAAAACTGTAATTACATTGTACAGGTTGAGATGTTGTGTGTTGTTGGAATGGAGTCACAGTTGACCCTCCAGTGAGTTTTCAGCAGTAAACCGCACCTGCAGAGCATCTGGTGGATTCGAACACCTTTGGTATTGCAGTGCGGCTTCTTACCACTAGGCCACTATTGTTATTATTATGTGCTGTCGAGTGCTTGTGACTCATAGTGACCCTATGTAAAAAAGCCCTAAACCCTGCTCACTACCCCAATCACTGAATCAATCCATCTCATCGACGGTCTTCCTCTCTTGCGCTGTCCCTCCACCCTCCCAAACATGATGTCCCTTTCCAAGATCAGGTCCCTCTAGAGCTCCCTAAACTGAGATGAGAGTGTCTCCTTACTTACAAGGCCCTCCCCACCCTTCTACCTTGTTTCAAAAGCCTGGGAATGTAAACAAAAGACATAATGGATTTATTCAGCAGGCATCAGGCCATTGGATTTTTATTTATCTTTTTTTTAGCCAAGAGTAGGAGGTTGGCGACAATAATGTTGTTGTTAAGTGCGGCTGAATCGAAACCAACCCATAGCTGATCTTCCACAGTGGCTTTTCAGAGGGAATAAATCGCACAGGAGGAGATTGCCCATCCTTCTCCCACGGGGTAGCTGGTGGTGGATTCAAACTATGTAGCTTTGTTCTGGCAGCACAACTCTTTGTCACTGGGCCACCACCTCTCCCTGGGCTATAATGGGCTTTACCTTTCATTTGAGCAGTAGTTTGGATTTTACAAAGCACATTGATACACATCATGTTGATTGAATAAATTGTATCATTTTTTTCAGGTGTTTCAAGGGCAATGTGTTAGGTGCTAGAGACTACTGAGTTATTTTTAAGTGGGGATAATTTTGTGTCTTGAGGATCTGTGTTGTGTTTAAGTGGGGATAATTTTGTGTCCTGAGGATTTTATGTGTTGAGGATCTTTTAAACCTTACTGGCTTAAAAGATTCCTTTGCATGTTTCATACAAACTGTGGACCCATTCTATTGGTATTTGTATATCCATGTTGTATTTTGTAATCCTTTTAAGGCGGACCTTAGAGGGTAAGTTCTCAACCACAAATTTTATGATTGATCCAGGACTGTGCTAATTTGGACTCATTTGTAGCCACTAATGAACTTGCAAACTGCAGATAAAAAGGGAATATTCTGTGACTGTCATCTTGCTGTAAGTGTAACCTGCAAATTGTAGGTTTAGCAACAGCAAGTTCTGTATTTTATACAGTAACTGGGGCAGTGGGAGTTGGTGTGTCGGAATTAGTGAGACTGGCTCAGGACAGGGCAGGGTTCGGAGCTACTGTACATAGGGAGGTTTCAGGTAACTCGACAGCACATAACAACAACTAGTTTTATACTTTGTGAGTCACAAAACGAATATGTTATTTGTCAGGCTCCGGATGGATTTGAGTCCTGAAATACTGTGAACTTTCAAATCTATACGCCTATCTACACTTTGTAAAATCATGTTTTCTTTGCAGTATGTCATCAAAAAACTGAACCTCCGAAATGCCTCCAGCCGAGAGCGGCGAGCTGCCCAGCAGGAAGCTCAGCTCTTGTCTCAGCTGAAGCACCCCAACATTGTCACCTACAAGGAGTCCTGGGAGGGAGGGGACGGTCTACTGTACATTGTCATGGGCTTCTGCGAAGGAGGTGATCTCTACCGAAAGCTCAAAGAACAGAAAGGCCAGCTTCTGCCCGAGAGTCAGGTGGTGGAGTGGTTCGTTCAGATCGCCATGGCTCTGCAGGTACCACCAGACCCACAGCACCCCGCTTGCTCCAAGGTGGCAGGGAGATGGCAGGGTTTGTCGGACAAATGCTTACATTTATAATATGTCCTTTGGCAGGGGCAGATCTATTTATGAAGTATACCTATTCTTTCTTGCTTTGGTGCTGGAAAAGTTGCTAACTGACTGATAATATCTGGTTATGGTGGAAACCAGTTCAGGGTTCATTTAATATTGATATCACTGAGATGTTTGGGGGGGTTAAGTGGGCATTTTGGACAATATGGCTGCTCCTTTGGCATGTTTAATTGTGATGTTTAACGGACATCCTTGCAGTTTAAAATGACACTTTTAAAATAAAATTCTCTCCTAATAATGATTTGGACTCTACCGCTCAGTGGGAGAATCAGCAGAACCTGTGGGATGCTATATGGAATGAACGTTCTCTCTGTTATAATTTTGTTCTGTTGGGTTTTGTGTGGTGTTTTTGTTCCATTTTCTTTTTGTTTCATTGGAAATACAAGATGATGCTCAGTTTTCAATGTTAAAAGTATACAAGTTGCTTTGTTACACTAAAACTAAACGTGTAAAAAAAAAATATTGATAGCAAAGTCAGTTTATAGCAAAGATGACCAAGAGTGAAGAATGACCATGGTTGTTAAAGGGTGGTCAGCTGTATCATGCTAAGAGCAGGCCGGGCTAATTAAACTGTGGGGATTTGGGCTTCAGCCCACTGTGGCCGACTGGATAGAAATGCAAAACAAGTTTGTGTCCTAATACACACATATTCAAGAGTGAGACTGTTTATAAAATACTGAACAGAGAACTCTGGAACTGAGCAGACTTGTCTAGAATTAACTGACCTTGTTGCTTAAATTTGAAGGTATTTTCTTTTATATAGAAATAGTCTTGGCCTTCTTTCTCACCAAATCACCTTTCAGGGAGGAAGGTCCATCCCTTTGAGGATGTAACATTTTAAGAAATCAATCAGTACTATTTTACCTTTAAAAAAAGATGGTCTTGCTATACTTGAAAATGTGTTTAAGGTGAGGCTCTCCTAAGTTCAGAAAGCATGTGTTTCTCACATTGTGTAAAGGTCTTTCTACTTTAGTTGTTGTTGTGTACCACTGAGTGAGAAACGACCCATAGCTGATCCTCCAGTGGGTTTTCAGAGGCAGTAAATCATGCCAGAGAAGATTTTCCATCTTTCTCCTGTGGAGCAGCTGATGGATTTAAACCTCCTACCTTTGGGTTGATAGCGCAGCTTCTTACCACCAGACCGTGGAGCTAAATGCCATGGCTTTTAGTGGAAAATATGTTTTTAACTGGGTGCATTAATGATAAAATAAAAATAATTTTACCAGGCACCAGGAAACAGTTATGAATGGAACTGGGCAAATAAATATATAAAACTTAGTTTTTCTGCTTTGGAAAGTTCAAAGTTAGACCTTTTACTCAGAGATTATAAAGCAAGATTATTCTAGTATATAGGTAACCAAGACTTTGTAACTCATGTAAATGTGTTTATATGTTGTTGGGTGCCAACAAGTTGGTTCTAACCCTTAGCCCTGCGTCCAGCAGAACTAAACACTGCCCAGTCCTGTGCCGCCTTCACAGTCATTGCGTGGCTGGGTCCATTGTTGCAGTCACTGCATGATCCAACTCACTGGGACCCTTCTTTTTCACTGGCTCTCTGCTTTACCAAGCATGATGTCCTTCTCCAGGGACTGATCCCTTCTGATAACCTGTCCAAAGCGCATAAGACTGAAATCTTGCCATGCTTGTCTCTCAGAAGCATTCTGGCTGTACTCTCCCCAAGATGCCTTTGTTGGTTCGTCTGGCAGTCCATACTCAGTATTCTTCACCAGCACCGAATTCTGAGGCTTTGGTTCCATGGTCTTCCTCATTCATTGCCCAGTTTTTGCATGTGTTTGAGGCATTTCAAAATCCTGTGGCCTGGATCAGGTGCACCCTAGTCCCCAAGGTGACTATCTTTAATGAAGTGTTTTTTCTCTCGTCAGTATTTACATGAGAAACACATCCTTCACCGAGATTTGAAGACTCAAAATGTCTTCCTGACAAGGACAAACATCATCAAAGTGGGTGACCTGGGAATTGCCCGCGTGTTAGAGAACCACTGTGACATGGCCAGCACTCTGATTGGCACACCTTACTACATGAGTCCTGAATTGTTCTCAAATAAACCCTACAACTATAAGGTAGGGCTGACTCACCTTGACTCTAGGACAGTGTTCATAATTTCAGAACCTACTCAGATGGTGAAGAGATAAAGAATGTCAGTAAAGCATTTTGGTATTTAACTCTTTGTTGGTTTCTTTTTTAGTCTGATGTTTGGGCTCTGGGATGCTGTGTGTATGAAATGGCCACCCTGAAGCATGCTTTCAATGCAAAAGACATGAATTCATTAGTTTATCGGATTATTGAAGGAAAGGTAAAGTACATTCTAAAATGTTTTTAAATGTTTGACACAAGATTTATTTAATGGACCTTTTTAAGTAGCTTTTGGCAAAAGTGAATGAAAAATTAACCTTGGGAAGGTGGTTTAGAATTGTGGATTCCTTCTGTAGAGAGTACTAAGCTAAAGGACAGGGGATTGATAATTTTTAATATTGATTTAATGACTTAAAGGATTTAGACTTTTGGAAGTCTTATACCTGAGAGCTACTGGTATCTTCTGCTAAGCAGCTTATAGTTAAATAAACATCTTTTGAAACCGAGTCCTTTATTTTTTAACTTGTTACCATCTCTGAAAGTACTGTAGTAAACATCCTTAGATTTAGGTAACCAAATCTTTAGAAACTACTTCTCTTATTTCTGAAGGACAGAGTCCTCAGTCGGCACTGTGGCCTGAAGGACATACTCCAGAGTCTTACAACTTCGTGTTACAACCAGGATACCAGTGTATTTCATACAGATTAATCGACTGCTGTTTTCTGCTTACATTGGTATAAAGGAGTCCTGCTGGTTTAGTGTGTAATGTGTCAGGCTGCTACCCACAAGGTCAGCTGTTCAAACACACCAGCTGATCTATGAGAGAAAGATGGAAGATCTTCTCTTTTTTTTTTCACACAGAAACTATTCAATTTCTTTAAAATCACTGAGCAAGAAAAGCAACATTGATCTTCACATACTGATTTTACATGATTTCTATACAGTACCTTGACTTAAATCCAAGAGCAAAAGTTAAGACTCTCCTCCTCTATTTTTGGTAAACAACTGCATGGTAAACTTGGATGACTTTCCCCCCTGGATTTTACCTGGGAGTAGCCTTTTACATTTTTCATTTAAAAGCGGGCAGGTTTGGCACTTTTATACTGATGTCACCAATGTTAATATTTCTTGGGATCTCAGGAAGATTCATATTCTTTACAGCTAATACAGCACGGCTGGAGCTCCTGCTAAGCCAGCCTTAGATTTCGCCAGTTTATTTTGTGCATCAATTTGTGTAACAATCTCATTCATGTTCGTCTCTAATACTATTCCCCCATCACCATTTCTGCAAGAATATTGTGAACCTTGTCTACATGGAAAATTAAATCCAGTTCACAGACATTTTTAAAACACTTGTCTAACGTTTCCACAAATACTTGAATTAGATCTAAAATGCCAAGTTCACTTTCTGAAGAATCCACACAGAAGACAAAATATAATGTTGCATAATGTCTATAAATCAGTTTGTTGTCAGATCCTCCTATTAACAATCCTCCTGCTAGGAAATTACAAACATTTTCATCTCTCTTCGATACCAAATGGAATGTTTCCCTGATGATTTGTTGTTGTGTATCTTCACTGTAAGGCTGGTAGAACTTGGAGAGCCGTGGCTTCCCGTGGTTGTTGAAAATGAGGATCGCCTTGATCATGGCTGGGCCGGGCCGACCGGGTGGGCGCTGGGGGCCAGGGCAGGGGTGGGTGCGCAAGCCTCGCCTCGGGATCTTGGAAGATCTCCTCTTATAAAGATTTACAGCATCAGAACCCAATGGAGTGTTGCTCTGAATTGGAATTAGCATGATTTGGCAGAGGGTGATATGCAAATGTGATTTTAAATAAGTAATTGGGAAACCTCTACTTTCTTTTATTTTGCCACACAAGTCCATTAAGTTCTAATTATGTTATCACTTCCCTTTGCAGCTGCCTCCAATGCCAAAGGGTTACAGTCCAGAGTTGGCAGAACTGATCAGAACAATGCTGAGCAAAAGGCCTGAAGAAAGACCATCTGTGAGGAGTGTCCTCAGACAGCCTTACATAAAGCGCCAGATCGCCTTGTTTTTGGAAGCTACCAAGGCGTAAGAGATTTCCCGTGCAAATACCTGGACTAAAGAGATAGAGCTAAGGAGGGTTGTTAGTTACTATGGAGTGAATTCAATTCACAGTGCCCCCCGCATTGACAGAGTAGAACTGCTCCATAGGTTTTCTTGATTGTGATCATAATGGAAGCAGATTGGCAGGCCTAGGTTCTGTGGTTCTGCTTTTAGTGTTTCAAACCATCAACCTTTAGTATAGCAGTTAAGTACAAACTGCTTATGCTTCCTAGAGTAGATGCTGAAATTTTCATATGCAGAATTTATGGTGGTGGTAATTGTTATGTGTCGTCGAGTTGACTCCCACTCATAGCGACAACAGCCCTGAACCCTGCTCTATCTTGAGCCAGTTTTATTGTCTGACACACTTACCCCCATTACCCTAGTCACTGAGTCAATCCATCTCATCCAGGTTCTTCCTCTCTTGCTCTGCCCTCCACCCTTCCAAGCATGATGTCACTTTCCAAGGACTTGTCCCTCCTTGCAACATGCCCAAAGTATGTAAGATGGAGCTTCAAAATCCTTTACTCCAAAGAGCAGCCTGTTTGTTCTCTTAGCAGTCCATTGTATATTCAGTACTATTCTCCAGTACCACAGCTCTAAGGCATCAGTTCTTCTCTCATCCTTAGTCATTGTCCAGCTTTCTGATACGTAGCAAGTAATTGCAAAGACATGAACCAAATATAACTTTGTATGACTAGAATTTTTCACTTATTTGCTAAAATAAAATATCAAGAGAGGCTTCAATAACATTCCTTAGAAGGTTTCAAGACATTGAGAGTTTATTTCTTTTAAAGGGAGAATTATCTGTGAAACCCATTACATTATTTACTATGTAAGATACTGTGTATTGTCATTTCTAAAAAATAGTGCTCAGATTTTTGAGAGCTTCTTTAAGGTTCTCTCATTATTCATGTAACTTCTCAAAAAGGAAAAGAATTATTTTTTTTCATTTGTTTGCTTACACCAATCAGTTGTTCTTTCATTGTACCTGTTGCCATGAAGTTAAACTGGTTCCAACTCATAACAGCCCTATTGGACAGTAGAGCTGCCGCATAGTGTTTCCAGGGTGGGCTGCTCTGATGGCCTAGTGGTAAGCAATTGTGCTGCCAACCCAGAGGCACTTGGCTCAAGTCCACCAACTAGCTGCTCTGTGGAAGAAAGATGGAAAGTCTCCATCTGTGCAGTTTCTAGCTTCTGAAAATCTACTAGAGGATCAACTATGAGTCAGTTCCAAATTGATGCAAATAACAACAAACACAACAACCATCTTTATGGAAACAGACTATTCTGTCTTCTTCAGAGTAACTGATGGGTTTGAACCACTGATCTTTGATTTAGCAGCTGACTGCTTAACCACTGTGCCACAAGGGCTCTTTCTTACCTAAGGCCTGTTACCTTAATAGACTAAGGGCTGGATAAGAGCTTGATTTTTTTTGGCTCCTCCTGTGTCTTGTGACATATTAAATTTTGGAGGAGAGGAGTCAGTGCTAGAGAAGCCCCAGGAGATAAAGAAGGACAATATTTTTGCTCACGTTGTCTATAATTTCCTGCCAGACAAACCTTTGACCTTTCAAAGCACTGGACTCCCGCTTCCCCTTACTTCTCAAGAGGGTTATCCCCATTTAGGATCCATAGAGTAAATCAGCTGGTGATGTTACTCATTTATATATTTACTCTGCAAGGCTGAATCTACTATTTTTTATTCGCAGACTTTCTGCAGCAGTTGTATTATTACAAATGAGACACTTGAAAATGAAACTTGTCCTGGTACTTTTGTTATGTGAGGCAGTTTCCCAGAGTCTTTTTAAAATAAAGTTTTAATATTGGAATAATTTTACGCTTATAGAGAAGTTACAAAGACAGTATGGAGAGTCCCTTGCACAGTTTGCCCTTATCATTTACATCTTGCATTACCAAGGTACATTTATCAAAACCAAGAATCCAGTATGTTACTACACTCACATTATTTCACTTTCACTTGTTTCTCTACTGATGTCCTTTCTTTACAGAAGGATCCAATCCAGGCACCACACTGTGTTTAGTGGTCCCATCTCTTAATATTTTTGGTCTTTTGACAGTTTCACACATACTTCCCTTATTTTTCACAGACTTGACATTTTTGGGGGTTCTTATTAGGTATTTTGTGACCTGTTCCCTAGATTTTTAGAAGATGATTTTCTATAAATGGAGCAGTTATTTAAGGGAGTATCATGAAGAGAATATTTTTTGTTAGTTAAAAACCTTAATCTTGGGGAGCTCTGGTGGCCTAGTGGCAAGGAGCTGCAACTACAATCCCAGAGGCTCATGGTTCGAATCCACCAGATGCTCTGCCGGGGAAGGAGGGACAATCTCCTCCTGTACCAGTCAGATCTGATTTGACGGTACACGCACACAAAAATTAAAAAAACAACAACAACAACAACAAAAAACCACACCTTAATCTTTATTATCTTGATAAGAGTAAGTTTTCCTTCTTTTCTTCCTCATAAAGAAAAACCTCCAAAAATAATGTTAAGAATGGTGACTCTAAATCCAAGCCTGTTGCTCCAGTGGTTTCCAGAAAAGTTGAATCCAATAATGACGTAATCTCACCCCAGCCACACTCCTCTGGGGACTCACGGGCATGTATAAAGGTATGTTTATTTTTAAAGGGTACTTGTTTTGGAAATGGTATTAAAATCATAGATTACTTTAACAACAAACAAAAAGCATGCAAAAGAAAGAAAAAAACAGTTTAAAAAAATTATAGATTACTTGAAAAGTTATTTGATGTGAAAGAATTATATATTTCTAGAGATTCTGATTATATAGTTAATTCTGTAATGTAAAGAGAAAACTGGTGCAGGTGATTGATTGAACCTCCTGCACATTATTATGAAACAATTGGAGAAATCCATCAACAAAGAACAGCCAGAAATTTAAGCCAGATTCAGAAGAAGACATATAAAAAAGGGCATCATGGCAGATGTCAGAAGCATATTAATCTTGACTAAAAGGAAAAAATGTCAGAAAAGAAATTTACTTGACTTTGAAAAGGCATTCAGTGGTGTGGGTCATAACAAATTATGGATAACGTGGCAAAGAATGGTAATTCTAGAACACTTAATTGTGCTCACGTGGAACCTGTACATAGAGCAAGAAGAAGTTGTTTGAACAGAACAAGGGAACACTGCATGGTTTAATATCAGGAAAGCTGTGCATCACAGTTGTATTCTTTCACCGTATTTATTCAGTCAGCATGCTGAGCAAGTAATCATAGACGCTTGCTCAGGACTGGAGGAAAACTCATGAGCAACATGCGATAAGCAGATCTTTTTTTTTTTTATGGTGAGAAAAATTTATTACATTTAGAATTAGCCCGCTGGACTCAGTTTAGATGATCCCAATTTTGTTGGCAACATCCAAAGCATCATAATCAGGAGCAAGTCGAACATAGGCCTTCTTCTCTCCATCAGGCCTAATCAAAGTGTTGACCTTAGCCACATCAATGTCATAGAGCTTCTTTACAGCTTGTTTAATTTGGTGCTTATTGGCCTTGACATCCACAATGAACACAAGTGTGTTGTTATCTTCGATCTTCTTCATAGCTGACTCAGTGGTCAGGGGAAATTTGATGATGGCATAGTGGTCAAGCTTGTTTCTCCTGGGAGCGCTCTTCCGGGGTTATTTGGGCTGCCATCGGAGTCTCAGCGTCTTAGGCCACCGGAACGTGGGTGACGTACGGATCTTCTTTTTTTTTTGGCTGTGGACGCCCTTCAGGACTGCCTTCTTGGCCTTCAATGCCTTTGCTTTGGCTTCAGTTTTGGGAGGGGCAGGGGCTTCCTTCTTCGCTTTCGGCACCATCTTCGTAGAAAGGGTCGCGATATGCAGATCTTACAGTCGTACTTGCTGAAGGTGATGATAACTTGAAGAATTTACTAATGAAGATCAAAGTCTACAAACCTGAGTATGTATTACACCTAAGCATAAAGAAAATAAAAGTCCTCACTACTAGGCCAATAAACAATGTCGTGATAATTGTAAGAGAGATTGAAATTAAAAGGATTTTGTCTTACTTTGATCCACAATTAATATCCATGGATGTAGCAGTCAAGAAATCAAGCAATATGTTGTACTGGGGAAATCTGCCAAAGACCACTTTAAAGTGTTAAAGAGCTCTTTTTTGGCACATTTGTTAAGTTTTCAAGTGGGCCTGACTCTGCCACATATATTCCATAGGAGCTGGCAAAGGCTTGATGAGAAAGATCTCTCCCTAGCCTTCTTTGCACCAGACATTGACTCCTACAGAAAGGTTAGCTCATAAGTTTAAGACCTTACAGACAGGCCAACATGGACCTGACTGGCATGAGGAGAATCTATGCTGAGGGGTGTTTGTTGCTCCACCCCAGTGATGGCTTTGCTATTTAAAAAAAAAAAAGTGTTAAAGAGCAAAGATGTCACTTTGAGGACTAGGATACATCTCAACCAAGGTATGGTATTTTTAGTCACCTTATATGTATGTATGTGAAGTTGGACTATAAATAATGAAGCCCAAAGAAGAATCAAGGGCGCTCTGGTGGCCTAGTCCCCATGGAGTTGTGCTACTAGCCCCAAAGATCATGACTCTGGTAGTTTGAATCCACCATCTTCTCCATGGGAGAAAGATGGGAAGTCTCCTACCATATGATTTACAGCCTTGGAATCCCAATGGAAGGCCAGTTGTAATTTGGTTCCAACTTAATGGTAATGAGTTTCATTGAGAAGAAAAACAATGCCTCTGAATTGTAATGTAGGCAAAGAATGTTGACTATCCCATGGTTTCCCCATAGAGTACGTCAGTCTTTCCTAGAAGATGTACAACCAGGTGGTTAGAAAAAAGAATGATGTGACTTAATCTCATAGTCATTGAACGTATTATCACAAAGGCCCACCTACAACCAGGAGAGGATAAAATATATGAATCGGACTCTCCAAGAATCAAATCTCTATGCACATCCAAAAACTTCTCCAACAGGGTAAAAAGGAAAGCCCCAGACTGGGAAAAAATATTTGGCAATGACATGTCTAATAAGGGACTTATATCTATAATTTATAGAGTACTTGAGCGCCACAACAAGATAAAGGTAAACAACCCAATTGCAAAATGGGCACAGGATATGAACAGACCCTTCACCAAAGAAGACATTCAGATGGTGAAAAAACACATGAAGAAGTATTCAAAATCCCTAGCTCTAAGAGAGATGCAAATCGAAACAACTATGAGATACCATCTCACACCAGTAAGAATAGCAAAATTGAACAGAACAGCAAACAAATGCTGGCGAGGTTGTGGAGAAACTGGAACCCTTACTCATTATTGGTGGGAGTGTAAAATGGTGCAACTACTATGAAGGCAGTATGGTGCTTTCTCACAAAGTTGCAAATAGGAATACCATTTGACCCAGCAGTTCCACTACTGGGAATATACCCTGAAGAAACCATAACTGCCACCCAAGCATGTCTATACACACCCATGTTTATCGCAGCTTTGTTCACAATAGCAAAGAGCTGGAAGCAACTCAAGTGCCCATCAACAAACAAATGGGTATAGAAGCTGTGGTATATTCACACAATGGAATACTATGCTGCATTGAAAAACAAGGAACTCATGAAATATACAAAATGGGTGAACCTGAAGGATATTATGCTGAGTGAAATATCTCCATCACAAAAAGACAAATACTGCATATTGCCACTGTTGTAAAACAGGACTGACATCGGGGTTGGGGGAGAGACTGAGAAAGATGGGATAAATAATGTATACTGCATTGAAACAGATGAGGGAGAGAATTGTTTAAAAGGAATATATGATTGGGTGTTATTTTC